GGGATGCAATGGACGACTTACCATGGCAACAAAATAAACAGCACACGTGTGGTAGCTGTTCAGCTGGCCTTTTTCTTTTCCAAAACAAAGGCGTCACCAACATGTGGGTTTGTGTCCCCAAATCCGCTGGTTGGAAACCTCAATTTCCCGATGAACCGCTGGTCATCTCCAGGTTTTTTCATCACCACTTGGAACCTGAGGCAATGTGAACTCAGATTTAGAGTGCTCCGGGCCACTAGTGGCTGGCCGTCGCAACTGCCCTTCACGTCTTGGGAGCCAACCTCGGGGGGGTCAGGGGGGGGACTTCACCATCAAAGCAGGCGGATTTGACCAACACCGGGATACAGTGATGGGGATATGATGGTTTTTTTGTGGGTGATATACCCTCTGGTGAACTAACATAGCAATTGAAAATGGCCATTTATAGTTGATTTACCTATTCAAAATGGTGATTTTCCATAGTTATGTTAGTTTACCAGAGGGTAGTCGGTGATATAACTCAAAAGCATGATTCTTGGGGGTTCGTCCCAAAATCGTGATACCAAGTCATCAAGTCATCAAGTCACCATCTTACCCTCTGGTAAACTAACGTAACTATGGAAAATCACAATTTTTAATGGGAAAATCCACTATAAATTGCCATTTTCAATAGCTACGTTAAATTACCAGAGGGTAATCAGAACATAAAATGATAAAAATTCTTAGCACTGGATTCTGAGGGTATCCCATTTTCAGACAAACCCACATCTTCACTATGATATTGATAAACTGGGGTTGAGTCACATCCTGGGTTCTCATTATACTGTAAACATCCCAGTAATGTCACGTTTCCCATTATAGTATTCCATTGAATGCCGTTGATATACCATAAATACCCCAATGCCCCTTACAGTAATATCCCTGTAACATCCCATGCATATCCCATGAATATGCCATTAATATCCCACTATAGCCTTCCATTGAAAACGATTATAATATCTGATGAAACATGATTAACTCATGGGTTCACCACGACAACTTTGCACCAAATCGCCACAGTCGCCACAGTGACCGCAGGAGTCGGAGGGATTGTTGCGCACCATGCACAGGGCCTCTCTGTCCAGAGCAAATCCTGCAGACCAAGGAGACCCTTGGCAGCGGCGGAGCACGATTGCCATCGATTGCCGCCTTTCGTGGATGCGATGGATTGCCCCACTTTGATCAAAAATCCCGAACTTAATAATGGTATAATGTCCATATGTGACACATCACCGGAGTAGCCGATATTTTAAGGGACCATTTCCATATAGTGTGGGTTTATGATGGTTTTGTGTATGAATTGATCGCACATTGAATTGGTAAGTATGGATTTATAGTTGGTATCAATACGCAATCGATGTAGTCTTGCGAGGGCAATAGGCCCAATACGCCAAGCGTTGAGGAGATCATGGGATACAGGGTCCCAAGGTTGGTGACCTGCGCAATCTGAATCAATTCTGAATCGACAACGACATCAGGTGAATTGACATCTTCCGTGAAATGTTCATTGTTTTTCTATGGTGTTCCTTTTAAAGTTTCTTTCTCATGATTTCTCATTATTTTTTTTCGTTGAGGATGGGTACAGTAATATACCCCATAGGATCCATGTATGCTATATATGGTAACATTTACCATCAGTATATCCCAAATGTTAGCATATATACCATACATGGATCCTATGGGTACTATATACATGACTAGTCGTTTGGCATGTCTTCTTGCACCCATTCGCAGCAACCGCCAGCATGGGGTGATCCTGGTCCGAGAGAGCCAGCTGAGGATCAATTTAACAGCAAATACCTCAGTCCCTGGGCAAAAAGATGTGGGAAATTGATGGAAAATGTGGGAATTGGTTGGCTCCTGCAACAGGTTAGACTTTTTTTTTGCATCGGATCGTTCTCATTGTCCAATTTCGATGGTGCTAAGACGATCCTGCTTGAAACTTGTTTTCGATTTGTCAATCAAGGTCAGCGTGTTTGTTCCACGGAGCGAATCCTCATGCATCCTCATGCACAGAATGAGAATTTAGTTTGCTTGCCATTTGTACCTACGATGGATCCCAATTGGCTCAACAAGTGACAGGATTGACAGGTGACTTTGTCATGAGTTGAACACACCAACTAGCGCAAGCACTAAGAATGATTTATGTGTAATATGTCTTGCTCACACATATCGAAGCATGTGAGGCGTATGCAGTCGTTAAAATCATTATATTCTGGAAAGACACTGCAAAGAAAGGGGAAGTACTGTAGGGGCAGTAATTTCCCTTAATTATAAACTTTAACCGAGTAATTCAAGGCTTTCGACCCAAAAAATGTGAACCTGGCACTTAAATGGGCCCGCCCAAACTACCAAACGAAAGCAACTGGGGGGTTCTTAATCTTCCCCCCAATAAGCAACACCCCGCTATTCATTTTGGGGTCCCACGATACCATGTTTTCAGATTTCTTCAGCTGTGGCGCAGGTTGAAGACCTGTCCGCCAACTGTGCAGATACCCTTCCACCCTGGATGTCTTTGTTTGCCCGATGGATACCTGGAAAGCAACCCAACTCGCACCCTTTTTGTTCCGCAGCACGTGTAATGGGCCACATGTCGTTGTGTTTGCTTTTTGTGACACCTGCAGGGAGGATACGGATGGATCCTATGGCTGTTTCCAGAAGTTGGGACTTGCAAATGTTGTGTGGTGGTTCTTTATCATTTATAATCCCTACGGATCCAAACACATCCTGAGAAGATACATCATACCCCCAAAATCATACCCCAAGCACTTCCTAAGAAAACACGGCTGGATCCATAGGGAATAATGAAGATGTTAAATTTGGAATGTGCCGGGTAGAGCACGTATCAACTCCTTGTGCTGACTTCGGCACCGGTTTTGAGAACATAAAGACGTGGCCATGTCAGACATGTGCAGTTCCGCTCCTGTACACTTGGAGGTTTCGTACAATGTAGGTACCCCGAAATCATCCATTTTAGTAATGTGGCTAAAACAATAAACCATCCATTTGGGAATGTCTTATACCACCTATCTATGGTGATTTGGATGGTTTATGACATTGTTTTACCCACATGATTGGTTAATTCATGGTTTTGGGCTCCCAGCGATCGGTTGGGATGAGGAAGAGCGAGGAGATGATGGGAGATGAAGATCCGGTCAATGTGAGCTTTTGTCCTGAAAGGGTCCGAAACGGGCTGGTGAAACGGGGGAGGGCTGGTGACGCGTTGGAAAGAAGCACATTGGATCAAACCAGCCATCCATTTTTTGATCATTTGATCACCACATAATGGGCACAGGATATATGGGAATATTACATTCAGACATATGCATGCAGGATAAGACAGGTGGTCATTTTGGAGTGTTGGGGCTGATGACTCGTAGCTGCATTCCATTCGGAGCTTTGACGGGAATGACCTTGTCCATTCCGGGTAGCCTCTGGTATCCTCTGGTAATTGAACAGTTTGCGAACTGGAAAATGGCCCATGTAAATATATAGTTGATTACCTATTCAAGATGGTGATTTTCCAGTTCGCAAACTGTAAACGTTTACCGGAGGGTAAACACTATTGTTTTCCCATTACTAAGCCATTCTTAACCCATCATTATCCATTATTAGCTCATCACCAACCATTTTATGGTTTTCCATACCCGGCAGCCAGGGACAGCTCCGATCCTCAGGTGGGCACCACTCGGCCGCGCGGCCTGATGGTGGGCCGCTTCAACCGGGCCCTGATGGGCCGCATTTCGTTGAAACGGCGGAAGTTGCCGCGCGACCGGGAAATCCATGGGGTTAGATGTGGGATAGAAAATGGGGATTTCATTCATTTCATGTGATGTATATACAATATAGTTATAGTAATGCGGTGTATATATATATATATGCTGATATATAATAATGGTGGGATTTCAGAAGTGACTTTTTTAATAGTGGGATAGATATCTAGCAAAATGACAGATGGGGCTTGTCACCATAGCGGGAATGTGAGTTTTCCGTGGTCGTCCCATAATTTTCAGGCAAACGCATGCGTTTTTCCCAGATTTTTTCACCAGATACAATGGAACCTTAACAGATCCAAACAAAAATCCAAGCAAGATACACCGCACCTGGTGCTTATGTATAATGTGGTTTATACATAGTTAGATATTGATATATATATATATGATATTAAAAAAAAAAGGGGGACGAGATTCGTAAAATCCAAGGGCCCCACTGTTTCACGAGGCGTCCTCACTGAGCGTCACGTGGTATAGATGGATCTCTCCATATCTCTCCCAAATCCAGGGCCCCAAAAAAAGCCCCGGGATGGATGGTTAACATGATGCTTAAACCATGTTAAACCGTGTTAAACCATGTTAAACCATGTTAAACCCACCAGCTATTCCTATGTTTGATGGGTTTTTGATGCTTCAACCATGTGAAACGCCAAGCATTTTCCAAGCATTCTCCACGCGCCACGCGTTGCCATTTGCAGAGGTCAACACCCGACTCTCCCGTGTATTCCAACGCCTATGGAAAGGCGCCGCTGTTCATGGCAGTCACATAAAAAAATGGTGGTTTCATGGTGGTTCAATGGGATTCATACATTGAACACGGCTAATTCATGGTGATTTACTTGGGTTTTGTAGGAATTCATGCTGATTTCATGGGGGTGTAAGCCAACAATAGTTTGACTGGATTTTTTGAAAATTTCCCCAATGAGAAATCCACTGCTTCTGGAATCGACTAAAGGAGGATGATTTTGGGAGGTACTGGATGTTGTGTGTCATGAAGCTGACTGCACATGATCACAATGAGAGATGTTGTTTTTATTTAAAAGCGGAAAACATACTGTGGGTGGGCCAGCGAAATCCTGCACCACCTTGGATGGTTGAAACCCTATAGATAATAGGATTTTGCTCACCTATCAACTGGTGCAGGATTTCGCAACCATCCACAGTATGTCAAGCTAGTGAATCATCATGATAGATCCTGCTCCATCCACCTAAAAAAAATGTTGCCTATGTCAAAATCTCATATGGACATGACGTGAAGTGTTGGATTCGGAGAGCGCCTGTTAGGTTATACCCTCTTACATCGATGCATGGTCTTACCGACCATCGAACGAGGACCGACTGGACCCAACCCCTTGGGAGGTCCTGATGGCCTGATGAACATACAGGGAATCCATACAAGGTGGTGCCCCATAGTTAGCTAAGTTGGTTTATAACTCCCATAACTATGGTTTATGGTAGATATAACTATAGTTAATGGGGTTTATAAACCAACTTATAACTGGGGGGCACCATCCTGTAGGAATAGGAATGGTAAGTGATGGCTATCTTAAACAGACATTACCTTGGGCATGCTGGTAATAAGACATGGTTGCACTACGTTGCATCCCCAATCTGAGTTGAACACACTTAACATCAATGGCCATTTCCGGAACCGATTTATTGGAGGTACCTACCATATATTTTTGGTTGAGTGTTTTCAAAAGGCTTCTGGTGAAGGGTTACAAGGGGAGCATTTAAACTTATATCAAATGTTTCCGCAATTGTTTTAACAATTGTTCAAAAGTTCCCGCAATTGTTTCAACAATTGTTCAAATGTTTCTGCAATTGTTTCAACAATTGTTCAAATGTTTCTGCAATTGTGTCAACAATTGTTCAAATGTTTCTGCAATTGTTTCAACACTTGTTCAAATGTTTCTGCAATTGTTTCAACAATTGTTCAAATGTTTCTACAATTGTTTCAACAATTGTTCAAATGTTTCTGCAATTGTTTCAACAATTGTTCAAATGTTGCCGCAATTCTTTCAATAATTTGTTCGAAAGTTTCTGGCATTGTTTGACTTTTCCAACAAAGATTCCGCCAAAACCAACAATTTTCAATCATGGCTAGCAAAAGTACACAAATCTTTGTGACGTGGTTTCACTTGCAAATATCAAGCGTTGGCTTATAGCTAGCCTAAAAATCGACTGCATGGTTTTCAGCAAGCAACAAACAGAATCGCATTGCCATTTTGGGTTCAAGCTGCTTCGTGTTCTCAATTTACCGCTGGGTTTGCGACTGAATGTTGTTTTGATTTGCATTGCTTGGCGAATGCTGAGCCTGCATGACTTAGCAGGGATAGCACTTGGTGACCAGCAGCAAGAACAAGAAGGTCAAGATGATCAGCCCGGTCTTCGACCTGGTGCACGGGTTGGCCGCCTTGGGCGTGGTGGCCTTGGGCGTGGTAGGGGCATTGTGCGCGGCGCCCGTGCCATTTTCCGGGCAAGAGCAAGGCGAATGAATGCCAAGAGAGGCAGGCAGAACTTCTTGCGGAAAAAAGATAAGGATCACAGGAGGCAAGCTTTTAGGTTGCAGGCAATGGCTTCCAATGCTTCGGGGCGCCACAGAACCATGGATCACTTGTTGCCTTTGCAGCCGGCTGATGACGCCAGGCCCAAGCCAAAAGGGCAGGGAGCTTGGAAGAAGTGGACGCCTGAGGCGATGTTGAGGGCGGCCTTTGGCCAGGCTAATGCATCTGTCAGGCAATCTGCCAGGGAGGTTGATGGGGCAAGCCCATCGCATGTGATCAAAGCTCGCACCTTCATTGCCAACTGTATCCTTGATTGCCAAAAAAAACATATTGCATCGGAGAGAAATCGGCAGGGAGAAAAGGAAGTGCTGTATCAAATTTTGAACATGATGTTTGATGAGACAGAGTTGGACGTTTCGCTGGACCAGGATGGAGCAGGAAGCTGGTCAATATTGGCAAGCCACAGCCAACTGAGCATCCATGCTGAGGGCCACGACTTGGAAATTGACATAGCAAGGCCGCCAAGAGCTCTCCCTCGCAAAACGGCATCTTGCATGTGGGGTGCGTTGTGTCTGGACGAGGGCGGCCTCAGGCCTGGTTTCATCCATTCAGAAGCAGCTAAGTTTTCAGCTGTCCTGGTGTCCTGTGACCAGCACCCAGCAAACATCCGATTGCTAAAGCATTTGCATTCAGTAGTGCAGCAAGATGTTTTCGTATTTCCAAGTCTTTGCGCGCAGCACCGAAATGGAAACGTCATTGAAAGGGCAACTAAGCATCTCGGTATATTACCTGGTTCGTTTTGTGTATCCAAGAGCACTCGCAGGGGGAAGTTTTTGAATGACCTCAAAGAATCAGTCAGGAAAGTGTTGACTGAAAAGTTGGTGGTCATGGGTGCAGAGCCTCCAGGCCTGCAAGCGGAGTGGGCTGTGGCCCGCAGGCAGGCAAAAACCTTCCTGCATATGATGCTGCAGTGCGAAGATGAGAAGCCGAATGCTAAACGGTCTAGGACCAGGTTTGTTGACGATTTTGTCGCCTTTTTTCCTGGTCCTTGGACAGGACTGGGTTGAGTGGGCTGGATGTGGGATGGTTTGGGATTGGCCGTGGCTAGACTATAGACTATAAACATAAATCCAGTCAGTATTTGTCTTGTTGATCTCATCTGGTTGTGTTATTTCTTAAAGTTCAAGTTAAAGTCCTTGTAGCTGTAATTTAAAATTGCTGCTGCTGCGAGCTGCTGCTGTCACAGCATGCAATGAGAATTGCGGTGCTCGCCCGCTTCTTCTGGCCCAAGTCTTTTGCAAAGAGGATTGAGTGACCGCCAAGGCTAGCCACAATCGCCATGGCCCTGTCAAAGGAGCTTTCCAGTGCAAGGTCTTTGGACAATGTGCGGAACGGAAACTTGGCAAAGGCATACCTGCCTGCAGATGCTCGGTCCAGAGCGTTTCACGGCCTGGGGCCTGGTGCCAAACTGACAGCGGCAGGCTTGAGCGAGGCCTTGTCGGAGTTGGACAAGTTCCTTGTCGTGGATGACTACGGGTCTGTGGAATGCGTGAAGTTCGCCAGGGAAGAATACAACAAGAGGTGCTGCATGGGGTTGGGTGGCGGTACCATTCATATGATTGTAATGGTGTTGTTTTACTTGGGTATATATATATAGTCGCCTATATTAATATAAATACTTATACACTATAAGGCGGTAAGTATGAGATAACTTAACCCATGCGCACTTTCTTTGCGATGTGTTTGCTGTATACTTAGTGGGTTGCCCTGCCCAGGCATCCCATGACTTTGATCTTTGAGACCGAGAAGTATGGAAGATTGTGGCTGGGTGGTGAGAAGGCAGTCCACAACACCTTGCTCCTGTCACAGAATGAGGTGGGCTATGTCTGGCCTGCTTGTGCATCTGCAGTCCCGGAGACGCCTCAAGTGTATGTCTTTGACGCAGTGGACGGAACAGATGCGGCCCAGGGGGACGTTCAGCTGGACAAGATTTTGCCGATCATCACTGATATCATTGAGCTCCTGGTGAATGGAAAATCTGTTTTAATAGCTTGCAACAACGGGGCTGACAGGTCTGCGACCTTGGTGTGCATGGTGCTGATGCGGCTTCTATCCTGGTCCTCCTCCCAGGCTAGCGCCTATCTAGCCACTATGCGCAACATAGTAGACCTAAAGAGCCGAGCCCCACCCTCGCGTGGAAGGGCCCAGATGGTGCGCCCAGTTGACTTTTTGGAAAAGATCGAGGAAGCATTGCATGCTGGCAGTGCCCGGGAAAATGCCAAAGCAGCCATTGGGTTTGTGCCTTTGAGGCGAAAAGCGCTGGAGCTCGGCTTTGAAGCCAGGTTTGCTGCAGGCCGGACATCGCTGCTGACAAGAGTCGACCGCAAGTCATCTTCAGATGAAGGGGAGACAACCCAGAGTTACGACATGGGCACTGATGCTGAGAACAGCGATGGTACTTTTTTGCGCTGCAGAGCCGCTGGCAGCATGGCCGGAAGTGCTTCGTGGCTTTTTGTGGAGAGCCCGGCGTCTACGCCACGTAGTGGCAGTGCAGGCGAAGGCTCTGAGCTGCGGCGCCGCAAGCTCCGGATGCTGATTGAAGACTTGACGGACTTGACCCTCAAGTTGGAAAATCATGTTTCAAGCTCTGGCGGCTTTGAGCCTGGTTTGACGCTGAAAGACGCTTCTGGGCACCCAGCAGCTGTTGTGGTGGGAGACGAGCTGTCGTTGACAGCTGCGCCTGCAAGCGCTTCTGCTGAGGCTGGTGCGCCTCAGGCGTCGTTGGCTGGCCAGCAGGCAAAAGAGCCAAGCTTAGAAAACAAGGCAGGTGAGCCAAATGATGAGCCTGATCCCAAGAAGGCGAAGGTGGAAGGGGATGCGGCCCCAGCGCCAGGTGCCGAGGCCCCAGCTGAGGAAGCGACTCATGGCTCGAAGGCTGCGCCTGCCGTTGATGGCTCGAAGGAGGGTGCTGCGCCAGATGGTCGCCCAGCTAATTTTCCATCTTGCTGCCTTTATGAAGCCCTTTTAGACATTTGACATCATAAACCGATATAGTGATATAGTTGTCTGTCATTTGACAAATGTAATTTTGTAGTTCCTGTTTATGTTGTGCAACAATGATGTTCAGTTTTCATAATCCCCATTTGTCACATATCACACACACAGAGACCATATAAATAGTTTATAATTATATAATTATATAATAATATATATATATATATTCAATCCTACAGGTTGCCTGTTTTTCCCACATATCTTTTTGTTCTGGATGACCGGCGCCTTCCCAGGTATGGAAGTCGATTATGATCCTGATGAAGAGCGACCAGCCTCCATTGCTCAGGCTGTTCCAGCTGGTGAGAAGGCCAAAGCTCAGGAAGAGCTGGGAAATTTGTCTGACCAGGCTTCCCAAAGCTTGTTGGACTTGCTGGAAGCCCAGAAGGTGTCCCACCAGTCCCTTCTTGCAAAGCTGGAAAAGATTGAGGCTCAACGTGTTTCGGATAACCAAAGGTCTCAGTTGCTTGATGCCTTGTTGAACCGGGACCCTGGCTTCGAAGCTCAGTTGGCTGCGCTGCCAGTACCAGTGCTGACGGAAGTTTGTGACAGCCAAGGCATGTCCTTGATTCACCATGCTGTCAGGACTGGCCAGGCCAACATTGTGGATCTTCTTTTGCAACGCTGCCCTGAGCTTGCAGAAAAAACAACGGGCATTGATGCCCGCTCAGCGCGCTGGACGCCTCTCATGGTTCTCATGGACACGCCCGTGCACTCTGTTGGAGAGGACATTTACCAGCGCATACTGCGACTTCTCCTTCATGTGATGAGTGTTCAGTCAATCTGTGCCCAGGCCTACAACGGCCAAACGGCTGCTCACTTGGCAGCTGCCCAGGCAAACCTCATGGCCATCAAAAAGATTTGCTGGACCACGTATAAGAAAGCTGGAGAATCCGACTCGGCGTTCCGCCTGGTGAGCAACATGCTGAATACCAGGTCTGGCAAGCGAGGTGCAGGGGCTGTGGACCTTGCCTTGAATACCAACTTTCAAGTGGCGAGCTATTTGAAGTCATGGGGAGCAGAGGAGCAATGCCCCAGTCCAAAGCAGCGCCGCTATTGGTACACCTGAGTGAGCCAATGGCTTTTGGCTTCTTCCACTGTCAGCTGCTGCTGCTTGGCTTGCATGCACGGCTTCTAGCCTGGTTCCCAACCAAGGCTAGTTGAGCCACATTTTCAACAGCTGGCGGTCTCTGACCAGGTGTCTGCACTACGGCTTTGCTGCTGCTTTTGGCGGCAGATTTGGCTGCGTGAGACAGACGCCTGTGTGTGAAAAAAGGGTGCAAGCAGGGCTGGGGCAGAAAGGTGTGGCGTGGGATTTTCCATAAAAAGTCAACACAAATGGTAGGGTCCAGAATGTTTAGGTAGATTCCGATATGTGTTGTGTGGTTCCATGATCAATTTCGGTAAGTATACAGATAATTATACAGTTACATTTTGTTTATTTCTCACCAGTTGAATCATAGTTGTTTGCGCCCTTTCTGAAGCTGATTGTTCGTAGTTCATTGGTTATTCTGGAATTATAGGCTTATTATTTTTTATCTCCTTTGAATCGGAATTTGTGTCCCCACTGGCTGTCTTTGCATTTTTGTTGAGTCACCGTCATAGGCCCCATGCTGAACTATCAAATGGGTTTAGATTGATTGATTCGATTTTATATTACCTATAGCCTATAGTATTAATTCCTAGCCCCCCACAGGTCCCATAGTAGCTCACCATTGATCGGTCCTACCGTGATGCCAGCCTCCTCCTTCTTCAGGACCACCAGCGCATGTTTGCCAAGGGTGCTGCACGGACAGAGACGCCAGTGTTGAGAGGGGTATGGAGCTTCTGACGTCCAAGCTACTCACTTGTATCTCCGTTCCTGCTATGAACAAGTGGACAAAAGTAGCGCCCTGTGTCAGGCATGTTGCCGTGTTGCAAAGTTTTTGCAATCTTGTTCCACAGGCCTGCCAGGAGCTTTGCCCGCCCCCTGAGGACGATTCCGGTTCAGAGGATGAGGGGGCAGCTGTGGGCGTCCCAGTTGATGAAAGCAAAGCTTGGCGAAAACTTGCCAGGCTGAGAGTGCGGAAGGCTTGCTTTTTCCTGTCTGACCAACAAAGCAATTGGATGACTTGTTTATGGTGCGTGCTGACAAAGCCGATCATGAGGGTGCATTTTGCACTTTTCAAGCACGCAACTTGGCTCTCTGAGCGCGTTGAAGCTGACGCTGTAGATGATGAGGAAGAGGTGCTAGATTTATTTGAAGATGCTGAACTGAGACCGCTGTCAATGGCATGTTTCTGCAGAGCATCCCTGAGCCCTGCATTGAAAGCCTTGGATTCTATCAGTGAGCTAGCTCACCTGCCTGCAGGCATGGGTTGGGATCCAGTTATTCTGGCCTTTGGCCCTGTTCTTTCTTGGAACCAAGAACGGCTGAGAATCACGCGTCGCACTTTGTGCTTGGTTGTGGGCCAATTGTGGAGAAAGCTTGTTTACCCTTTCCAGCAGTACCCTTGGGCATTGGAGCCTTTGGTCGATCCAGAGGTGAGCTTGAGTGAGAAGCAAGATTGCGTGCGGTCCTTGTTCAGTTGCAACGATTGCCAGCTTGATGCTTTTGCTCGCCAACTCCGTGACACTGTTCCACAGCATGCAATGCTGGAACCAGGCACGCTCAAATTCTTGGAAGCCGTGCTGCAGCGTGTGGTTCCAACCAGCACATTCATTGAGCGGGTGTTTTCCAGGCTTTCTGAGTGGGCCGATGTGAAGGGGCGCAGCCCGAAACTGAGCAGCATTGCTGCCAAACATATATCAGGCCGCTTCCAGCAAAGCACCCAGCTGTGGCGGAAGCGTGTTTTGAAACAACAGGCAGCAACAAAACGCAATATCAGCAGGCCAGCTTGGAGCCATTCAAGAACAAAAGGCAAATGCGCAAATGGTTGGCATGTGTTCAGCCAAGAGTATCTGTTGCAAAATCTTGGGGGAACTTTGCAGGAACGGCAAAGAGCTGCCTTGAGGGCCTGGCGAGGTTGCACCCTTGAAGAAAAAAAGAGATACTCGCGCTTGGCGCAAGCTAGGAATGTAGCAGCTTCTTTGGCCGCATCCCAAGCAGCTGCAGCCACAGAAGGGGGCGATGCTCTCCCTGCTGGCAGTCCTTGCGGTGTTGGTACACCTGATGGTTTCCCACTTGCCCGCCATGTTGTCCTTAGCAATCAAAGCCAAATGAACACCATGTCTGCTCAGTTTAACAATGACTACAACCGTCTTTTGCCTGAAAATGCTGATGCGTTTGCTGGTGCGCCAAGGGAGCCATATCCTTTAATGCCAAACTGCCCCAAGGACGGATGCATGCATACCTTGCCAGATGCCGGCTTGGCCGTGGTGACTTCCTTGCATGACCGCTTCTGGTTCATCGTCAAACATCATGCTCCAAAGCCAAAGGCTGTAGCAAAGGAAGTGCTCCTGTTGTCTCTGCGTTCAGAAGCCGCCAATGTTTCAAAAGATGTTGCGGTGATGTTTCACACCAGGAGGGCTCCTTGGGAGGCTGCTTTGCTTGTACTTCATAGGGTCAGTTTACCCGGCTTGGCAGAGCAAGGCGTAGTCTTCAGTTTGTTGTTCAGCGATTGTGCCGGAGGTTACTTTGGTGAGGGCAAAGCTCCTCATCTTGATTTGACAAGTGACAGGGCCTTATTTGTCAGACTGGCGCAGCTTGCGTCTGACTGGTCTTTTCACTTTCTGGAAGTGGGCAAGGTTCTGTCTTTGGTTCGTTTCGATGTGGTAGCTGTAACGGCTTTTGAAGAGAGCTCTTTTGAGACAAAGGCACAAGAAGCACTTGAAGTTTCAAACGCCCTACAAGCTCTCAGCCACTTGCTGGGCAACCACAAGAAGCGGACCGCAAATCAACAGTCCCAGAATGGGGCCAAAGAAATGGGCCCCCGGTCAGCGAAGCGACTCAAAGCTTCACATGCCCTGTCAGCGGAAAGACGATTGCTGGGCGTCGATTCTGAATCCGAGCATGGATCCAACAACAGTGAGGCAAGTGGCTACAACACCGATGCAGAGGACGGAACACCGTCTGGAAACTTGGCAAGGCCAGAACTGGCAGATTACTTTGACCCAAGAAGCTTTGCCAGACAATTTAACGAGGAATCCAAAGCAGAGCCCCCTCCAGCTCCACATGTTCAAGCCCCTCTCAGAATCAAACCGGCCTGCTCTGCAGAGGTGACAAATGCAAAAGCAACCCGCCAGCGAAGGAGTGAAGCATGGGGCGTATTTCATTTGGGGCCCATCTACAGCCAAGGTGTGCAAACAGGCTATGGAGCTATCTGTGGCTTACATCGCAATTCAGAGGACGGGCCAGGAATCTATTGCAGAAAAGCTTTGACAACATCCGAGCTTTCCGAGGAAGACTGCCGGCTCCGTCTCAAACGTTGGCTTCTAGCCGGGTTGCAAGACAGTGATTGGCCTGAGGGGCAGGGCCGCTCAATGCACCTGTCTTTGGGCGGCCTGCGCCTGGTAGATTTCAGCTCGGGAAAACCAGAGGCTGCTTTAGACAGACAGGCTGCCTTTGCTGAAAAAAAAAGCACGCTTTCCCGTCATTCTGTGAGCAGGTTGCCTTTAACTTTAAGCCTTAGGCTTGGCTAGGGAAATCCAACTTGCATGAAGGTGGTCCAATCAGCACATGAGTCAAGGTCTAGTTGTGTTTTTGAAGCTTGCGCCTCCAACAATCCATCAGCTGCGACAAAAATAGTTCTCGAAATATGATATTTTTAAATATATTATGTATAATTTTTGAATCTTTTGGAAACATATTTCCAAACAATTATGAAATGTTTTGTAGTCAAAATCTCTACAAATCATTCGTAGAGAAAAGTTTTCTTTTTTTTAGTTTGTATTTAAAACTAATACATAATGTTTGAATGCTGTTCAAAATCTCTACAAATCATTCGTAGAGAAAACGTTTTGCAATTCTTTTTGCAAATGTTTGCAAGAATTTTCAATATTTCTCAATATTTCTTCCAAACCCTGAAATTACATTTCCCGCATTTACACCGTAAGCAGTTTGTGCGTTCAAGGTTTCCGAGCGTTGGATCCACACCAGTTCCAAGCTGCCATGGAGCCGGATCCAGGCCTCAGTGACTCCAGCAGTTCTAGCAATGGGCCTGCTAGACCGCGTGGTGTCAAGAGGAGCCAGGCCGCCAGCACAGCTGGCGGAAGTGAAGTGTTTCCGATTTCAATTGAGTATAGCAAGCCCTGTGAGTGCTGCTTGTGCTCTGCCAAGAGCACTGACCCCAACCCCTTGGTCCAGGAACCTCATGAAGCTGAAGGGTTTCTCCCTTACAGGCCTTGGGCCAAGCACAGGAAATTGCGTGAGCACTCTGTGCGTGTTCCGGAAGGTAAGTGCTGCTTGCCTTGCTTCAATGTCTTTCGGCTGCTTGGTAAGCACAGGAGGTACAAGACATATGCTGAGTACTACAAACACATCAGCCAGAAGCAGAACCAGCACGAGCACAAGGACTTCTTAGCTGCTGTGAAGCAGTGGCTGAAGCAGCACCATGACAACCCTGACAAGTTCAAGCTTCAGGACAAAGAGGAGTTGCTGAAAACTCAAAGAGAGCTTGTGATTTCGAAGAAACAGGGTGGCAAGTTGACAGGGCCAAAGAAGCAGTTTGTTCTCAGCACCCATTGGGACAGCAAGCGCCACGGCGAATGGGACCCAACTAAGGAGGTGGACCATTTGATCGGTGGAGTGATGAAGAAAGGTGTGTGGCGCACAGTGGGGCAAGAAGGTGTGTATGACTTCGAAGCTTATGAAGACACTGGGGTTGAGGAGCGAGTCATTGAAGATGATGGGCAGCAAGCAATTTTTGCAGACGAAGCATTCCAAGCAAAGAAGCAAGCCGCCCCGCAGACACTGCAGCAGCAGGCCAAGGAGAGAGACGCCGCTTCAGTGAAGGCCTCAGAGAGTGACATGACTTTTGCGGACTTGGTCCAGGTTGTGCGCTCACAGAGCAGCGCAGCTGCCAGCTCTGCTGAGGTTCCGGCTGCAGCTGGAGCAGCTGGCGCAGAAGGGAAGGACACTGACAGCGTTGAAGAAAATTCCGCCTGGTCAAGCACCTCCTCAGAGGAGGAGGATACAGCAGCAGGCTTGGAGTTGCTGCAATCTTCAGGGGTTAAAGGCGCAAGCAAGGAGACGCCTGGTGAGAGCAGCGCAAAGCCAGCCAAGGCGAAGGCCAAAGCCAAAGCAAAGGAGGCGCCCAAACAGCCAAGTACCGCGTCTGCGTTGCCAAGGCAAGAAAAGAAAGGGCACGCCAGCGGCATTGCGAAAACGCCAAAGGCAACACAGGCTTCCAGCCTTGCCCCAACCTCTGTGCCTGAGAGCAATGGGATGCTTTCCTTGGATGGCCGTGCCAACCGCACTTTGAAGACTTTGGAAGCTGCCGTTTCTGATGCAAAACAGAAACTTGCTGAAGTAAGTTTCGATGACAAGCCGCAGAGCACCACCCAGATGAAAGAGTTTCGTTTGGAGGCTGCCCAAAGAATTTCCACTTGCAACACAGTAGCGAGAAAAGCAAAGGACACAGTGACCAGAGTTGGAAAGTCAAACAACCGGGATTCCTTTGAGAAGCAGTTAGACACCTTGCAGGATCTTGGAAACCTGGCCCAGGCTTCAGCGAAGCTTCTTTCAAACGTCATTGCTCCTACCTTGGACCCGGATGCTTACATCAGTGCCCATGACGCGGTTTCCGCTGGTGGTGTTCAGCTGGGTCCATTATATTGGTTGAAGCTTGTTGTTGCTCAGAGCCAGAAAGAGTTTCTGTATGGGAAGTACCGCGGGTTCTGCCAGGCATTTGCGTTGCCGTCCGAACCAATGAAGCAGTTGGCTGCCTTGTTGGGAACCGAAGCGGCGGCCAAAGAAAGCGCCCTGGAAGTGGAGCACCGCATGCTTGCTTGCTTGCGAGCAATTCCTGCCAGTGAGTTGGCTCTCCTCGCCCCTGGAAAGGCTGTCCCAGAGCTAGGTGGCGAAGTTCCCAGAATGGGTGAATGTTTAGATTTGGCAGATGCGATAGCAAAAGCATGTGACAAGGATGGCCAAAACTTCATGGCAAGGGAGCTGGCAGACTCTGTCAAGACGGTGCGTTGTTTGCTGGGGCAGGACCATGTTGGAATGCTGGTGGAGGAGGTTAAAGCCTTGACGGGCTTGGAAAAAGACAAGCTTGACGCTGCCCCGGCTTTGCAGAATTTTTTCTTGCAACACGACACCGGAAAGGCTTTCCTTTCTGTGGCCCAATTGCGTATGGAGCAAGGGGACAAAGAGAGGATTTTTGAAGAGAAGGTGGAAGTTTTGCAGAAAGCAGTGTCTCACTTGGCCGCCTGGCCTAAGCAAAGCCCTCCAGAGGCTGAGTCCGGCATTCTTGCGGTACAGGAGCGGATTGAGCCAGCAGTGGAAGCTTTGGACGCCGCCAAGCAAACCACGTTTTTTCAGGAGTCGAAAAAGAAGAAGCGGGACCAGATCTCAAGTCGCTTGCTGGTTGATCTGGAAAGGTTGGAAAGGCAGGTCAGCGAGCGGTCTGTTGACCTGGTGCGGATCGTGTGCAAGGACAACATGGAGAGCCATCTGACTTTTGGCTGCAATGGCTGCCTCGACTTGGCATGAAGTTGTGTGAAGCAGTTGTGGGCAGTTTTTTTTTCTATGTTTTGTCCCCCAGGAGCTAGTATATAGACATATGTTTCTTCATTGGTAGTGGCGGCCACTGTTTTCATGTTTGCAGGCCTGTGCATCACTAGGTTCAAGGTGCCCAATGATTCCAGCACTTCTCTGCCTTTTTTTTCCCTCTGACATCCTTCCAGCTGCTGCTTGCAGCTGCCTGCATCGCTTGCAATCCTGAGGACTTATTTTTGTGAGGCCTTGGCGAATGACTGTTTGGTCAGCCTTGCCAGCGGTGCCTTTGCCCTTCTCAACTTAGATGAGTCCTTGCTCTCCTTCAAGGCCACAGCTTTTGTGCAGCACAAAGTCTGGGCAAAGGTGACGGCAGCCGCCGATGAAGTTGCCAAGTTCAAAGCAGCGTCTGAGCTGGCAGCTGACGTTGCCAAGCATGTTTTCTACAAGCACAAGGCATTCTCCCATCTGCCTCCTGTTCCAGCAGCGTCGCCAGAGACATTGCAGAAGTGGTCCGATTCGGGCGTTGCCCTGGTGCAACGCTTCGTGCCTGAAGGGGTAGCTGAGAAATTCAAAGATCAGTTTCTGTCACCCATTCAACATGACCTGGAGAGTCTATTCTCAAAAGGTTTGGAAAGGGTGGGGCCAATCGTGTCAAAATGCGTCAAGGGTCTTTTAGGGGCTGGCCTCAGCAAGCAAGTGCGGGACCAAACGCTGCAGAGCATCCCTGCCTCTCACGAAATGAAGGCTGTTGTCGACTTGTTTCTGCAGGCCCTCCTGTATGTGCAGCATGGTTGTGCAATCCAAGCGGCCCAGTTGTGACACGGGGCATGGCATGCATGGGTTTTTGAATTATCAGTTTAAGTTTGAGCTGTTTAAGAAAACAGTATAGTATAGTCTAGTATGTTATGATTCGATATGATATGTATGTGCGATTTAATGTGGCTGGCATGGAAACAAGCTGCTACGGCACTACACCACCAGCTTTGCTTTGTTTCTTGGATAGCTGCAGGTGGCAGAATTTCCGATCCCTTCCGAAGATCCGCTGGTGATGTGTCAGCTGTCTGCAGTGCTGCAAAAATTTTGGCTCTTGCTGAATCCGCTCTTGGAGCAAGTGCGGGAAGGCCTGGCCTCCGCTAAGTTGGTCAAAGACATGGAACAGGTTACTTTTAGCCACCCTGACACATTGGCATGGTTGACCAGTACTGTAGCACAGATCACACAAAGCTTGTCCAAGGCTTGTGAGAAGGAGTTCGCAACCGCTTGGGATGCAGCCTCGCAGCTAGAGAGCTTGCTGGCAAAGTTGCCCGACCCCAGCTGCAAAGAAGCGGAATACAGGACAGAGGGTGCCAAGGTGACAAAGCAAGTCGCCGACCTGGTCGCGCAAATTGGCCAGAACGAGAAGGTGAGGCTGAAGGGTGTGTCAGCTGTGAAGCAGCTGTCTGACATCGGCCTACCAGGCAACCCAGGGCATAATGGCGTCAGCGCTTTGTTTCACAAGTACGAAGGCGGAGAAGCCGGTTTCACCGAAAAGGTGCTCAAGTCAGCAGCCTGCGGCTCGGTCCATGTCGCCATGGTGGCTGGTTTGTGTCTTCTCCGCAACGGGTCATTGGGCTCGGCAAATGATGAAGGGAAGATGATCAGGAAGCAACTGCAGAGCGTGGCAGAAGCCCTCAAACAGAAAGTCGCCGCACTGAAGCTCTGTGAAAAGCCGGATGCTGAGCTGTTGCACAGGGCCCAGAACGTTTTGAATGAGGCGTCTGCACACCACAAGACCCCTGATGCTGGCAGCGCCTCCATTGCGAAGGAGGCAAGTCCCACTGACAAGAGCAATGAGGAGAAGGGAAAAGAGAAAGACAAAAAAGACAAAAAAACAAAAAAGAGAAAGAGAAGAAGGAGAAGCAAAAGGAAACAAAAGAGAAAAGCGAAGCGTTCAAAGCCAAGAAGACAAAGAAAGCTAAGACTAGTGAGGAGGGCGACAGGGACATGGCAGAAGAGGACAAGGAGCCTACTTCCAAGAAGCGCAAGGCTGAGACAGAGTCTGGCGCAGGCAATGGGCGTGGACGTGGACGAGGCAAGGGCAGAGGCCGCAGGGGCCAGTGATTGGACGCCCGCCTGCCGCGCATTTTTGAAGACTGACAGCAGCTGAAAGAAAAAATTGCCAGCAGTTTCCTTGCTTCAGTTCATCAGTTTATTTCATGTTCTATGCTAGTGGCAGAGTTTGCTAAACATGCCACAGCTAAGGTTTGATTTGTCCTTGTTTATTCTGCTCATGATCTATTGAAACCGCAGCACTGGAATCAAACAGATCAACTTCTGTGTTGTCCAAGTGCCGTGCTAAAAGGCCTTGCCAGCTTCCTGTCACACAGCTGGCTCAAGTTTGTGAAGCAAGCGCCTTTGAAATGCAGACATTTTTCAATATGCACGACCGGTAAAATGCCGACAGCCAAGCAAGAAACATTTATAACAATCTGTTGTTGGTACATCGATGCAGATACATTTAAACAGTATCTAATTCAATTTCCCGAGATTCTTCGCCGCCGTTCTTGCCATGGCCCCATCCAGGGTGCTCAAGAAAAGCGACTCTCATGCATCAGAGGCAGAGGCGGTTCTTGACCTGGAGTTGGTTAAGCAGGCTTCTAGCCGTGTTGCAGACGCAGAATCCCTTGCGTCAGGCGAAGCCCTGTATGAATTTGCACAAGAGAATTTGAAAGGTTTTGCAACCATGTTTCCAGGCAGGTTTGCAGAACAAGCTGAAGTTGCCTCTTGCGTGTCTCTGACATGGGCATCGGCTTGCAGTGGCTCAGAGGGCGCTTTCTATGTCATGGAAGCGCTTTCCAGAGCATACAGCCTTAGCACGGAGACCTGCGGATTCCGGCTCTCCGTGAAGCACCTTTTCTCATGCGAGAGCAACAAGGACAAACAGCGATGGATTCAAGCGGTTTTAGATTGTGGACCTTTGATGCCAGCCCTCAGCCCTTTGAAGTCGGCTTCCGAAGGCAGTGACGGGGAAAGCGAGCTGCTTCAACTTGGAAGCTGCATCTTCCAGGACATCGAGACGCTGGGCGGCTGTGAAGCTCATTGCGTTGTTCATGGCAAACTTTGCCCGGTGCCTGGGTGTGACCTTTTGGTCATTGGGTCCTCCTGCAAAGATTTCAGCAAGGCCAATCCAAAGAAGGAGACACAAAAGTTGGTGTTCCAGCAGAGCAATTCATTGGGAGGCTCAGCGCAGACTTACCACGGTTTTACCAGCTATGTTGCAGCTCACTCACCTGGGCTGGTGACGTACGAAAATGTTGATGGGCTTGAGGAGCAAATTGGGGCACATGCCCAATCCAACTTGGATGTCTTGATGCAAACCATGAAAGAATTGGGCTATAGCGGCCAGCCTTTGCGAACAGATGCTTCGTCCTTCGGCTTGCCTGCCAGAAGGCGCCGGCTTTATATTTTGTTTGTGCGCCAAGTGAACCCAAAGCTTCACACTCAAGCCAGGTCTTTGACCGAGTCTTTTGAAATGTTCAACAACATGGTAGCCTCCTGTCTGAGATCCCCGCCCTGTGCCAAGGATTTGCTGCTAAATCCCGCCTCAGGCGAGGTTGAAGCCTTTCTGGAGGAGAGGAAAGAGAAGAGCGCCAAGGCTGCATCGAAGAGCCCCAAGTCTTCGGGCAATTGGGCAGACCAACACATGAAGTTTGCAGAAGCTGAAGGGTTGCGATGGGGACAGCCATACCCTGAAGAACTCAAGTTGAATCCGTGGTTTGAAACCTTGACAGCCAGGGAACAGGACGTGCTGGCTTTGTCCAGGGCTCAAGCCCCGGATGCTGGCTTCAGAAATGTTTCCCAATCGCTTGGACGAGTGCACACTGCCAGCTGGTGCAAAGATACCAAGAAGCACATTGCCCCAACAATGCTTCCAGGTCAGCTGCTCTTTGTCGAGCTGGTTAAGCCTCCAAGATTGATGTTGGGTCAAGAAGCCCTTTTGTTTCAAGGATTTCCAGCACCTCTGTTTCTGAAGCTGGTAGAGACAGAAGGCATCGATGTCTACGAATGCTCTTCTGCGGCAAGGGGCTCAGTCCGAAAGCGGTCTGGCCCAGGAAGGAAGTGGCTGACAGAAAGTTTGATGGCTGACCTTGCAGGGAATGCCATGGCTCTGCCAGTGTTGCTTGCGATTGTGCAGAGTGCTGTGGCCTCCCTGCTGTTCAGGCCTGATTCCCGAGCGTCCACACGGGAAGAAACAGCCGATGCTCTCTCTGCATTGGGAATCCTCGCTGATTTGTGAAAATTGGAAAGCTGCGGGCTCAGCCCTGGTTTGCAGCAAATTTGTCGCAGCCAGCGCCCGCTACTTTTGTAGAAGCTTCGCTTTGCGCAGAAAAAGACTTGCAGCCGAGCTTTAGTTGCTCATGTTGTGTCAGCGCTACTCTTGCTAGATTTGGCAATCTTGAATCTCACATCTTGAGGTGGCCAGCAAAGGTGATGTTTGCAACGCTTGGGTTGAATTAGAAAGAAAAATGTATAATTCAAAGGTTTTGTTTTGTAAATCTTCAAGATTTTTTCTGTGCTTTGCTTGCCAGTGGCAGTCGCAACAGTTGTTCCTTCAGCTGTCACGTGCGAGCCAACAAGAGCCAAGCAACTTATATGCCTTGTTACTTCCCCTGTAGCTTGAGCGGCTCTATCCACTTGCTTAATCCCCCTGTGACTTTGCCAGTGCCTCGTGGGCCATGAGCTGGACCCTTTACTATGTACTGCTGGCAATTGAGATTGTATTCATATTGGTCCTGCTTTGGATCCATCTCCTTATTTGCCTGTGCGAGCTTTGGAGGCCGTTAGAGCCTGAGCCAGTAAACCCGCAGCAGGGTCAGATCGATGGTTAGCGACCTTTGGTCTGGTTCTTTATGCTGCGCGCCTCCCATTACAAGGCCGTGTGGCCATGTTTTACTAGCAGCGCAGCAGGTCTCGGACCATGTTACAAAAAAGGCGCTCCGCAATGCTGGCCTTACCAAAACAGCACAGTGCGGTTGGCAAGAAAAGTCACGCCAAACCAATGGACATTGGACCTTGACTACTAGACGGCGCTCAGCGCGCGTGGCAAGAAAAGCAATACCACACCAAGGGAATTAGATCGTAAAACAGCACTCAGTGCATGTGGCAAACGAAAAGTGACACCGAACCAAGGCAACTTGGCCACAAAACAGCGCTCAGCTGGAAGCGGGGCCAAAGTAATGGAACCTGAAGATGTCTTCTCTGCCGTGATGTGTGCCACAGCACACAGCTGAGGCGCAAAGGAGCCGGGCAGGCATGGATAGATACTCCTGAGCGTGAGCCAGCTTCAGAAAAAAAAACAGCAGCCAGAGCGCAGTCTTCCCAGGGGATAGCAGGTGTGGAAAGTGATGTTGCCTTTGGCAGACCTAACGTTGTCAACAGCAGGTGGAACAAGTAGCATTCTGTGTTGAAAGGGGTAGAACCATTTTTTGCGTTCATGATAGATCCAAAAGAAGTTTTTGAAACAGTTCTAGGCTAGGTAATGAGCAAGTTTAAACAAGCGTTGAAACAGTTTTAGTTTTAAACAAATTGAAACATGTGTTGAAACATTTAGCAACAAAGTTTGAAGAATTGTTGAGACAAGTGTTGAAGAAAATACAAGAAGTGAAACACTTGTTGAAACAATTTTGAACAATTGCTGAAACAATTTTAAACAATTTAAAACAATTGTTGAAACAATTTTGAACAATTTAAAACAATTGTTGAAACAATTTTGAACAATTTTAAACAATTGTTGAAACAATTTTGAACAATTTTCACAAAATTTAAACAATTGTTGAAACAATTTTGAACAATTTTAAACAATTGTTGAAACAATTTTGACCAATTTAAAACAATTGTTGAAACAATTTTGACCAATTTAAAACAATTGTTGAAACAATTTTGAACAATTTTAAACAATTGTTGAAACAATTTTGAACAATTATGAACAATTTTAAGGTTTCGGAAATGGTCCCGGACTACCAAGCCTTTTGAAAACACTCAAATTTTTGGCTTATTTTTGAGGCCTAAATTTCAGGGAATATCCCCACTTAACACTTCGCTGTCAATGAAATCCATAGGGATCCACTGCTGCCAAGAGCTGTCCCGCTTCACATCGTTTCACCGTGTGGTTTCGGACACTGACTCGGCGAGGTACATGTTTGGCGAAGTCTGACTGTAATATATTGGAATATATCTATTTATATATTTATCTATCTATCTATCTATCTGTCTGTCTATCTATCTATCTATCTATCTATCTATCTATTTATCTACTTATCTACGCTCAAACAGAGGAAATCAAGATTAAGATCCCGGGGGGTTGAATCATTCACCCAGCTCCTGCAACCAGTGGTGATGAAACTTGGAGCCTTGGAAGGACACGAGCCCATTTGGCAGCTTCCAGTATCAGAAGCTGGGCAGATATCTAGGTCACTGGCGCGCCCAAAAAACAGGGCATTGTTTCAAGCTTCCCATAACTGTTGAAACATGGTTGGAACATGTGACGGAAGTCTCAAAATGGAGGGTAGGTCAAATATAAACAGAAATAACCGTGAAACCATGGGAAACATATGATGAATCCCCAGCAGGATCACCCCAGGCCCAACAGCTCCGCTTAGGATGGGAGGTGGTTTCAACCGTGCTGGCGGTTTCGTGGAGCTCTTGAACTTCGATGAACCTAAGAAGGTCACCCTTAGGCGTGGATGGGTAGAAATCACTTGGGCTGGAAGTCAAGAGTTGCCCTCCGGTAAACTAACATAGCCATGGAACATGACGGATGATTTACTGCACCATTTACGAGAATGATGATGCTCAATAGCTATGTTGCATTACCAGAGGGCAACAGATTGGATTGGATGGTTCTTGATGGTAAATGTTGGGGCTAAAACATGTTGAACCCATGGTCACACGTTCTCAAAAATGAATTCTGTGGCCCCAGTGAAAGCATCCCAATGGGAGCTATTTGGGGATGGTCATAGCACCATTCATAGGGAATTGCAATGGCCTGGGCTGATCCAAAACACCCATGACATCAACTGCAGATAGTGAAGCACACAAACCCTTGGAGGCTCTAATGACGTTTCCACGAATCCTTGTCTCGCGGGATTGGTTGTGGGGAAATCTGAAAAAATATATCTGGCTTCCTGACGTCGCCAAAAAACATGTAACCAATTCATGGATTGTCAGATCGGTGACGCATCCAGGGACCTCAAGCATGTGCTGGGTGAACAGAGGCAGCTACATCGGACCAACCCCTAACCACCACTAAGCCTAGTGCTGTCACACAAATCTTACCTGTCATATAACTTATGGCTAAGATCTGCTTTTACTCATGTCTCCATATTTTGTTGATAAATCAGTCTCAAATCGAGGTCGGTGGATATTACGTGCTAATTGAAGCACATCATGAACGCATATTAGCATTCATTTTTGTTTGTCTTACTATGGCATAGTATGACTATGATTGATTGAAATTCTTTGCTAATAACGAAAAAAATCGTCATTCTAGTCATTAATTCACATTCCCATAGGATCCATGTATGGTATATATGCTAACATTTGGGGTATATTGATGGTAAAATATGGTAAATGTTACCATATATAGCATACATGGTCCTATGGGATTATTTGCTATATTTCGGGCTACATCTATATCACTCATCGAACGATCGATAGCACGCACGGCCGTGGCACTGTCTTTCCCCTGGTCCTGAAGACGCCAGGAAGATTTCAGCCCTGAAGCGCGAAGGCTGGTTCGACCTGAAGCAGGGTTCTATAGCTACTCGCTGCGTCGTTCCGAGTTTTTGTTGGGAGATGGATGTGGCAGATTTTTCGATGAAATCTAGTACAAAAAACTGTCCAGCAAATCTGTATCCATATTGCATATATCATAATATTATCCAATATCCATATGATAATATTACCCAAATATGTTTAATTAATAAATGTCTATATCCATGACTCTGAATCCGTTTGAGGGTTTGAAGAAACAAAACTCGAGCGACCTCGATGGGTATGAATTTAGAAGGTGCTGCAAGGGAATGGCACGCCTAGCATCGATGGCAACAACCCACGTGCCCCTCCCCCAAGACAAGCTGGTAATGGACAATCCCCATCATATATACTCTCCCACACACATATTATATATATATATACATATATGTTACTTTACCTGGTTGGTGGTTTGGAACATTTTTTATTTTCCCATATATTGGGAATAATCATCCCAACTGACGAACTCATATTTTTCAGAGGGGTAGGTCAACCACCAACCAGTTACTGATTAATGTCCTCTAGACATCTCAAGACAATCCAAGCCACTGATCTGCCGATTTTTCAAGGTGACCTGATCCCCAGGTTGTGGAACTGCTACTGTGGAATGGCAATGTGGATCTTTTGACCCACATGGCCTTTGCATTTGAACATCAGTTCAGTGGCAAGACAGATGTGCAACTTGGTTGTTTCAGCTTCGGTCGGGGCACACGAAGCTGCTGTTCATAAGACCCACAGCTCCTAAATATATATATATATATATATCTAAATGCTCCCCCAAAAATAGGTCATATCCCCGATCCCCTACCAAAAAAAAACACACATGGATTCTGCTGGTTTCTGCGGTATGTCTCATATGAACAGGGTAGGGATTATTTCAGAGAAAAAAAGCGGCTCAACTCCAGGGAACGGCTGTGTCCTAGTGTTGGTTGATGAGCCTCCGCTCCCAAGCAACAGGAACCTCCAGAAAAATCTGGGCAAAAAATCGTGTAAAACAATAAACCACTCTTCAGCCCTCACCTTTGAACTATTTTGAACTCATATAAGTTGGTAACCCCCATGAACTTTGGTAATACCTGGAACATCCTGGAACCATCAACCCAGCTATAGCTCATTTAGCCCCACCTCGGAGCTGGGATCCTGCCAGCTGCCCGTTTTTGTGTGAGGAAAGTCTTGGTGAGTTCTTTGAACTTCAACATCCATGACTTTAGCCTGGCCCCTTGGCAGCGAATGTGATGTGAATTTTCGAGGCATGTGAATTACCGAGTTAAATGTCATGTAGAAAATGGATACATTTGGGGAAATTGCCAAATTTCAACAGGATCATTTGACAATCATAAATTGCAAATTGAATTCAAAAGTGACTGTAGATTGACGGTAGTCTTTTTTTCCGAATAATGTGTTTAGCAGTTTTTTCCGAGTTCATAAGTTCTTCTTGTGACCAGATCTGTGGTGAGTTAGACTTCGCTTGGTGATTCTGGTGTCGGGTGTCCCTGATGTTTTTTTTTCTCGAGTTCGATGGGGCAACTCGAAACGCCCGTCTGATGCATCCCGAATCGACAGGTGTCCACCTATGCTCGCATTTTCATTTACATCGTCATCATCGTTTGCTTCGTCTTCTTCTTCCGCTCACAGGTGTGGTCAGCAGTGATTTTTTGATGAACACCAGATCAGTTTCCATGGTTTCCATCCCCTTGCGGCAAGCCTTACAGCAAGCCTTACGGCTCGATGGACATCCCGGATTGGGATTGGGTGAGGTGGAAGACATTTCGGCGGACTATAAGTTGTACTTTTCGGAGCCCATGGGCTACATCCACCTGGCCTTGGTGGTTCTGTGTGCCTACGTCATTGTGTGGCATGGTTCAACTTGGACAAAAATAGATGGGATACCCTCCAGTAAGCTAAGATAGCAGATAGCTATGGAAAATGGAAGTCACCTATTAAAATGATGATTTTCCATAGCTACGTCAAATTACCAGAGGGTACCAATGGGTTCACGGTCAGCATGGTCCATCTTCTGGATCAGGAAGTTGTTCATCAGAGCTCTCACGGGTCAGACACTGCATTTGAGGGTCTGTTGTCTTTGTGCATTCAAGCCAAGTTCAAGGCATCACAGGATTTGGATGGTTCATCTTGGCTCATTTTCGCAGATATGGGATGAAGAGTGGGTCACCAAGGGCATCCATCCACACGGTGGTGCTTCAGCATCGATTTTGTACTGAAGCATCCTACTTCTGAAAGTTTTTCGATGTTCACATGGCAGTTATGGCGGTTATGGCGGTTATGGCTGGCGGTTCCCAGCCATTCCCAACCAACTGTTGGCTTTTGAGGGGTAATGGTCAATGGTATCATCCAGGTTTTGAGACCGTCCCCACTTTTAGCCATGGGCGCTGTTGGCTGCGGGGTGCAGTGAGTAGATGGGATGGGGCCCTACACAAGAACAGAATGTCATCAGGTCCTAGCCACGCAATGAAGCAACTAAGTGAACAGGTCATCCAAGTATGAGGTATTCAAAGGTATTCCCAAGACTTCAAATGATTTTCCAGGATCTACCTGACCATCATTTTCTCCTATGCCTATCTTCACTTCAATCTCCCAATGGAAGCCGCAGAGTTCCCAGACATCGCGGTACCTTGGCAACGGGGTTTGGATGGCAGCACTCGGAATTTACCCACCTTTCTGGTGACATTCCATGAGTCACATATACATTTTATATATATAATATCATTATATTTAGATTATATTTACTCTATATCTAGATTTTTTTATAATATCACTTATTATTATTACTATCATTATTATTTCCATCATCATCATTATCCTTATATATATATTACATGGATCATTCACCCCCTTTTTTTCCCTTCACCGGCCGGCGTCCAGGAGTTGACCATGAACAATCAAGATCTGAAGGTCGTGATCTCGGTGGTCACCTGTTTGTTGTTCGTGCAGGCTGACGACGCGACGACGCCGTGTGGAGATGACTGGAGACGTGGTCGTCTTTTCTGTTGGAAAGACGTGTTTTCTGTGGCTTAATAGATATAGATATAGTCATAATGTAACTATATAGTTATAGATATAGCCATTGACTATAGATGTTTCTACTAAATAAGAATGGTTAATGATATATATATATATATATATGAATAAATTGATAATGGTTAATGATGGTAAATAATGATTAATTAATGATTGTTAATAGTTAATACCCTCTGGTAATTTAACACTTAGCTATTGAACATGTCACATAAAACTAGTTGATTTACCTACAAAATCATGTGATTTTCCAGTTCGCTATTAGCTTACCAGAGGGTAAATACATGTAACTGTATGACTGTAATGTGGGTAAAACAATGCCATAAACCAGCCATGGGAATGGTAAACATACCACCTGTACAAATGGTGATGACTGGGGGATGGTTTATTATTTTTCCTCACATTAACAGTATAACTGTATAACTGTAATATGTAAATATCATCAAACTCTTGTCCTGGAAACACTTCGTCTGATCAGTTCTATTTTTTTGGGGGACCCTGCAAAATTCATGTTTAATCTTTATGCGCTATGAATGGGAAACATACATATGTTCATGAGTTACGAAACAGCTGCACATTGATTTCAGGTACATCTAACATTGGCCAGGATGATTTTTTTAAATATTTGGAGCAGTTCAGGACACTGAAATTTTGACTTTTGATTGGAAAAATGGCAGTGGATCCACAACCGACTGTCTGACTTGGGAGTCTCTAATGTCGTTGTGGGCCATTAATAAATATTAAAACGCCCAGTTTTATCATGTTTTATAGATATCAAAGACAGGCAGTGGCTGAATGCACCAGTTTGATGCCCCAGCTGCGATTGCTGGTGGATTCAATGGCTGTGATGATTCTTGGCGCCACAAGTGTCACGCTGTGGTGGGTGACGATGTTTCTTTCGACTGTCACGTTTCATCTTGGAAATCAAGAAAAGTCTTAGAATATGGGGACAGCCGGCCATTGGTTACCATGCAACCATCTCTCGAACCCGTCAGTTGAGGATGGAGATGCTATGTGCTCATAAAGTATAAAAAGAATCATTTTGACAACTGTGGGGAGCCATGTCCATTGGCCATATCCAAACATCTTATCTTAATGATAATATATAAAAATTATATAAACATGTTTGCCGTGAGCGGCGCCCCAGTGATGTTTTTTAAGGAGCAATCACCTGGTGACTTTCTTCGTGCTGCTCTTCTTGATGATTCTGGGCTTTGGCTCCTTGGTCGTCCTTGGTGCTGAGATGTGCTGAGGAAGTTGGAGTCTACTCACCAGTGCACTCCAAAAATTGTGTGGCTTGCCGCCTCATTCCCATCCAAAAACTATGCACAAAAATATTGGATTGAAAGGCATTTTTTTTAATGTTTGATGGTTCAATCTGTATCAATCTTGACGTTGATCAAACGCCAAAAATGTGAGGATTGCACCAGCGGATTTTTCCCAAGCCTCTCCCCATCCGGGTCATCGCAGCGCCACAAGATTTGCGCCACGGCTGAGGTTTGGCTGGGATCTTTCTGCTAGGATATGACCTGAGCCAGTTCAGCAACTCGGCAGCACATTGGCTACCCTCTGGTAATTTGTTACAGTTTGCGAACTGGAAAATGGCCATAGAAATAGTGGATTTACCCAGCTGGAAAATGGTGGATCTTTCCATAGTTATGTAAACGTTTACCAGAGGCTAGCTGGAAAATCCCATTCTGACGGAGCTCTTTTTTTTAGGGAAGTCATCTATAAATGGGAGATGTTGAAAATTGCCGTGTTGGATTACTGGAGGGTATAGTATGTATAGTGTAGTTTTCCCAATCTGCATTTTGTGCCACAAATGCAGATTGGGATATGATATTTACTACCCTCTGGTAAACGTTTACATAACTATGGACAATCACCATGTTATTAATGGGTAAATCAACTATTTCGACTGGGCCATTTTCAATAGCAAACTGTTAAATTACCGGAGGGTAAGCAGTTTAAAACCAAGATGTTGCAGCGGTATCCAAGATTGGCCGTGGGTCTCTTTTTTAGGCGCTGTGAAGAATAAATTTGATACTGTAGCCCATGACGGATCCATGGTGCTGGTATATATGCTAACATGACTGGGGTATATGGATGGGATCCATGTTACCATATATGGCAGCACCATGGGTCCTATGGGTAGGTGCTTCCGAAGATTTTTTTGGTCATGCTGAGTCATGCTCATTTTCAAAGAATCGAATGCCAAGAACTACCTTCCAGTAAATTAACATAGACCCTGCCAGATAGGGGTTGGAATTATTAGTTTCCACTAAAAATATGTGATTTGTAGTTTTTATAGGGCCTAGGTCAACTTACCAGAGGGTATAGTAGACATACAGTAATACACGTTTTCAGCGGAGTCTTGAAACCCTTCAACCTTCATTGATCGAATTGATTTGACGAGACTATTTGCAGGGACACCCGCAATTTTTTTGGGATGAAAACTGGGTCTTAATGTGTTTTAGCAACCAGTAAACAAACACAGATGTGGAGAATCCAATGTTAGAAGAATATGTTCAGAGGGTTTCTCCATAGGTTTTCCACAACGTTTACCCTAGGGTAACCAAATCAATCCAATGATTCATCTATTGGAAGTCCCATTCCATACTCCCAGGAAGTGTGGATCGAAGCATTTTGACGGTGGTGGAAATGATCCGGGGCAAAGCGACGCTAGGTGATGAGTAAACACGACGGTGGGCCTGCAGTGGTGACGACATTGACGATCTACCCTCTAGCAGATCAACATCCTGCAGATCTACCAATGTTAAGTGGAACCTAACCCCCTGTCTGTATGTTAATTTTATGGAGGGTATACTATCCATTCATATCCATATGTAACATATATGTACATTTTCCCAGACTATGGGATGACGATTGTTCTCCCAGTTGCGGGGGACAAGCTGGATAAGCATGTTGACTAGACTAACTTGCTATGTGGCATGATGGACCAAATTGATCCAATTTGGGGTGAATCTTGCAGGTTATTTGGTTACCAGAGGGTAAACCTCCATTTTCCTATGATTTTCCCATTTTCCTATGGTTTTCCTATGGTTATTTGGTTATCTTGCAAGGATGCCAGCGCTTCCGCCGATCCACTTGCCCGCCATGCGGGATCCATGTCTGGGGATGCCCTGGGGTCCACCAACCATTCCCGGCCATGTCAGGTCAGCCCTGCATGCTTTGTTGTACACAAATGTTTCACAACTTCACAACACTAATTCCTGAAAGTCAACTCATCTTTACCAAGAGAATTCAGCATTAACACAGGGTGAAGTTACAAGGGAATTTCTAGGCATATGAAAAAAAACTTGCAACTGCTTTGCCAGGGAATCATTCAAAGCTATATAGTTACAATATGTTGCAATCTCATGGCTGCCCAGGAGACTTTTTTTTTAAAGAAAAAATGGCACTGCCAGATGAAACCGAGGAATTACGATCAAATTGTGGAGGCTGACGACTCCTTCGGCGATTCCTACTTTTTGTTCTTCCAGTTCTTTTTCCTCATTTTTCAGCAGTTTCCTGGACTGAACCATAATGACCATACGGCTTAAAAGCCAGGTCCAGGTCTCAACGCAGAAATTTCCATCTCGATATATCTCAGCCAGGTCCTGTCACTGTTCTCAACGGACGTTGAGGGTCGCCTACAGCGGTGCAGAAGCTGTGTAAAAAAAGCCATCGGAGATAGTTGCTATGCGTTGGATACTACTGTGATGTCTAAACCAGATGATTACCCTCTGGTTATGACTAACATAGCCATGGTATAGATGGCCCATTTACAGATGGTTTACCTATTAAAAATGGTGATTTTCCATGGCTATGTTAAATAACCAGATGATTATCTTCAACCTCCCAGGGCCAGCGTTGTCCGAGGTTCCTCCTGACGATTTTGATGACTGGCTACCTCAAAGAACGCAAGCGTCTCGCCGAATCTGAGCAGGCAGGATACGGCAGGTCAGAACTCAAAGGGGCATTGAAGATTATCGTGTTGCAATTACCCCAAATAGCAGTGCAAAAATGTGTAAACCACATTAAACCACAAAATCCGTCCAAACATTTTGAGTTTATATATTTATATAACTTATTAAAAGTCCATTGTTGAACAAAACATGCCATCCGCTAAGTATTCCTTCAAATTGGAGGGTGAACGTCAATGGAATATCAACAGAAAATCAAGGGTTTTGACAAAGCATGTGCCAGCCAATGGGGCTCCTGGAAATGCTTCAGGCATGGTACATATGTTGATGGTGCAGAGTCAAGCAGAGTTTTTTTTGGGGGGGGCACAGGATGGGGAGATCCGTTTATCCGTTTGGTGTCAGATCCTTGTTCAGAACAAGAGTGTTGGTTCTCGTGGCCTTTTACGGCTTAAGAGTCCACCGCGAAACAAGAACTCGCGGGGGCCGGTGCCATGTCCATCAAACTGCGTGAACTCATCCGCAGCATCCGTGCGTGCAAAACTGCCGCAGAGGCGGTGAAGATCGGTGAAGTTTCGCGTCGTCTGGGTGTGGGAAACATTGGGAAACCCACTTCAAGCCCCCCAAAAGATTGCACTCAGCTTATCACCATAAAAATCCATAAAATACATTAAAAGACTTTAAAATATATACCATAAATATCCATAAATATCCATAAATGAGTGGTAAGAAACCATCTCCATGGGAGAATGGTCGGTTGATGATTGGGGTAAAGCCACACCAGGATCCAGAGGGGATGTGCGTCAGTAGTTTTGAGTGCCACCAGGTGGGTCGCATCCCCATCCATTTTTACAGGAACTTTTGGGTATTTGTTCCATCTTTAGGTCATTACTTCCTTCTTTTTCGATATGTTTGCAACCTCACTTCATGCGAGTTCCAATAGAACATGTTCGAACATGTCAATAATATATATAATATAATTATATATTATATATTATATAATATTCTCAGTTACCCGTTGGCAATGATATGGCACGCTGGAAATTGACCGTGAATGTATAAAGTTCATTGGGTTTTCCGGTTTTTCCCCAGGGTATCCCATCGCAGGAACGTGCCGTGATCGCGCGGGAGTGTGCTTTGATCCGGACCGCTTTCAAGGACCGGACGGGCGAGGGTGATGTTGAGCCAGGGTGGATGCTAGATATATATATATATATAATATTATATAATATATAATATAATAATAGAATACAATAAAATTGAATATAAAATATAATATAATGTATAATATAATATATAATATAATGTATAATATATAATATAATATAATATAATATAACATTTTATATTATATTATATAATCTATAATATAATATAATATAATACATAATATAATACATAATATAATATATAATATTATATAATATATAATGTAACATTTAATTTAATATAATACAATATAATATAATATAATTTAACTTAATACAATACAATATAATATAATATAATATAATATAATAATATATATATATATATATATCACAGTGTGGAAATCAAAAGTCAGTGGGAGATACTTGGTATTTGATTGGTACTGTATATAATTTATAAGTAACACATATATGGAGGTATGAGGTTGCCTAAATATACCATAAACTCTCATATATCTGATTTATAGTCAATGTGGATGTGGATGTTAGCCCAGCTGCACGTTGAGCCTGTTCAACAAGATTGGACATGTGGCGGGAGGTGTCACTGTGTCATACCATAGGAAGAACTACCCTCTGGTATCCTCTCTGAAAATTTGACGCAGCTATGGACAATTCCCTATAAATGGAGGTTTTAACGGTAAACTCCACAAAATCAATGGTGGATGTTCCATTATGGTGTTTGATTACAGGAGGCTACCTATGCAAAAAAATGACCATTCATAGATTATTTGCCTGTTCAAATGGTCAAACTGTGATTTTCCATAGCCATGTTGAATTACCCCAAGGTATATACCCAGAATGGGTTTGGTGGAAATTTTCTAGGAAACCCCATATTTGATAGAAAAAAACTGGTTGTCTGATTGTTTTTTCCTTAAACCAATCCATTGACAAGTACACATTATATATATATGTGATATAAATGATGGCATTCCAAGCAAGCCTTGATATGAATGGTTTGTAATGGTGCCGCAATGGTAACTTGTAAGCAAGAACTTTCCGTGATGAGGAAGCAATGCACAGTAATACCATCACAAGTAATCAAAACTAATCGCAGTACCAGTCTCTTGGAGTTCTGGGTCAATGAAGAGCAGATCATAATGTATACATATATGAGTGAATTGCATATATATATATATACATATGTATATATATATATGTATAATGACCTCACTGTGACGTCACTGGAATGATGGTTAGTAAGGGCAATCATCACCAAATGGCCTTATTTCATCTATTTTGAGTGATGCATTCTGGTGTGATTGCTGCATTGCAAGCTCACCAAAAATTGGAGTGATTTTGAACCAAACCCTGCGAGTTCACATCTTAACACATATTTTCTATATGTTTTCGAAAGTTTTTGACTTGTTGAAGGTGGCACTGTGGTGTTCTCAGGGCCGCGTTGCGTCGGCACAGGAAGATGACAACCAATTCAGGCATCGAAACGTGGCGAAGCTTCTGTTCATTCACATGATGGGATATCCGACGCATTTCGGTCAGTCTCTTGGCGAAAAACATGGCGATTGGGCGGTAAAGGAAGGGCATAGTAACCTTGAAGAACCTCCAAAAGAAACCCAGACAAACTGCAAGCAAACCGACGAACTGATGCTTTCGACGCTAAAACTTGGAATAACATGTAATATTTATGAATAGAGACAATAGTTTGGTGCAGAAAGTGGCAAACGGGCCCCCAATGACTTTATTTTTGTGAATGAGCAGCGTGCTTGGAGTAAATTGATGTGGAGAAATGTGGAGAATTACTATGTTTTCCCGTTGGAAAATGAGAAATGCTGAGTTTTCATGGGTTTTCTGAATATCTCTGTTTGTTTACAGAAGGGTATGCAGATTGATGATGTCTATGAATATCTATGATTGTAGAACACAATCATTGCCTTTGGCCATTTTGTTTGGGTGAACTCCGTCAGAATGGGCCTGACACTTCCATTGAAGTGGAGCCAACTTCCTATACTGTAACGCAGTTGGAACTGGTATACCTTTTGGATGCGCTGAATGGTGGTAGGTACTCGAATGGAATGATATGCATTTTCTTGCGTTTCTGTTCTAGTTCTCACAACAGATTAGAATTGAGACACTATGGTAAGATCTAATATGATAAATTCCAGATACTGAGCCATTTACTCGCTGGTGTTTCTGATTTTTTCGCGACTTAGCTGGTTCGCAGGGAATAAGCATAAACAACATACATAAGGGTTGAACCAAGTGCATCAACAGTGTGTCACCCTTCCTGAACCACGACGGGCCATGTGATTTTTTTGGGAGGTATTTTCACGGCATTATCACGTATCATTTGTGTGATCAATGCCTGGCCGGCGGCCATACTCAGTGGCTTCAATAGCTTCAGTAACTTCAAGTCATCCAACTTCATCCAACCCCTCAGCTCAGACATATGCTTTCATTTTCCCCGTGCTGTGACTGCATGTGCAGTGGTGCAACGCAGGATGCCAGGATGGCATCATTCCCCGATGTCCTTGTATCAAACAAGTCTCAAACCTTCCGCCTTTTGGCTTCAGGCTCAACTTTGGATGCCGACAATTTGACTTCCCGCTTCAAACTCATCACCTCCATCACCAGCATATCCTTCTTGTAGCCCTTGCATCTTTTGTAGGTCTGCTCGTCAAGAGCCTGCAACATGTCCTTCAGCTCTCCGACCTTCATCTTCTGGACCCTGGAACGTTCTTCTCGCTCCCAAGCCTGCATGTCTTCGACCTTCTGCATGGAATCGTGAGGGGGCTCAGCCTGACAAGACCCAATGGCTATAGCCAAGGCAATGCAAATTTTGACTTCTGAATTCTGAGTCCAAAAAACAATCACTTACTTTCTTTTGTCACTCACGACTCACTACCTATATATATACCCCTTAGTTGCTACTCGTGCCAATTTGAAAAATGCACTAGTAACGAACTGGTGGCACATGGCAAGTGGCTTTAGTTCTGAATCCATCGGCCAGCCTGAGCAGCCTCGTCATCTTCATTTTCAACGTCGTTGTCGCTCAAACTGGCGCCATCAAGGTCCTTGCTGGGGATAGTCGGTAGTTGGTGAGAAATCTTGGCGCTTGGCCCTTTTGAGATGTCAGATGGGCTCAGGAAAAAGTTTCCAGAGCCTCCAAAGACAGAATACACAAACAAACAGCTGACAGCTATGACAGCCGTATGGTTTTGCAAGGGCTGCTGAAGTTTGGACTACGTACGCTGTCCTTGTCAAGATCGTCTTGCTCGCTTTCAGCCGCAGCATCCTGCGCAAGGTCGCCGCCACCATTGGGAACCTGCTGTTCCTTCTCATCAATCTGGGATGGCGTAGGCTCGCCCGCCTTCTCGGGAGAAGCTGCCACAGGAGCAGCACCAACTGGGGCAACAGCGGAAAAAAATCATGACGACATGCATGTGTTCATGAACGAATCCGATGTGGCACCGGTATGTAGCACGGCACAAGGTCTGAAAATCTGAAGCCTATAAAAGGAAAGCTAACGACCGAAGACTGTATGGTATATACTATCTTGATTGAAGAAGTCCGAAAGAAGGAAAGAACCAAAGGAGGCCAGCCCCAGTGGAAATCACCCACTACATTGAACCCACACTGACTCACACAGTAGTGAGTACTCATGCTTGAAGTTGAAGACGACGGTGAACATGAAGATTGATATTATATCCCGCTTAACCAGCTGTTCCCAGTTCCCAGTGACAAACTCTGAAACAACTCAGATCAAAAACTCACATGTGAGGTCTTCTGTAAATACGTCCTTCCGGATTCGGAAACAAATCGATTTCACTATCTCAAGGATTCTCATGTCTCCGCCTTTAAAGTTCAATTCTTTCAGCCGGCATCAAACATGAAAAGCATTGAAGGTAGTCACCTTCAATCAAAAGCCTGCATACGTTGCAAGCGCGTGGCTCTTTCCATTCTTGTTCGCAGCATCATTGAAGGCGTGTTTTTCCTTGGCGCGTAGAGGTAGACAATAATATGTCCCACAGTTCTTGGCACTCCAACAATCGCAAACAATAACTTGTGCAAACCTGCAGGTCCTTAGACTCACTTTTTTACACATGTGACGGCTTGTAATGGTTTGTGAGCCGATTCACGGGCCACTGCTAATCTTTCCGCGTTTTTTCTAGTGTGGATCAATGGATCTAGCGCAGATCTACCGCCAGGACTGCGTTTAGCTTTCTTGTGAAGTTTTGAAAAGCCGTCGTTTTCACACATCTTCATAAGTCACTCTCCTGATGTTGGCAAGAAAAGAAATGGAAATGGCATTTCTACAAACAGCCCGGCCTTACACCTGACAGTACACTGTGTGTCAGGAAACATCTTCTTAGAAGCCTTGAGTTTCACTTTGATGATGGCAAAGAACATCGCAATAACTACACATACACGGATCCCAAAGTAGATGGCTCAACTCAAAAACCAAAATACCAATAATATGGCACCGCGCGGTGAGGAAGAAAAAGGCGCTATTTTGGCTGGAACATAAAAAGAGTTACGCCATCTATGTCCATTAAATCAAATCCCATTCAAATGCCAGAAAATTTTTCGATGGGTTCAAAAATGAATTGCGCCATCTATGTCCCTTAAATCGCATTCAAATTCTTTCCGGTCATTTTCGCTTGCTTACATTCTCTACACCATTGCCCAAAAACGCCCATTTACAGACCCCGGGGGGGGACGGGGGATGTGCAAATGGGGGTTTAAGTTTTTCTTTGGGGGAATTCATTAGCTCCGTTGAGGGTTGTCGGGAGGTATGAGGGACTTGCGCCATCTATGTGGGCATTCCCAGCTTGATTTTGGCAAATGAGTGGAACCCCCAAATTGCTATCAAGCCATTGATGTTTTGTGCAGCAACCCTGAAATATTGACAACTTTAAAAATCCGCCAGGCCCAATGGGCGCGCGCGAAAAAAACCCGCACCTGGTACTCGATGTCAGAGAACTGGCCCAAGATGTCCACAGTAGCGTCGCTGTCGATCAGTTGTACCTGGCGTAAGGAGGGGTCGGCGTACAGGGCGATGCCCTTGAACATAAAAACTTTCTTCGAGTGGTCCCCACCCTGAAACACTTTTCCGAATTCTTTCTGGCATATACGCTGACATGAGTGGGACTTGCGCCATCTATGTCCCCGAAAGGCAGCTTGATGTTGAGGAACAATTGTGGGCACAAACCAAGGCAGAAGATTGCAAAAAATAGGTCATTCTTAGGGACATACATGGCGCAAACTACCTTTTTTGAAATGGGGTTGCGCCATCTATCCCCTGCATTTTGCCTTTGACATAGATGGCGCAAGTCAAGAAATTGAGCCATCTACTTTGAGACTGGAGTAAATAAAGTATCTGGCGCCACACTACCACAAATCTAGAGCACAGGTGCAGGGAAGCAATATCATTGCATAATAAACAGGACTCGGCTTTCTGACGAAACCGAAAACTATTTGTGTCCCTCGGTCCCTCGACCAAAAAAAATCCAGAAAAGAAATTAAAGCGGATCTTGGACCCTGGTCTCTCATGTATGAAAGTGGTTGGAGTCTATCATACAAGCTTCTAAACTGGCTTGCCAAGAAACAAGGCATACCACCGGGAATGGGTAGGGAAGAGGGAGCAGCAGCCGAAGGCACCGCCTCAGCAGCCTCGACAGGAGCGGCCGTGTCAGTGACATTTCTGGAATACGACCGTTTGACGCTTTGACTTTGTAAATATCGTCCGAAACACACATGTAGCAGCGCCACAGGCCACAGGCACAGAGAATATGATTTGCGACCAGTTTTGTAGCTCTGCCAGAAGAATTAAGTGAAACCAATGAGCAATCAACTGTTCCTGCTTGAATCTGTTGAATTGAAGGTTCAAACAAGTTCAAACCGTGTGGTGCCATGTGGTGCCATCAAAAAAACACTAACACCCCTTAACCATCCTTGATCCACCGTGCAAAGCCCTTATGTTTGCTCCCCGACGAACCCCGACGAACTCCGACGAACTCAGGCCTTATGTCCTGATGTTAGCCTGATTTTGTCCTTTTTCTCTACGTGAATTTTTGGTTTACTCAGCTACAAAACTAAGAAAAATAACGCATTTAAAGTTATAACTTGCTTTTTTTCATTGGTTTCCCTGCTTCAGCAGTTGGTTTTTCCGTATGAAAATGCTGCGCAAATGCTATTCCGACGAACTCCTGCGAACTCCTGCGGACTAAGCCTGAGCAAAAAGACATAAGGACAAAGTTGATCATTGTTGTTCTGACTTTTTTCAACTCCACATACTTGTTAGTAAAACATTTTCCCTAGAGTTTAGGGTTTAAGCCTTAGAATGCTTTTTTAGGGTTTAGGCTTCCGTTTAGGGTTTAGGATTAAGGGTCTAGGATGATAGGATGTTTGGGGCATGGCTTGGGTTTGTTGTAGCTTAAATATACTCTCTAGCGTTTGGGGTGTCAAGCCCCAAACAGTTGCCACTGTACCTGGTAAACACTTTCGGTTGTTCAAAAAAGTCCCATGGCACTGTGGCACATGATCCTTATATGATTCATAAATTAGTGACAGATTCACCACATTTGCCACATGTGAACGCGGGTCGAACCTGCAAGTCTGCAATACACGGAGTCCATCATCACCAAGTTGCCAGTGCGCATGGCTGCAAAGTTCTGCAAGCGTCCACTGTTTTTGAAAGAGACCTGCGAGCAATAAATCTGCAAATACCAATCTTTTGCCACATTGCGCGACCCATGAGAGCAATTATCGACTTTTTTCAAATCTCAAGTGTCTGCTATGACTTCTGATTTTAATTTCAAGTAGGTCATGCAATTTGATCCATGCACACAGGAAACCAACAGTGAACAGTGACAAGTACTACCATATCAGATAAGCATGGCATTCCCCTTTTGGAAGTGTAACTCCGGCGACCGAGAATTTTGTGCCTGTGGACGCTGGACCATGAAGTGTTCTTCAGCCTTAAGTGGCCCACAATTTCGAATTAGCCTTTCTTTTTCCGAAAGCAGTGTCAGTTTCAATGAATCAATTTGCCAGCAAGATCAAACACAACCAAGTCAAGACTGGCTGGCGGCTGGAATGATGAGGACCAAACCTGCTCAGCCACATAGAGCTGGATCTCCAGCGGTCATCCATCTGGCCCCAGAAACTTGTCAAAATATTCCTTACGAAGGGGTTTTCGCCCATCTCTCTAAGAGCGTCAAGTCTCAAAGTCAAACCCGTTTCCAGTTTGGGCAGTAGTTTGTGTTTGGGCTCAAAGCTTTGCCGTATGACATGTTAATCCTATGCTGGGAGGCATATGTTGCACCTGGTTGGGAGGTGGGAAGAGCACAAAGGGGCGGCCTGAGTTTTTGTTTAAATATCTATTAAGCCAGAACAGCCAAGCCCCAAGCCAAAGCAATTACCGAATGACGCGCTTCAAATTGAAATTCAAAGAAGCTCATGAAGCTCTTGGTCTTGGTAAAGTTGCCATCCGAAAGTTCTGCATGTTGCTGTCACATACTGCAAATAGCAAGGCCCCGGTCCTTGTCGGATGGAAGTATCTGGCCGACGGACAACCGGGTGTCCAAATTCACCTGGCAAAGGTAACATGAGCAAGTGTTGCCTTGGATAGTGTGGAGCAATGAGCCTTTCAGTTTCAGTGCTCACAAGCACACTCTGTCCATGAAAAGCCAGACATGCATGAAATTTCTGCAACATGCTAAAACTTACGGACTGGACCGAACAAGTATGGAGCCAATGGAATCTGGATGATGGGTTGACATGGTTGCAGCTATTGAATCTTGACTAAGACTACATTTTCGACTGGAGCCACAGCTGGTAAAAAGAGGCCATCCATCATCCATCAGCGCAAAATTTAAATTTGTAAAGTCAAATTCATCCAAAATCAAACGGTGAGACATTGACATTGCCACAACAGCGCAGTGCCAGCCGCAGCTGCCAACACAATAGTAACAACACAAATAACCCAGGTTATGTCCTGCTCGCATTTCGCAGGTGCTGTGCAAAACGGAAAGCGCGAAACAGAGATAAGAAGTCATACTGCCTGACTCTGCTAGGTTTGTTCTTCTTCCTTAGCTGTTCGCATTCACAGATTGGCGGCCCAAGTCAAAGTGGCATGGCACTCAAGTAGCCAGAATGAGCATGGACTTGCGTGGATGCCAAATTGATGCCTAAAATTCATCATCCTGTCCGGTTGGCAAAAGCATTCTGTAGCACAAAAACTACCTTTTCACGCTGTGCTTTGTATGCTTGGAACTTGGAACCGCAAGCTTTGTGCTACCAAATGCAAGTGGATGCGCCTGGAAGATGGGGGCTTCACACCTACATTTCCTTTCACGCTCATCATCTTTGCATCCATTTCCTTCCATGTTCCTGTACTTTTGCGTTCATGTCATGTCCTTTGATTCTCTTGACATTTTGTGGCATTCATTTGCTTCATGGTCCTTTCATTTTTGCCCGGATTTCTTTGCGCTTTGGTTTTTGCACTCATTTCCTGCCATTTCAGTCTCATTGGCTGTTTCATTTCCTGGCTTTTCATTTATTGCGTTTGAAGGGAAAGCCCACCGAAAAACAAAATCAGGATGGAATCAGTCTCAGTGTCCATTACAAAATGCACTGTCATTTCATTTTTCTCTCATTGAGTTGATTCATTTCCTTTTGTTTTTGCGACAGCTATTGCATTCATGTCCTTTCATGTTCCTGTCATTTTTCTATTTCTTTGATTTCTTTGATTTTTTTGCATTCCAAGTTGTGTATGGTGAAAGCGAAGTCCAACTGCACTACAAAATCAGGATGGAACGGGTGTCTACTACAAAATATACTTCCGTCTATTGTCCTTCATGTCATTCCATTTGCTTCCTGTAATTTCGTTTTGAATATATAAATTTGAAAATGATATCTAGGGGGTCCTAGGCAGGCAGGAAACCAAAAGCAACATCCCAGCAACCAGAAGCTACTAATGATATCCCAGCACTGGGTAACGCTATCTCAGCATTAGCCTCCGGTGGCTAGCGCTATCTCAGCAGTAGCCTCCCCTGGCCAACGCTATCTCAACATTAGCCGTTCATTAGCCCTTCATACCTTCTGGAAAGGTGGTACGACGTGCTTTCACGGGTTTTTGCTCAATTTGTTTGCGCAGGTCCCATGTCGGAAGGGGTTGTAAAGTTGTACCAAGCATAGGTCCTCCCTCTTTGTGATGGAAACCGCAACAGAAATTAAAATTCCCGGCTCAAGCCGATTCAAACCTATCGGGGACTTGAAATTGAAAACTAGAAACTTCAAAATGAGAATTGGCTTATTGATTCATTCATTGTTCATCAGCGTTCTGGATCAGAATCCTGATGTTGAAGCAAGGATTCGTTCAACCGTTCATTGCACATAACTATATAAGTGAGACTAGGCACGCTTGACACACCAACCAGCGTTTGTATCGCCAACTGGCTGCAACTCTCTGCATCCTCCAGCAGCTTGCTGACATCCATCGCAGCGCCAGCACAACAGGATAGAGCCCCTCCAATTTCACCCTGAGGCTGCCCAATCGCTCCACTGACGCTGCCATGATGGTCATATGGTAAATGCGCGAATCTTGAGATTCTACTTGAAACTTTGAATTTGTCCCAGCTGACCCTAACTCTTGCGATTTTGGGACCAAGGTTCTAATTCCCAATGTGATCTGAAGTTGGAACTTCTGTGTTCTGAAATGAAGTTGATCTCAAGGGTGGCGAATCTGGAGATTGTGCTAGTTTTTAGCTAGTTTCATAGGGACATAACATAGAGTGCACAATCGAACATGTTCACCTGGTCAGCACAGCTGCTTGGCCACTTGTGAAGGCAAGTCGGGTGCTTATGTTTTTATATAGCCTTATGTCACCCGTCACCCGTAATCCCGCGAAATAATCCAGGTGTTTCCGCACAAAAGATGTTCCTTTGAAGCTTAGTGGAGCTTTCCTGTAGAAATTCCCGTCCAATCCATTGATTCTATGGGCTCCCAGGGGCCCATAGCGGCCGCCAGGATGGAGTGTTTGAAGCTCATCGCCTCGAGCAAGTTCGCCGAGAAGCGAGTAGGTGGGGATCCAAAAAGCACAACGGAACCGCAAGAGGGGAACGATTCTCAGCAAATCCACAGGATATGTTTTTTTCTTCAGATCTAGTGATTTAATATGATTTAATTGTCGTGTCGTTTCATCAGTGTTAGATTTAAAAGTGGTCTTTGCAGATGCAGGGGCTTACACGTGATACATGGTCCAGGGTTCAAAGATGCGAAGACGATGGGAAATACCCCATTCTGCAGAAAATGACTGGATTGGTACAACAAAAGTCTTTTGTAGCAAATCAGACTAAACACTCACCCGCATTTTTTGCATAGTATCTGCACGATTTGCCATGCATTCAGGGCTGTTTTTCCTGGCCAATGATTGTCCAAGGATGGGGCCGGGGGAACTTTTCCTGCTGGCTGAGCTGAAAAAATAATCCAGACCTTCAAAGTTTGCCGAAGAATGCAGGTTATCTCGGCTTGACCCAGCTCTTACATGAGAATACAGATGTGCTCATGCTGGTGACCAACTCGGCCACTTGGGACAACTGGACAACTTGCCAGGTGGAACACTGTTTCCTGCTATAGATGATATTTTACCTCATATCATATGATATTTATATAAATATTTATATTCTCAGGTGTCCCACTGTTCTATCTATTTTGGGGTTGCTATAGAGGAACTTGACCACCTCCAACGTGAAGCTGGGTGGCAGGCATCCCCGACGCTGGGTCTTTTCCCTGAGGTTGCCCCTATAGGCAAATTACTGTTTTGGGAGAGGGGTTAATTACATCCAACTGTAGCCCAAAATGCAATAAGTTTAGTGAATCGGTGATGATAGAATGGCCATACATATTGGGTTATAGATATATATATATATATATGTGTGTGTGTGTGTAAATATACCCAAGTTGGGGACAAAAGCAGTCCTCAAAACTGGTAGATTTCCTTTGCTGTTGGTTGTATGAACAGGTCTTCATTTTGCTGGTTAATTACCATCTCTCTTGTTAGTTGAGATCCCATTGGCAGTTTACAATGTTTACAATGACTAATCCCAGAAATTGATAAATGGAAACTATTTAAAAAAAATGCAGGGCATCCCCATATTTGATGGTTAAAAAATGTTAAAAACAGATGCCTTTCCTGTAGCTTTCTTCAAGTCAATAAAATCAACCAAGGTGAAACATGACATGAACAACGAAAATCAATACGTCAACGGCTTGGCGCTTTGTGCCCTGGGTATCTTGGATGACCTGGATGACTTGGATGACTTGGATGACTTGGAACATGTTTTCCATAGCCATGACGGATCCATGGTGCTGCTATATATGGTAAGATTTACCATCCATATATATATATATACCCCAAATGTTAGCATATATACCAGCACCATGGATCCGTCATGGGATATATTGGGGATAGTAAGCCCAACTGACGAATCATATTGTTCAGAGGGGTAGGGCTCAACCACCAACCAGATAATTTAACTATCAAACATGATAAACATGCGGATTGAACAATAAATAATATGGTGAATATATGGTGATTTGACCCTACAGCTCCTTTCACACCTTCTGAGACTGTATTTGGAGTTTGTTTTTGGGGTCGTTTTGCACCTTCTCAGAGGCTATTTGGAGCACTAGGGTGACCTCACCATCAAAAAATATGGTGGATTTCCTGGATCGATCAGGGGCCCGGGGCGGCTTGTTTGTAGGTCGGGAAGGCTTGCGTGAAAGTGACATCCAGCATTTTTTTTTGTTTTGGGTCACCATGAAATTGTTTAATAAAACAATTAGTGCATGGAGGTCCTCGTCCTTTGGATTCTGTTGAGTTCATAAATGAGTAGGTTAGTACAACCGTACAAGTTTTTTTCTAAAGCATGGTGGGGTATGATATACAGTACACTAAAGTAACCAGCTGAGACATATTCATCCAGTGGCATCTAAGATTGGAAGTGCTTGCAGGTGACCATGTTGTTGCTTTTACCCACAAATGTTGGGGTGTCCAGTGAGCTTTCTGAAAAACCCTGGGACATTGCAGGACCTTAGGATGGGAAAGACTGTTTTGGTTGATGGATTTGATATGGGCATAGATACCATCTGGTTATTTAACATAGCCATGGAAAATCACCATTTTTAATAGGTAAACCATCTATAAATGGGCCATTTTCCATGGCTATGTTAAATATCCAGATGGTATATGGACAAAAAATTGACAATCGCCAAAGCTAGGATCAAGTGACAAAAAAGGCATGTGGATACAATCAGTTTTTTTTTCCGCAAAGGATGTGACATTGAAGTAGATATGCTGCACTTAATGGTTTGACATAGATTGGATTCCATTCTTCTTTTACCAAACCCAGTGTTCATATTGATAGCAATCCACATGGGGATCAATTATTTGGATTGATTTACGAAATGTACCGAGTCTTTTGACATGTATTTTGTCTTAACCGTGTTTTTGTTCGGCCTGGAATTTCCATCAAACCGCCCGAGGCAACATCGGAAGCAATGAGATGTGCCGGGCGTTGGCTAGAGAAGTGGAGAATATGTCCCTTGGCGAAGGACGGTTCCCAGGTGTTCCCAGCAAACTCGAAATGAGTTTCTGTTTGAAACTTATGGGAAGACCTCTTGGTGGCCCATCCCACTTAGTAAGTGGGTTATAACCCCAGTTATAAGTGGATTAACCCTACTTATCCCATTTATAACTGGGGTTATAACCCACTTACTAAGTGGGATGAGCCACCAAGCTGGAACCGGATTCCTGTTTGACCCCTGAAACAGGGACAATGGCAACAACGTGGGGAATACTTACAGTGAAGACGGAGCCATTGGACATGGGCATCCGCACGGCCGAGTACCGCACAGCGTATGCCCCTGCACACCATTTCTGAACAAACCCTAATATCTCATATTGTTGGAATTTGTTGGATATTGTTGGATATTGGGACATATATCATATATATATATCCCAGCATTTTATACGCTGATGAAATCCATGTACAGTAACCCTAGTGCTCCAAATACCCTCTGAGAAGGTGCTTAGACCCCAAAAACAAACTCCAAATACAGTCTCAGAAGGTGTGAAAGGAGCTGTAGGCTAATGGTTTCATGATGTTTCATGGTAAAAGGTCCCATATCTGGATTTGTCTGGATTTGGACCTTTAAAAATCCCATGACATCCCATGAATGCACTAAGGGGATTTCTCCCCCATAGCCATAGAGCCATAGATCCATAGATCCAAAGCACCAAGGATGGCGTCGCCAAATCCTTACTTGAGCGCCCTGGCCTGGGTGAGTGTTGCCCCGATGTCCGGGGCCCAAAAAAGCCCCAGTCCCCTACAAAAGTCAACCCATTTAGTGGCTGAATGATGATCTACAGTAGGAGATTCCGAAGTACTATTAGATGAACAACTCCTCAAAAATAGGAGATTTCCATAGATTTCCCATTGCCACGTTTGATTACCACAGGGTATTCCTATACTCATGTAACCGATCCTACCTGTCCCAAGGAAAGAAGGCAGCCCTTTGTGCGATGCGAATCGTCCGGAAGGTGGATGAGATCGAAGACAAATTCAATGGAGTCTCAGCTGACCTTGGCCAAACGCCATGTGTTTTGTGGTTTTTATCTGGGATTTTGCTGAAGATGTGTTCTTCCCAGTATTGGAAACCCACTACTTGGAAACCTATAGGAGGGAACATGTTTTTTTTTTTAAATAAGGAGGGTGGTCCAAAAGCAAATCCAAGCAATCGACCAGAATGGGGAGATTATGAGAATGCATGTCACGTTTGATGGCATACAATTAGGTTATATTAATATAGACGTATATTAATAGGATATATCGCCAGCATTGTGATATTTAGGTTTGTCTCAATATAGGGTATACATGGGCATACCCCCAAGTCATGGCAATTTGGTGGGGAAAATGATGATGAAATGATGAAGTGGATGTTGGGGCAGTCTAAATAGACCGACAAGCCCATGTTGATGATGAAATCCACACCATATTCCATATATGCTATAATCAATGGGAATTCCAGGATCCTAAAATGGAGGTACTGTACCATATAAGGCCATATTTTGGGGGTATATCCCATTGATATAACTTACTTGTTGGTTATGTATCTCATGATATCCTATATAGGTATCCTATCATGGTTGATGACATCCCCAATTTTCGAGCGAGGGTGGAAAACCATGAAAACCAATGGTTTGCCGAGCAAAATGATGGAACATCACCATTTTCAATGGGCAAACCCACTATTTCTATGGTCATTTTCCAGTTCGCAAACTGTGGCTGTTTACCAGAGGGTAACATACTCACAGCAACACATCCCAGGAAAGATCGGCAATTTGCTGGAGGATCGGAATCATGGCGTCTTGTTGGCCGGTTGCTCGTTGTTGACGACCCTTCTTGAGGCACTTCGGCAACGGGATGGGTAGGTACTTCATAGATCTTCACTTATTTGGGATATTTGTAAAAATCGGGATATAATGGGTACAGTATATCATGGATTTATATAGATTTACATATATAGATTTATATGGAATTATATGGATATATATATGGATTTATGTGGATTTATATGGATTTATATGGATTTATATGGATTTATATGGACATATTGATTTATATGTTTTTTCATATGGATCTATAGCTTCCCTGGTGCTTTCAATCTCGAAAAAGTTTCCCTGGGGTGGTTTTCAGATAGCGGCAGGGGATGATCATGGCATATCATGGCTCTGGGCATCTGGGTCCATGGTTCCGTGGTTGCTGTGAGTATGTTAAATGTCATAGGAAAACCATAGGACAACCATAGGGACATGGGAAAATCATAGGAAAACCATAGGAAAATGGAGGTTTACCCTCTGGTAAACTAACAGTTTGCGAACTGGAAAATGGCAATAGAAATAGTGCATTTACCCATTGAAAATAGTGAATAGTGATTTTCCATAGTTATGTTATTTTACCAGAGGGTAAATGTGATGATAAATGTGATGGTTAAAAAAGACCCACGATAGGTTTATGATGGTTTATGAATTTAAGGTAAATCTGCTGGGCAAAGCCAAATTCTAGCCTCTGGTAAACTAATATAGCTATGGAAATCACCATCTTTAATCGGTAAATCAACATAAACAATGCCATGTTCAATAGTTATGTGAGTTTACCAGAGGGTACTTTTTTTTCTCTTTGTCGTGTTTGTTCCAACACGAGCCATGTGCAGTTGCAATGAGTCCTTCCAAGACCAGACTTGATTGATCTTTGGAGTCATGGAATTCATATGATCATATGAACTACTTGGTGGCTCATCCCACTTAGTAAGTGGGTTATAACCCCAGTCATAAGTGGATTAACCTTACTTATCCCATGTAAATCACTGGGGTTATAACCCACTTACTAAGTGGGATGAGCCACCAAGTAAAGTAACCGATGTCCTTCGTTGGAACAACATCATGGCATCCTTTGGAAATCAAACATGGCAATGGAACATCTGATGAAAATCCCCAGTTTACAGATGGTATTTTTTCCCATTCAAAGCTCCATAAAAATCGTGGATTTCCCCAGATTTTCCTATGTTTTTCCCATGGCTTTTCCGTGGGATTTCCGAAGTTGAGTTGGCGGCCAGGTCAATCCATCCTACATCAAGGACGGGGTTTTTGAGTCACCGGAACTCGTAGACCGTCAGGTCATCAAATGTGGCAATTTCACGTTCACCAGAAATGGGGAAAACCATAGGGAAAACCATGGTAATTCAGCCACCATAGGAAAACCATGGGGAAAACTACCTAATTTCTTGGGACTTATCCATTTAATGGTGGCTGAATAAAGGAAAAAACATCGAACTAGATGGTGGGTTTTCCAGCAAAGCATATTTGATGACCAGAGGGTGTATAGTTGTGTTTGTTTATCATGTTCAGATTCTGCTTGAGAAGCAGCAGCGAAACCCGTGGTCTTTCAGGAGTTCCGAAGGCACGTTCCATCGCTGCTGCGGGCGTTGAGTGGCATGGCTGCGTATGGTTTTTTCATGCCCCGTACAACGAATGAAATTGGCAAATTGGGCGTAGATCTGGGTAATAGTGGCAATTCATGATGGGTATATTATGGTGAATTGCCATGCTACTGCTGTTTTTTTTCATGTTTTTTCCCCCAAGACGCAAAATTGGAAGACCGGGAATCCACGCCTCACTGTCCCAAGTTTTTGCCATATACCCAAAGATCCTGGCAAATACCTTGGGTTATCCTGAGAATAACCAGATTGCCAGATAGTCTATGGATTATTTGCTTGGTTGTTTCCGCAATCAAAGTATGTGCAAATACCTTGAGAAACAACCAGAAGCTTTGCCAAGTGTTGGCAACAGCAAACTTTGACCTACTGCTGCACAATGATCAGTTCCAGATGATTTGCTGCAACTTCAACTGGTTGGTGGTTTGGAACATTTTTTATTGTTCCATATATTGGGAACAATAATCCCAACTGACTAGTGTTTTTCAGAGGGATTGAAACCACCAACCAGTCAAACTGCCGGAATTGCTTGAAGCATTTTTTGTTGAACACTTTGTTTCTGGAAATTTGCCCGCAGAGGGTGCCTGTTTCAAGTCGCGCTGAGGAAATATGGTGACTTCAGGATATAGCAGTGCAGCAGAGTATGACATTGCAGGCATCACAGATACTTGGCTCGTTGGTGCTTTAGAACATTTTTATCAGGGGTTGGTAACTGTCCCATTTTGGGAATATTGGATATCACCTTATAGTAGCCATTATAGACCATATACCTAATGGTTGGGTGATGTTCAATGGGGACATTTAATGACCCATGTTTATTGTCCATATATTGGGAATAATCATCCCGAATCCCATCTGACTTTCATATTTTTCAGAGGGGTAGGTCAACCACCAACCAGTTGGATATCTTCGCATATCTTCACAAATGCCAGGGGTTGCAAACCCATGGGGTCCCTATTTTGTTCCTGCGTTGGTGCCCTCAAGACATCCGTTGTTGACATCCAGTATGTTTCTAGGTGTACTGGGGGAATAGTCCCAGATTCTTTTGGGTAAGGTTCATGGTTCCCTTCCAGACAGGTATAGCCGTATAGCCGGAGTCGCATTATGACGCTTAAGTGTGAGCTAACTTTTACAGTCTCAACTGCGGCAATTATTCAGCAACTCATGTAAGCACAGGACTTTTTGAAACCCACCGGAAACACAGTCATGCTGCCCAAGCAGTGCCAGACCTTGTGCCTGCTTCGTTTTTGGGCTAAGGACCCATTTTTGCAGGCAAAGATTCTGCGACTTCTACGGATTTTTGGGGAGCGAAACGTCTCTGGGTGGAGATTGGCATAGTTTTCCCAGGGATCAGGGATCAGGGATCCTTTAAAGAGTTGAACCTTCCAGGGATCCTATTTCATGGTGAATGAAACTTGTAGTCCCAATCTAATGCTAATAGTATCTATATAATAATAATTATAATAATAATAGTAATAATAATAGTAATAATAGTGGGAGATAGTAGAAATCACCACCCAAAAAGGTGGCATACTCCATTCTACTAGTATTCTCATCCGCTTTAAAGTACTGTATGTTTGATTCTCCACCGCAACATTCCTATTGAAATGTGATGCATGTATTTTAATGTTTCTTTTTACCACGGCTCCATTCGGACGCATCCAGGTAGATGCAAGTGACGAGATGAACGACATCTTGGCACAAGTGGCGACAAATACAGAGGGAACGAAGAACACTGGGAACTCGATTCTGTACGAATGCGTGCTGACCATCATGTCAATTGAAGCTGAAAGCGGCCTGCGAGTGCTTGGAATCAACATTCTTGGCCGCTTCCTCCAAAGTCGAGACATCAACATTCGCTATGCTGCTGGGAGTGCAAATGTGATTTTGTGATCCAACAATTTTTCCCTTATTCTTCCTTGCGTTCTACATTGCTGTAACCTTGTTCCCTCTTGGCGCGACTCAGTACTTCACTGCCGATTGTGTTGTTTGTTTGTAATTTGCCTTTACCGTCGCTGGCATGCTTGACAATCCCCGAGACTAACATGGAGGCAAGCGCAAGGTTTTTTATTTGCAACGCGATGGCATAGCCATGCGGTAAACTGACATAGACACGGGAAACCAATGAGGAAATTAACTGTAAATGGTGGATTTTCTATATTTGCCATATTTTATATCATTACAGATTACAGATTGCCGGAAAAAAAACAAAAAGGGTCTAGCGGCGTGGGTGTTCCCTTCAACCAACCCCAGTGATTTTCTGAACAGGTGGCCCTGGCAACATTGCAACGAGTGGTGAGTGCAGATCAACAAGTCATGCAGAGACATCGCAACACCATTATCGATGCTGGGCAAATCTCTTGGTTGTAATTCTGTTAGTTGCTTGGGTGGGCACTGGGATGTATTTGGAGATGCATTCCAGATAGCGTTGTTTTCGATGTTGAACGTGCCAAATAAATTCAAAGAACCCATAAAGATGTGGGCATTTTGTGTACACAATAACTATAAAGGTCATAACCAGTAGTATAGTGCCGTCATGAAACATCCGCTGCCATCCCCAAGGATTGCTTGAAGGATGCAGACATCTCCATCCGAAAACGGGCCTTAGATGTGACGTACTCCTTGGTGGATGAGACAAACATCAAGAGTGGCTCGCAATGGCTCGTTGCTTGAGGGGAGAACTCATGAGAATACTGGTGCGGATCCAAAGGTGGGTGAGCCATTTATGAAAAGAATGCATAGAAATACTATGAAAATACCATGAAATACCTTGTGCTTGAAAATGGGCTTGGCTCTTACACGGGATCCGTTTTTCATGCGCGAATGAATGTTGGCGGAAGCCCTCTTGGCAGGCAAGACGTGACGCACACGATGAGTGTTTTGTGTTTCTGTTTCTCATTTTCCGACTGAAACGGGTAGAAATGTTTTTTTTTAAATAATATATGTTTTAATACACTTCCACAATATAAGATAATATAAATTATGCATTTTATAAACTAAGCATGTATGCATCACACATCATCACGACGCAGCCTACCCCTTGATGCATTTGACGTTGCATTCTTGGCCACCCGTAGCCAGGTATGACCAAGGAGTTGCTGACGTACCTCCTGGTGGCTGAAACCGACTCTTGGGCGGGGCAGATCTAGGATTTCACTCAGGATACTTAAGTGATGCAATGGTTTGCGCTGTTGTTGTTGTTGATGATGATGATGATGATGAGTTGTTATCTTGAAACTCCCATTTTTATCCAAAGATCCAGGCTTAAGGGTGTCAAAAGGTGTGAAATCTTCATACCTCGAGTCACCAAACTGTGAGAATGCAAAACTTGAACAGCCCTTGTTTATCCCTTTTTGTTCCTGGTGTCTCTGCCCTTTTTTTTTGAAAGAAGTTACGTCCCCACCATTCCGGGGCTTCGCCATGCTTCGCCATGCTTCGCCATGCTTCGCCATGCTTCGCCATGCTTCGCCATGCTTCGCCATGCTTCGCAGCGCCCCTAGGACTTCAAAGAGGAGTTGTGCAGCAAACTCTGCATGGCTGTAGAGAAGTTTTCTCCCAATCGACAGTGGCAGATCGAGACTTTGCTGCAGAATATTGCACCTTACAGGCGACGGATGGCCAACGGGCCAACGGCTGTTGCGTGGAAAAAGGAGTGACGTGATTTGCGAATTTCAAAGAAACTTGTAGAAAAACACTGTTTTTTGGATTTGGGTTTGTTCAAGGCCATTTATCCTCAACATTGGATTGTTTCTGAAGCTGAGTCGGATACTGCGAAACAAGGGGGGCCAAAAGTGCTGGTTCTGGGGTCCCAAGGGGCCCCGTGGCTGGAGACATAGCTCTAAGGATACCCTGATCAAGATCATGTGTCTCGGAGGCAGCCATGTGAAGGCTGGGACCTGCAAATTTTGAGGACTTGAATTAGTCATGAGCCAAAGGATTAGACTGGGATTACATATTGTTTTATATTATTGCATTATATACGACACATTATATATATATGTTGATTCTGTTGGTGTCCGATAATAGAATACGATATTCTCTAAATATTGGGTAATACTACTGTACCCTATACTGTAATCAACCAACAAAGGTGCTTCGATTCTGTTGTCCAGCTCAGCAGTGTTTTTCTTTATTTTCGGCCATTGGGGCCTGCAATCGCTGGAGGGGTGGCAAAAAGCATATGGGACTTGCTGGAATCGTGAGTAACTTCCACTTGGATGTTTATCCCTCCCACTTGGTAAATGTGGCTAAAATCCCTATGTTTGATGGTTAGATGGCGATGGGGAGAGAGAGAGAGAGAGAGAGCGAGATGGTTAGATAAAACAGTATATGTTTGATGTTTAAGAATCCGATTTTGACTGGATCAATTCACATAAACTCGCAATTTGCGTAGGAAAGTCGGACGTTTTTCTGCACGTCGCCGCAGGAGGAGCAACGAGAGAAGTTCTGCCGAGTAGTTGCAGCAACTCCAGCCCTTTGGCTGGGCTGGGTTATGGGTATAACCATTGTGTTATAAAACCTCCAAGATGTTTGGATATAACATATATATATATAGAACTCTAAAAAACAACGAATATACCTGGAACTACACTTGGAAGTATAGGGTTTGCTGTAATTTTCTGATCGCGTGAGATGTTGTTTTCCATTTTGTTGGTGGAGCATGACCTCAAAAAGCTGGTTCAATGATACTAGTAGCCTCCCAAAATCATCATTGAAAGACATCCTATTTCATTGCGAAGACACTGATTATGGATACAAGGATTGAGGTGTCTGAGTATTCCGGCTTGACCCAGAGACAGGGCGAGGTCATGTGATCCCCGCATGTGGTGAATGTCGGCCACATTTGTCACTTGTGCATTCCAGACTCTGGGCATGCCACCCACCAAAACCCCCGCGACTAAGTTTACCCAAAAATAAATGAACATAAGGTATGTTAGATGAAAACAATAACTTCTTTATCATGATGATTGCAACATATTGCCACCTTGAGAAATTGCCAGTGGGTGCCCCTTGGAGACAGCCTTTTTTCTTTCCCACCCCGACTCAAAACCCGAAACAGGAACTCCACTCGTACACAGTCATCAAGCTCTATGCCAACATGCGGGAAAGCCTCTCCCAGGACACGGTCGCTGATCAGATGGGATGGTGACGCTGGCGCCTCAAACCAGACCGGGATGCCGGCTGGCCATGGCCATCGTTTGTCGGCTTACCCCTGGTTAGGGACAACATGTCTGCAGTATCCTGCGGCATTGTTACACACATAACATATATATATATATATAAATATATATATATAGATATATATATATATATATATATATATTTATCTATAAATATACACATATCTATAAATTTATACATATATATTTCCATATATATATATATGTTTATAATACATATAATGTTCAATATATATATATATAAATACTAACATTGATACTTATATATATATACATATCATATTAAGATAGCTGATGTTTTATATCGTGTATATCTATGAATATGATGAGGGCAAGGGATGCAGAAAGACAAACCTGTCCGGAGATGATTGCGACTGTACCATCGTGTCTACCCACTAGATCTAAGTGCAGAATTCCAGGTGCATATCTACATCTAAATCTTGAACATATAAAAAACAACAACATAATTCCCCTCCAAGATATACAGTATATACATGTATATATATATATATGTAATGTATGTAATGTATGTAATGTATGTAATGTATGTAATGTATGTAATGTATGTATGTAATGTAATGTAATGTAATGTAATGTAATGTAATGTAATGTAATGTATGTAATGTAATGTATGTATGTATGTAATGTATGTAATGTAATGTAATGTATGTAATGTAATGTAATGTAATGTAATGTATGTATGTATGTATTAATGTAATGTAATGTAATGTAATGTAATGTAATGTAATGTAATGTAATGTAATGTAATGTATGTATGTATGTAATGTATGTAATGTATGTAATGTATGTATGTAATGTATGTATGTAATGTATGTATGTAATGTATGTAATGTAATGTAATGTAATGTAGTGTAATGTAATGGAATGGAATGGAATGGAATGTAATGTAATGTATGTATGTATGTCTGTATGTATGTATGTATGTATGCATGCATGTATGTATGTATGTATATTATATTTATATATTGTTCATAGGTTTAGTGTGTATTATATACCTATAATTATCTATCTATCTATCTATCTATCTATCTATCTATCTATCTATCTATCTATATTATAGGTAAAAACACAATTCCACATACCACTTCAGTCGTCACTTTTGAAATTTTGGATCTTGCGCCAGGAGGCCTTGGTCCACGTGGGCGTTTGGTGCCTCGGGGAATTCGGCGATTTGTTGGTCTCGGGACCCACGGCCGTCGGCCCCGACGATCAACCCTTGGCCGCGGTGAGCTCCAGTGCCTGGGCTTACCGGGACCTTTAAGGTGACCTTTCACCATGGGGAGATCCATGGGAAGATTGGGTGAAACTGCATGAAGTAATAAGTACAAATGAATAATAATCATATATAAACTATTTATATAATCTATATAATCTATATAATTTGTATAATCTATATAATCTATATAATTTAATCTATATAAACTATAGAAACTATATAATCTATATGATCTATATAAACTATATAACCTATATAATTATAGAAACTATATAATCTATATAATCTATTTAATCTATATAATCTATATAATCTATAGAAACTATATAATCTATATAAACTATATAATCTATATAATCTATATAAACTATATAATCTATATAATCTATATAATCTATAGAAACTATACAATCTGTATAAACTATTCAATCTATGTAATCTATAGAAACTATATAATCTATATAATTTATATAATCTATCTAATCTATCTAATCTATATAATCTATATAATCTATTTAATCTACATAATCTACACTATCATGTAGACTTATATAAGCCTATGTTTTTTTTGGGGATAGTTTAGTATTTTGTGTTTGGGTTTTTTGTTCTATATAAAGAGTTGGGTGTCCATAGCGTGATGGGTTTATGCGTGGATTTACGAGCACGAGCATTTAAAGTGTTTATTGTGTTTTTTGTTTGTGCGTGGATGAGTTGAAGTTACCCTCTGGTTACTTAACATAGCCATGGAAAATGGCCCATTTATAGATGGTTTACCTATTAAAAAGGGTGATTTTCCATGGCTATGTCAAATAACCAGATGGTAATCCACCAAAAGATGGGAGCGTAATTGTATCGTATTGTAATCAATAATTCAGAAACTAGACAAACAACTGATTTAGCAGCAAAAGGGTGCAACAGTGCGACTTTGAGCAGTACAAACGGACACTTAACCACGCACCTGTTGCCCTTAGAGATGGGTGGGAATTGTGTATTTCACGGGGGTTCAAGGTAGTAGGTCCTCAAAGTTCATGTTGTTTCCTGTCCTCTTGGTTTCAAACTCAAACTGCTCCTTGGCCACTTCTATGTTGAAAGCAGCGATGGCCCTTTGAGCACCCAAGTTCGCCCACTGGTGTTCAACTTCACTCGGTGATAATCCTTTCGCTCAAGTGGTTGAATTGGCATGTTGCCACATTCACCAAACTCGGGCATGTGAGCATTCAACTTCCAACGTTATGCTTCTCCCGCTCGCATTGTGCCAATACATCCAATACTCTCATTTCAAGGCGTGCGAGAACAACGTCGTTGATCTGAGTTGGAAACCATGAAAATACCCTCTGGTAATTTAACATAGCTATTGAAAATGACCATTTATAGTGGATTTTCCCATTGAACATGGTGATTTTCTATAGTTATGTAAACGTTTACCATGAAAATAAGAGAAAGTGAGGCTTTTCGTTTTGGCTTCCTATGGTGAATCATCGATTTCTGGGTGAAAATCTCAATGAGAAACTCATGGCTAGACATCGCCCGAGCCCCCAGGCGATGTCTTAGACCTTCTCTACGACGTGGTGCGCAAACCGCCCGTGGCGGACAAGGCGTCTGCGACGCACTGCCTGGTGGCGGCGGCGCTCATCAAACTGGTGACCCGGTGCCCGGGCGAGTCCGAGAAGATCAAGACGCTTGGCGAGTCACGAACTGGGAAAACCATAGGAAAACCATAGGAAAATGGAGGTTTTAGTGGGAAAACCATAGGAAAACCATAGGAAAATGGAGGTTTTAATGGGAAAACCATAGGAAAACCATAGGAAAATGGTGGTTTAATGGGATTTAATGGGATTTAATGGGATTTACCCTCTGGTTATGACTAACATAGCCATGGTTTTTCGATGGCCCTAATCGAAATAGATGGTGACTACCGTTCTTAATAGCATGGTGGATCTTTCCATGGCTATGTTAGTCATAACCAGATGGTAATTTATAATGGGATGGTTAAAGGACTCTTTGTACTATAATTCATGGGATTTGATAACTCTATAGTTACTAGTTATTGGGGTAACTATAGTTATAATGGGGTTATAGTGGGATAACATGAGATAGCTATAGTACCCAGGTTTAATAACCCCCAGGTACCAAGATTCATAGTTTCGGGCTACAGTAATAGTTGGGAAGATTCATGGAGGAGTACTGGACCGAGGAATACCAAGGATTATAATGAACCCTAGATTAGATTACCAATTGGGTTCCCAAAATAATGAGATTGTCCTTTATATATAGCACACCCCATTTAGTAAACTGGGGGGGTTATTAATCCTGGGTTGATACTACTGGCGACCTTTAGGTAATTTGTTTGAATACTATGTATCTAATCGCCAAAAAAGATAGAGAAGTAAAATCCGAATCTGACATGGTGATGAAATATTGTTCTATTTTTTGGGTGGTGCTATACATGAAACATGCTTAAACATTACCATCTTAAGTTCGGTAAGAGATCAAACTAAACGGACACATGTCTATATCTTTAATTGCATGAGGGTTTTCATTACATCTTATTTTTCTTGCCACAAATGGGGATAAGTAAAATTTGAGATTTTTAATGGCTGGGGATATGTAGTAATGTAGTGTCATGAAGCAAAATGATGAGTATGTATTTGGTCAAACACCTGTGTTGATGAGTTTATGGTTTATCAGTGAGTTTCAAGCTTTAAGTATCAAAGCACTTATGGGCATTAAATCCCATTAAATCCCATTAAACCACCATAAACACCCATTAAACCACTCATATGTTGCGCTCAAAGATGGGAGTTCACCCGAAAGTGGCCTCATGAAGCCCACAATCTCCAGAGGAAGCTGCTGAGAAGATTTGACACTTCCCTCCACGTGGATCTTCAGCAACGTTCCTGCGAATTCTTAGAACTCCTGCACTCTGAGTGGGATCCTCATCGGCCAGGTGGGGCAATTTTGCAACAGTTTGCGGGCTAGGCCCAGACCTCGTCATTTTGTGTGAGCGATCCTGATTTGATTGGATGGACACCCGTACCAGGCCCATTGGGACCTGAATATTAGTGTTCTCCACATGTTCCGCATGTTCTATCCCTGAGAAAGAATATTACCCAAGACAATCGCCACGCACTCAGAATCTGTTGTAACGAATGCTTCGCCATTCACCAGTGGCAGATCCCTATTTTTGTTGGTGTTGTCTTGGCCAGTGTTACTACTTTTTAGAACATGACCTGCAAATCAATCACAGTGCTTCCAAACATTGATTTCTCTTTCCACCCCTTACTTAGCACAACTAACCCCCAATCAACAAAAACTTTGGCACTTTGGGATTGGTTGCAACATGTTGGGTCGCATCCATCTGGGAAAATCTATTGCTCCGTTCGCTTCGTCACGTGAAAGGCATTTTAGACCGAATGCCGGTTCCCGAGAAGGAGATTGGAGCTGCTGGTAGTGCTGCGCCGGTCGTAGCAGCTTCAGGCGGCAAAGATTTGTGACTTGGAATTGATCAGCGGTTAATCACCGCAAATGCAGAAAACCCTCCAAGTTAGGACCCCGGAACAGTATAGCTAGGTTGGTTTATAACTTCAATAACTCTGGCATATGATATTGTATGATCATTATATTGGGGTGTGCAAAACAACTTTTGACTGCGGGGGGGCTGTTTGATGGTGTTTGGGGATGCTGTACCTTTTGGTCGGGGCCAGAGTTCCATGACATTCCATGACATCATTTCCATTCACTTCTTTCAGCATTGAACCAATACTTACTGTTGACATTCTAGGCGGGAGACATGCCCCACTACCCACTACGCAGTTGGCCCTGTGGGTGGTCTGAAATCACCATCAGCAGCTCAACATTCATCAACCATCCCCCCGAAAAAAATGATACAACACTCCTTGGTAGAAATTTTCAGGTAGAAGTAGAAGCCCATTTTTGTTGCCCAAAGATATCCAAAGATAGAGCTATGAAACCAATAGTAAACCCACCTTTTCGACATTAAAACCAGCTCTTTCCGCCCCGAGGATGGCTGATCCATTGCTTCCAAGGCTAGATCTCAACGACCTGTTGGACGCGCCCTCTGGAGCAGCAGTACCCTCCACGAGCCCTGCACCGGCGGCCTACCCTGCGGCCAGTGGTGGAAGCACGGCGAAAGGGGGGTAGCATTCTTCGGGCCGTTGGCAACGGAGTTCTTTGTTCATGGTGAGCTTACATCCCATCCAACATGGGATGTTCATGGGATTTTAGCCGTTTTAGCCAACCAAAATGGTGATTTCAGCAATTCATAAGGCATATACATGACATATAATTAATGGATATGATATTATGTTCAACCCCCCTGTTGGTTCTTTGATAGAATGTGATATGATATAAGGCATGATTGATCAGCCATTAATTAGTCTTGTGCCTGTTGTTTTTATGGATATATACGTCAAGCAGCAGAAAGGGAACAAAAGGACACCCTAATATTTTGCCATCATATGTGCACCACAATTACTGCTTGTGTTCTTTTGGCTGCTCGATGTTCTTGTTTCTTTAAATTGTATATGTATACGTTCAAACGGTGTTGAAGCCAAAGCACGGTTGAAAAAACACATGTCGCTGATTGTCTGGAGGTGGGGATCTTCTCGACCTGCTTGATGGAGGCAGGGAGGGTCCCTGAAAAATACCCTGTGATAAACATACAAAAAGCTATTGAAAATTGCCATTTATAGTGGATTTTCCCATTCAAAATTGTGATGTTCCATAGTTACGTAAACGTTTACCAGGGGTATGTGGTTGAATCCTATCCGGCACCCATTGGCAGGCCCTGCGGCAGCGCCAGCTCCAGAAACTTTTCTTAAGTGGGTTGAGCTGCGTCCAATAGCTGACACACAAATGGCGGTCGTTGGAATTTGGGCCCTGCCTTACAGAAATTCCATTGTCAGGTGACCAGGAATAATTTTCGATAGGAATCTTGAATGCATAGGTTAGGAAAATCTGGTTTTAGTTTGAATTAACATGAATCAACGTTTGAATTAACATGAATCAACGTGATAGTGGCCTCATTCGGAATCAGACCGCTGCTTAGGCAGCCAGGCATCCGACATCATGCATTCTATGTTAGAGATTCCGAAATCTGATGAAAATCTGGCATGGGTCAATACCTGGTTGGTGGCTTGGAACATGTGCTATTTTCCATTTCATATATGGGATGTCATCCTTCCCATTGACGAACTCCATCATTTTTCAGAGGGGTAGGTCAACCACCAACCAGCTATATTATTCATTAGATCAGGTATAAAAATCACTAATAACCATGGTTATTGCACCACTATTCATCACTATTAATCACTATTAACCATGGTTATTGCACCACCAACCAGCTATGGGATGAATCTATCCATTTAGCAGCTATGGATAGGTCATTCCTCAGGACAGGACAGGGTGAAATCACCAGGTTTTTTGGGCCAGCGTGGGCCAGCCATGGAATCTAGCCTCTGGTAAACCTTTACAGTTTGCGAACTGGAAAATCACCATTTATAATAGGTAAATCAACTATAAATTGGAACCATGGAATTTTATGATATTCCATATATTGGGAATTTCGTCGAATTCATATGTTTCAGAGGGGTAGGTATACCACCAACCAGACTATCAGCGTGAAATAATGACCACAACTCTCCAGAATTCCTACGTAGTTCATATAGTGATGTTTTCCGACTTAGCTAAGGAAGAATGGAGCATCAAAATCCAATATTTGTTTTGATCGAATCCCTTTGGTTTTGATCGAATCCCTTTCGTTTTGATCGTAAACTCCTCAATTTTGTGTTTATCATCAACACCTAACATGATTACCAACATGTTTCCGACTTACCAAATCACTTAAGGTTTATACCCCAGGGTATCGGTCAACCTTAAAAACCCGAAAAAAAAAAAAGAGACACATTAAGCCAATGTTTCTTTGTATTATACAAGGTCATATAACCCATCCAATTCATCCTGTATATAACTTTGCTATTAAGTTATATAACCCATCCAATTATATTTTATAACATTAAGTCATGGTTATTAACCATCCAATTCTTGGGGTACCCAATTTATGAACCAAAAAAAAAAAACGAGGCCCCCATGGCCGGCGACGGCCTGCTGGACATCCTGGGTGGCCCCGCGGGCGTCACGCCCGCGGCGACGGAAGCGGCACCGATGGTGGCCTTCGAGAAGCCACATGGCAATGGAGGAAGGTTAATGATGGTTCATGAATGATTAATACAATGTGGGGCCCCTTAGATAGCTAAGTTGGTCTATAACTCCAATAACTATGGTTTATTGTACTTATAACCATAGTTCATGGGGTTTATAAACCAACTTATAACTGGGGGGCCCCACATTGTATGGTTAAAGGCGAATAAAATATTGGCTATATTATTTATGAATATTTATGATTTATGATGGTTAATATATGGTGACAGATATGGTTAATGATATGGTCAATCATGGCATACTATCTACTATTAATAATGGCTATATATATATATACGTATGTATATATATATATATACATACACATATATACATATACATATATATATATATATATATATATTGGCTGTTAGTATGGTTAATAATGGCTAATATTACTTATGGCTATATATTTAGGTTTAGCAATGGGTTAATATTAGCAATAGATATACCCTCGTACGTTGTTAATAATGGCTAGTATTATTGGTTCACCATGAGTTAATAATGGTTAGTGGGACAATTAATGGGATACCCTTTGGTAATGAACATGGCTAGCTGGGAAATCCCAAAACTAAATGGAGGTTTGAATGGCAAAATCATCTAGGAATGGTGGATTTTCCATAACTTGCAAATCAATTAGATAAATAACAATTTTCCCATTAGACATATGTCCGTGGATTGGTTTGAGGGAAGATCTACAGGAAACCCTGGTTTTTACCATAAATATTCATAATATATATATATATATTTAGGGTTTCTTGTAATTTTTCCCTGACACCAGTCCAACGAGTATGGCTATTTGCGGGTATACAGTACCGGACCGTATACCTCCAGGCACTGCGGACTATCAGGGGATGACTGGTAGGTCTTCACCCGACCTGAACCAAGCACCTCTAGGTGGAAAGACCAGTGTCCCAATGACAATGATGGATTTTTACTTTAACAACATACATTTTTTGAGGGATCACAATGTGTACATGATGTCCAAAAATATGTCTAGAATGCCACTATGAGAGATCATGCATATCTACATTGTCATTTTCAGGATTCACAAGCATGTGCACGTGTCGAATGCCACTAACGCAAAATCAGGACGCTACAAGGGTGCGGCTTGACCCAACAAACATTAGGATTTGGTCGCAGCAGAGGGCGTGCCTCCCGATGATTTTGTCCTTGGCAACGGGCCTTCTTGGGTTTCATCTTTGGTTTTCCCATGTTTCACCTGTTTTCGTGACGTATCATGACATACTGTGGATGGTTGCGAAATCGTGCACCAGGCAGGGTAACTATTGGGATTCCTATGAAACACGGCAAATCATGGGATTATTAGATGGGATAACCATCTACCCTGCCTGGTGCAGGATTTCGCTGGCCCATCCACAGGGCCTCACATTTCGGTGTCCGATAACACCTGGAGCATCAAGTGATACCCATCCCTTCACTACGCCCAGAGCGCATTTTGAGCTCCCAAGGAATGGCTTGAAGATCACCTTCTATCCTCGCAAGGTGCGTTGTTGATATGGTCCATGGATGTCCATGGTCCATGTTCCAGGTTTCAAAATTTGGTCAATCCATGGTGATATTTTGCAATCATTGAAATCCAAGGATTGTTTGGGGTTCATGTGTTTCTATACTATTCAACTAACAGTTTGCTATAGAAAATGGCCCATAGAAATAGTTGATTTACCTATAAAAAATGGTGATTTTCAATAGCTATGTAAACGTTTACCAGAGGGTCTTCTAGATTCATATGTTTGACATGTTTTAACTTATAACTTATCCTCGAATGGTCTGAATATGTTGAACCCGCAAATCCCAACTACGCTGAGATTTTCCCATTAGATTCCATTTTTTTGGTGGTTCCATGTTCAATTCAGGTGTAAACAACATGTTTCTGCTCAATAACAAGTCCAACTTCAAAAAAATCCAACTTGTCAATCTAACATGTTCTCATCAAAGTCCAACTTCCCATACCTTCATGCCATTTTGTTTTCTTCCCAACGTCCGTTTCCCAACGTCGCAAAGCTCTGGAGGATGCGGATGGTTCCACATCCGTCCTAGCAAAGTTCACCAATTCGTTGCTCCTTGGCTGACTTCGCCATCGCGGCGCATCGCGCCTTTTTTTTGGGCCCCCGGGGTGAGGCAAATTTGACAGATCAAAACTGCTTGGTGGTTTCATTTTTTTATTTTCCATAATATATGGGATTATATGCGATAATCCTTCCCATTGACTAATATTTTTTATATCCCGGTTCTTGGTTGGTTAAATTATGGTCATTTGTTTAAAGCCACAATCTAAGATTATGAAGATATGCACATTCTTTATTGGCTAAATGGCTAAACATAAAACTATTATCATGATTTAACCATAATATCTTCCACATATATATTGACATGTATTGCACACCTTGCCAGAAGCATGGTGGATGTAGGGGATAAGACCACATATTTAAGGGACTATTGAAGGGATTTGTTCAATATTAGGGAGAGGGAATTGTTGGAATGGCATCAATATGACTGGGTCAACCTTCTATAGGTACTTATTTGGCATGTTTTCGGGCTGCGAATGGGCGAAGGTAAAAGAAGCAGATGGATTGGCCATACTGGGTCCAAAGTAGAAGAAGTGTAGATGTCCCACAGGTTCTTTGCACTTGCACCTGCGGCAGTTTTTTTTGTTTTTTTCTGGGGCGTTGCGCATGATCACCGGGCTACCAGTTGGTCATTTCAGAATGCTATTTATTAAAATGCCCAGCACAAAGTCATCATCAAAATGCCAAACGTCAACCTAATGCTTGGTTTTTCCGGCTTTCGAAGGCATGAACGCAAGTAATAACCTCAAAGCCTTGCTGCTTATCATCATGTTCCCCAGTAAAATTGACATATTGGGAGTAAGACAGTCGCTAGGCCACTAGGTTGCTCCAGGCCATCATAGGCAAATGATTCCCACCAGGGTGGAAGCTGGTGATTTCATTGCTATCTACCGATCTATTTATATATACCCTCTGGTAATGACTAACAGTTTGCTATTGAAAATGGCCATTGAAATAGTGAGAAAAAATCACCATTAAACATGGTTATTATCCAGTTTGCTATGTTAGTTTACCAGAGGGTATATATATAGTATATCCCATTAGCCCAACAGATAGGCTACTTAGCTACTTGTAAACCAACTTGGCTACCGCTTGTGGGCACCACATTGGAGGAATGTACCGATGACCAATTTTGTCTTCGAAGCGGCCGTGCCAAAGTATGTCACCTTGACGATGCAGTTCCCTGGTGACACGATCGGTGCACGGTGCATATGTTTCAGAAGGAGGGAAAACCATCAACCAGCATAGCTCTCTCTCTCTCTCTATATATATATGTATAGACTATATATAGATCCCTGTGGGATCATTAGGCAAGACAGTTTGCAGTATAGTATATACTATGTATACTATGTATACACGCATGACGTAGTTTATAGGCCTGGAATCAGATGATGAATGGAAGATACCAACCACTCAGCCGCAAGGGGCGCCTAGGCCTGCGACAGGACAGGTCTTGCCGCCGAACACCGCAGATCTGGTGACTCAGAGCATGAGATGTGTGAACTCGACCAACGGTGAGAAGGGATTGCTAATGAAACTGCGGCGCCTCGGCCAGATCTGGATGGCTAGATGCGAAAATGGGAGAATCTGGGAAAGCTATATAAGACCCCTTTTTTAGGTTGGCCATGAACTTTGGATGCTGAGGATTCACAACTCTGTGGAAGAAAAAACAACACCAACTGAGAGGGACCCATTTCGGACCCATTTCGGACCCATTTCGGACCCATTTCGGACCCATTTCGGACCCATTTCCCCACATTTTGGGGCCAGTTTTTTTCAAGTTCGCGCGGCGCGCGGTGCCCGTTTTTGGCTTCAGGATTGGCTATGTGTGCAATGGCACGCCGGTGCAAGAGATGAGCCAGATTGGTGGATTCCCTCCTGGCTACTGAGACCCTGCCAGACGTCGAGACGTCGGCAGACGCCATCATTTCGACTGAAAAAGTTCCGGCGCTGAAATCGGTGGATCAAAAGTGAAGTAATGTACCCAGATGAATGTAGCCATGGGTCAAACTGAAACACTATGAGATTAGGTCTGAGTCACTATAGTTTATATATATATATATACATATGGTGGCCATTCCAAACACTTTATTGTTCCGGCATTATGTTTGATATGTTTGTTATGGTCACTGCGATGCCAGGATTTTGACAAATACCCATCAGGTTTGCCTGAGCAGATATCAGTTGGAATTTCACACCCCTAAGGTATTGTACCATGCAAAGCCATTTTTGGGGGGTCATATGCATATCCTCCGCCATATCCCTTACATAGGCCTTATATGGTACTCCAATTTAGGTACCTGAAATGGCCATTGAAGATGGGAAGCCAGGGCAAGTGAATAATGATATAAGCTTACCACATTGGAACTGCTGGCGGTGCTGGCATTGCTTAGTTTTTGGTTTTACACCGATCGTTGCACGTGTTTCCCGAATATGTCCACTATCATCATTAAAGCAAACGTCAATTTCCGAGATATTTTTGAAAAACATGGGATATGATTTCTTGACTTGTGGCTTTCCCCAATGCTCCAAGTATGGAATATTACCACATCTACTCCCAAAATGATTCAGTTCTGTAGGTAAATATCCCATCATCATGTGGTAAAAAAATATAAATAAACGATGCAATAAACCATCCCCAAGCCACCTTGCTAAACCCAATAAACCTAGTGCCACAAACAATCCCCAATATGATGTGGTAAACTCATGTAAACTCAATATAAACCCAAAAATGGCTGGTATGTTTGCCGCCAGGGTTTGCTACCTCGCTAGGTGGAGACTCCACTCCGGCGGATGTTCCGGTCCATCAAGAGCGCGGTGCAACACGCCAGCGCCAACGTCAGGACCGCCCATGGTGGGCGAGGCCAGGGCCCTGGCCTTGGGTGCCCCAAGCGGCCATGCCTTGGCAAAATCTCGGAGAAAATGGGGTGAAACGTCGCAAGGATGGGTACCCTCTGGTAATTTAACATAGCTATTGAAAATTGCCATTTATAGTGGATTTACCCATTGAAAGATTTTCCATAGCTATGTTAGTTTACCAGAGGTAAAAACCATGGAAAAGCCGCAGCAGGTGCCATGGTGTCTTCACCCATCTTCACCCCAGGAGCCGCATTATCTCCTTGCAGCAGATCTTCTTTGGTGCTGGGCAGGGCCCGCGCAACAAGACTGTGGACTACGACCAGGTGGGGATTGATATCAGTAGAAGTCGGTAGGATGGCAGGGTTCATGGGGAGAATGACTGGAATGGTTGCTGGTTCCAGTTTTTTGGATGATGATCCCAGCATATATCCCAGGGTATCCCCCCATTCTTTCGTCAAAGATGTGGGTTTGACTTTCCCAACCGAACCAGCGATGATCAAGTAATGAAAACGGTGAAAAATCACCAGGGGTACAAGAAAGCAATGTGAAAAGCGGTATCCAGGAATCTAGTTTTCTTGCCTTCACACTGGTTACTTTGGTGGACTCAGGCAACAATATTTCGTCATTTGTGTGGTCTCATGCTTGCAAACTGCATCAAATTGTAGTATTCTGTACTCGTACCCTACAATTAGTTCGAAACTGTCCAGGGATTGTTGCGTCTTGTTGTGCTACATCTTGCTTGCACACTTGTTTGCATAATCATCATACTCCGATTCTATTATATACATGAGACATCCATTCCAGGCAGACAGAGAGATAGATTATCATTGCATTTGCACTTCCTGCCTTTGCATTAGCAGTACAGACACACGCAGACACTCACACATGCATACACAAACGCAACGTGCCTCCGCAAACGTAGACAGCATGGGTCATGTTCATTCTGGTTTCCAAGTGTTGCATATTTAAATGTGAACTAAAATCATCTAAACTAGGAACCCAACTTGTGGAAAAACATAGGAAACACTCACATGCCACTGTACATACATACATACATACACACATACATACACACACACACATATATATATATATACATACATATGTCAAGTTGAGATTTGACATTGTCCATCTCTTTTGTTGCTATCGACAGATCCGGCAGCGCTCTCCAAAGGTAGCACGCTTGCGAGACACACGAGCGACTCAACAGAGGGTGAGAAATATCGCCACTGGGCTGTGGTAAATGGCAGGTTGATGTCAGGACTATATATTAATATATATATATATGGTTAATTATGGTTATGTATATATATATTAATGGGGATTCATCTCCAAATGGTATATTTGTCCCCAAATTTGGCCGAACTCTTGAGCCATGGGCTAGTGAAACATGATACTTCAGCCAGTTCAATCCTGGTCTTCAGTCGTTCGAATGAAGATCTTGATGCAGTTAGAGATTGGGAATCATCGGAATCACCAAAAAATGATTGGGGATGGCCTATGATGAGATTACCATTGAACATAGTAACAATGTGGTAGTTAGCATTAATATACCAGCGCCATGGGTAACCAGATGGGATTTTACTCATTGGTTGGGGCATCCCATCCCATTGTGGCTTGAGGATGCCCCGCACATGCTTTGACCTGAGGACTGGGAGATCTCTAGTTTTTTCCGGATGGATCCAAGAACCAGTTAGGGCAGTTATGATAGTTTAATGACACAACCACACAAAGTGACACTTGGGATGGCTAACTAGTGGTTAGCTCAGTTCAACAACACTTGTTGCAGTATAGTATAGTTGATTATTTTTGGAATGGATTATTATGATCCCGGGTAGTATAATCCCCTATAATTATCAATCAACAGGGCTTTTTGATACTGCTCTGGATATATATGATTATATAGGGGATTATATAAAGTATTATAAATCATAATAATCAATAATCTATAATCATAATCCCCTATATAATCATATAATCATGTGTCACATGGATGTGGTCTTTTTCTCCTCTGGTGTCGCAGCCGAGGTCTATGAGAAACGTCCGGGGAACGATTCAGACGACATCGACATCTCGAAGGACAGGGGACGCAAATTGAGCGCCAGTTTTTTGTGAATCATAAATGAGGTGAAAACATATGATACTTACATATGTATAGATTGATGCAAATGTCAAACCTAACAGTTTTAAGATAAACGCATATGTGTATATATAGATATACATATCAAATGAGAGAGAGAGAGAGGGAGTACATATGTACAATCTATAGGTATTTAAACGTATTTACATATTTACCGAAGAAAGTAATATCTACAGTCTAGTTGTCAGAGAGTTGGGATTTGAGATGCAACTAGCCACAGCTGGATCCAGCACAGTGCAGGATGTTTCCCTACGAGCCGTAGACCCATTCTACCCGGATGGCATGATGCACTACTACGTGCAAGGCACGCCTGAAGGATGTGTTTTGAACTGTTTGTTTCCTCAGGTTGAGATCGTGAGCCTGCAGATGTTCACAAAATAAGGTACATCAACTGTGCTCTCTAGCCTAGGTACACCCCAAAAGTTTTACAATGTGGAAACCAAATACTGTAAAGGGTCCCCCAGGTGATTTTACTAGTGGATATTTTTGGCCATTCCATGGTCGATTTAGGGGCTGTAGGTTTGATCCTTGCCTTGACAGTTCTAAATTGCTCCATTTGTGCGCGCAGAAACTGCACCAGATGGAGTAGCACAGGATTACAAAGTGCAAGGCGGCCGGATGGGTGTGGACATCGCAGTACGATGAGAAGAAACATGTCAAACCCTGGACTGCTACTGCACTTTTCTTTGGAAACACATTTCTTCCAAGGTTATCTAGTGCTACACAACCTTGCTGATCCAGTTGCAAAATAGTTGCTGGCTACTTTAGATGCATAATCTAGATAAAGCGGGCGTTTTTGGTTGTGCTAATTTGGGTGAATATTGAAATTTATGATAAGCAGAATGCATTTGCAGCACTTAGCTTCACACCCCATTTCCGGTTAAACATGTGAGAGATGTCCGCAATTGCACCTTTTTTTGCACCTCCAAGGCCATGTGAGTTGAACCAACAGAAACCAAGAAAAATTGAATAGAATAGTTGATTTACATTTTGCGGGAATATAGTAGGATTGTGAATACGGCGGCCAAACACCTCAATTTGCGTGTGGCACTCTCCATCACTCTCCCAACATTCTGGGATTCCTGATTCTTGAGACTGTCGAGTAGGGGATCTGTGCGTATTGCACAAATCATCCTGAACTCCAAACACCCGAAAACTTCAAAACTCAGCCCCAAGCCCTCAAAACCCTGGAAAAATCATGGGGAACCCATACGCTTCTCTATGGAATATTCACCCACATTGGGATCAATTTGGGTGGGAATGTCGATACATGTTCCATACATGTAGCATTGGGAAATCGAACCCAAACACCTAAGCCTGAAACCCTATAGTAAACCTTGGCCTCAAAAGTAATGATGTTGGACGATATGAGGCGGTTGCAAAAAATGCCAGGCTTTCGGCTCGTTGGGATCTTCTCGAAGGGCAACTATGACAGCCCCTTGGGGTGAAGAAGTTGGCTCTTGGATGGCCGGAAGAAGTAAGGTGGTTCACTTTCAAAAATGCGAGGTCTGCCATCAAAAACGGGGATTTCACCGTGTTTGTGTGTGAAACAGTGTGAAAAAAGTGAGGTTTTTCAACCCAGTGGATGGAATAGGGGTTTCAATAGGGGTTTCCCAGTGAGTGTGAAAAATCTGTTCTGCAAGGGCGCCACGACCAAGGAGAAAAGTTCCGAAGCCAAGAGCGCTTTGAGAACCCCAAGTACTACAAGAGAGACCCTCAGGAGCTTCGCCAAACCATGGGTTTACCAAAAGGCCGATCCAAAGAGGGATCGCTTTGACAAATGACAATACAACACTACAGACCCTCTGGTAAACAAAGAAACATAGCTATTGAAAATGGCCATTTATAGTGGATTTTCCAATCGAAAATGGTGATTTTCCATAGTTATGTTAGTTTACCAGAGGGTATTTGTCAATTGATGGTTCTGACCTAAAATCTGAAAAATGGGAAGATGAGCACTTGGCCTTGCAATGGCTCATACGTAACGGCAGAAAAGGTTCAATTGACAGAATTCACCACTCATCTAGTGGGATCTTGCGAAATTCTAGTTTTTGGGCGTTTGCTATCCTCTGGTAAACTAACAAATAGCTATGGAACATCACCATTTAAATATGTACCCTCTGGTAAACTAGCATAACTATGGAAAATCACCATTTTCAATGGGTAAATCCATTATAAATGGTCATTTTCAATAGCTATTTTGACATAACCAGAGGGTAAATCCACTATTTCAGTGGGCCATGTTCGATTTCCAATGCCTCGGTTTCCCCGAGGAGATTCTGAAGGAGATCAGCCATCCGGACTACCTGCACCGCGGCCTTTTTAGCTAGTGAGATGTGGCGTTTGGGGGTGGTACACTCCCACTATACCAGTCACTGATGTTGATTTAACAGATGATTTAACTGATTTAACTATTTAAAGGTAATTATATACAATTAATAGTGTTCCAACTATATCACTCGTCACTGACGTTACTGATGTTGATTTAAATAAGTAAGCATTCCACCGAAACGATGCTGATTTTGAGCTAGTATGGAGCCTCGCCTCTTAAACTCTAATGTGATCCCTTGCCCTTGGTCCGACGAATGAGTTTGGACATGTACCACATTGGATGGGCAGCAATTCCACATTTGGGATGGAAAGGGTGTCCTATTTTCAGACAAACGCATATTTTATGGGGGTTCACCCCACACATGGTAAGCGGTGATCATAGTTTTATCATCATAATTATATCATCTATCATAATATACCATCATATACCATCATATGTCATCATACACCATCATAGGCAATCACACATCATCATATACCATCATATATCATCATATACCATCATATACCATCGTATATCATCATGCACCGTCATATACCATCATATACCATCATATACCATCATGTATCATCATATATCATCATATATCATCATTTATCATCGTATACCATCATATATCATCATATATCATTATATACCATCATATGTCAGCATATATCATCATATACCATCATATATCATCATATACCATCATATGTCATCATATACCATCATATGTCATCATATACCATCATATTACATCATATACCATCATATATCATCGTATACCATCATATTACATCATATACCATCATATACCATCATATGCAATCATATATCATCATATACCATCATATATCATCAAATACCATCATATATAATCATATATCATCATATACCATTATATATCATCATATGCCATCGTATATCATGATATGCCATCATATATCGTCGTATACCACCATTTATCATCATATACCATCATATATCATCATACACCATCGTATATCACCATATGTCATCATATATATCATCATATATCCTAACCTGTATATTAAACTTGATATGTCAAACTTTCACTATTCCAACTTGCTTATTTCATAAAGGTATTACCCGCTGATCACAACTTCCCGAAGTTGGTTGGAGGGACAATTTGCAGGAAATTACAGAATTTGATTGCAAAAACAATGTTTCCTTTAGAGTTTCCTTTCAATGAATCCATTGATAGGGTCATATTGTGTGATTGAATCGACATGTTGATGATTGAATCCGTATTTTTGATGGTTGAGTCCCTGTTTTTGCTGCCTAGATCATGTTAAAATCCCTTTTCTAAATCGGTTAAATCACTTGAATCCCATGGAAAATCCCATAAAATTCATGTTTTTCATGCTTCAACCAGTGAAATCCCATTGAAAACACTGCGGGGAAAAAAAAAAAAACAGCCCTTCTTGGTTGCCTCCGGCGAACCCAGGCCCGTTCGCTTGGAGTTCCAAGGGAAGGTACGGGTTTTCTCCTGTCCCTCGGCGGTTTCTGTGTGTGTAGACTTATGATATCCTGATACATTAATGGATGATCAATGATGATTTATGATGATTTGTGATTTAATGTCTGCCTCTGATTTATAAACCTGGGCCCCCCTGAATTACCTCAAATAAAGTTAAAATCACCATCAAAACTTGTTTGTATGTATATAAAGGTTTTCAATTACCACAATTTAAAACGAATACATAAGATGCAATTTCCAAAAAAAACAGGAATCCAACAATTGTTTTAGTATTGGTTTAGTATTCATCTCATGGATTTAGTACTGATTTAGTATTCATGTCATGGATTTAGTATTGATTTAGTATTCATGTCATGGATTTAGTATTGATCTAGTACTCATCTCATGGATTTAGTATTGATTTAGTATTCATGTCATGGATTTAGTATTGATTTAGTATTCATGTCATGGATTTAGTATTGATCTAGTACTCATCTCATGGATTTAGTATTGATTTAGTATTCATATCATGGATTTAGTATTGATTTAGTATTCATGTCATGGATTTAATATTGATTTAGTATTCATGTCATGGATTTAGTATTGATCTAGTATTCATGTCATGGATTTAGTATTGATTTAGTATACATTTCATGGATCTGGGCAAATCTGGGTTTAGGGCAAAAATTTTTTTGCTTTATTCAGGGTCAAACTCTAATTAGTGCCAAGGCACCTCATGGGGGGTACCCTTGACGAGTTGATTTGGGATTGATTTTGGATAATTTTGAATAAAGGTTTTGAATAGAAAAGAGCAACCATTATTTTTGAAAATTTGAAGTTATCAAGGTAAGATCTAATGAGCTGGCACTATGAATTAGTACATGAAAGCCACCTCAAATAAAGCATGGACATTTTTTTTTCAGCCACATCTGGGCAAATCTGGGTTTGGGGCCAAAAAAAAATAGCTTTATTTATTTAGGGGTAGTTTATTATTTGGTTTGGGAGTTTGGTTAGCTTTATTCAGGGGTAGTTTACAAATCGTAGGTGAACATTATGTTTAGATTTATATATATATATATATCTATATCATGAATGGAAGTGACCTCGGATTGCCCAGGCGAATGCATCTTAGTGGCTCTCCTTTGCTGCATTTTCCTGATCTTCGTCTTGCAGGTGAGATCAGCAAATTTAGTTGGTGGGCTCACCTTTCATCCTAAAAAAATGGCGTTGAAATGAGTCGGATACGGTACTTGTTTATATAATGATCCTGAAATGGAGATTATATAGCCACCAATGAAGTATATTGTTAGAAAACAATGTGGCCCCCCGAAATGAGTAGGGCAAGTAGTATTTCAGCGTGGGTTTCGAGAAGGGCGATCCAGGGGAGAGTTTTGCCAGGTCACTCGCGTGGTGGATTCCTATAGTCTGGGCCGCATTCATCGAATTGCCCTATTGGACAAGGAATGGTGTCTCGGACGAGTTTCTCCTCGATCTACATATCTACTGTACATCACCATTTTCTGGAAGACTCGGGGGTTGTTGGTTTTTGTGAGAAAGCCACCAAGGTCAGGCCTTAGAACCGCATTTTCTCTATCAACACTTGGCCGTATCTTTGGGTGTAAATCCACATTTCCTTTCCCTTTTTATGCCCGATGATCATGGCTGATGCGACTTTTCTGATACATTGTGTTTCATTTATGCTGCTGCACTTGAAGCTGGGATGTAACTCCCTAGGTTTCAGCAGGGTGTTCATGGCTTCCATCGTCTGGTTGGCCATGGCCATGCTTAGCCATCCCCTCCTGCCTGCACATTAACATAGATGTGGAAAACAAACCATTTGTAGAGGATTTTCCTGGGCAAACCATTGGTTTCCACATCTATGTTACCCTAGGATAGGCCTTACCTCAGATTTTCTCATGAGAGAGAGAGAGAGAATAGGCATATGGATGCATATGGCAGTTTGGCTAGATCCAGATTGGTGCTGGGTAAAACGATCTGGAAGCGCTGGAAGTGGATGGCTTGAATGCCAGAAATGGGTTTGTTTGAAAGTAACGTAGCTCTAATTCCAAACGGGTCATCATCGTTTGTACCACTTCAAATTGCGATAAGATTGCATAAATCCATCATTTCTGGACAAACCATGACAAACCAAAGCTCATATTATTGTTGGCTATAATATATATATATATATATTATTCATTTATGTTCATATATTCCATTACATGCCATGATATCCCAATTATAGCTAGTGAAATTCCCCTTCTCCCTGTTCTTTGCGACTGGCTTTGTGCCGAGTCACCGGTCTGCCGAGGTATGAATACCACCCCACGCGCATCATGGACTTCAGGCGGGAGCCCGATGGTGACTAGGGGGCTGCGAGCCTGTGACTAGGGGATGGTGCTGCAGAGGAAAAAAATGCTGAGTGAACCGAAAATAATTTCAGGTAAACCCAATGTCATAAACAACTACCATTTGGGGATTGGCTTTATTGCCCATTAAAATTGCTGATGTGGCGGGTGGTTTACTATTGTCACATTACCCATGAATCAACACATGAGCAACATAAGTTTTTTCTGCAACAATAGGATTGTTTGGGCAAGATAGCATGGCAAATCAAGCATGATGTATACGATCATCCCAGGTATTTGTTGGTTGCATGTTAAATAATCCCATCCCCGCTAATATTAATAGAACAAACACCCCCAGAATTCATGCTTCTATAGCGGATGAGATAACATATTAGGGACCAGACAACAGGTGTGTTTACCCTCCGGTACTCACACATGGCAAGTGAAAATCCCTTGTCACTTGAGGTTTTAGTGGGACATTCATTTGTACATGGTGGATTCTCAATGGCCATTTTTGATTACCAGATATTACCAGAAGGTAAATTTCAGATGGGACTAGTTGTCGTGGTAGATTACCCTCTGGTAAGCTAACATAGCTATTGAAAATCACCATCTTCAATAGGTAAATCAACTATAAATGGGCAATTTTCAATAGCTATGTTAAATTACCAGAGGGTACCATCCGCACTGAGTGATTTGTTGAAGCACCGTGCCAGGAACATGTCGCTGACAAGGAAGAGTTTCTCATCCTGGATGAAGGAGCGCGTTCGATAGACGGGACTGGGTGTTGTGAATTGCTGGGTAAAGACGTGGGCACTTTTGGGTAAAATTGTTGGGAATTACTGGGCAATCATCCAAGTTGATTTTCCGATTTGACCCAACGTTGGGCTATTTGGATCTATTTGACTAGGTTTAGAATTACCCTGCAGCAAACTAGATAGACATGGAAAACCAATGCTTTCCGGCTGGGACATGATCTAGAAATACAAATGATGGGTTTTTTATGTTTTTTTTAGATATCTCTATTGACTTTATGCAGGGTATCGTTTTCACAATTGGCCCAGTGTAAATCCTGGCCGCCAGGAAGCTGTCTTTGAAGGTGAACTGGGCTGTGTAGGGACGGACGAATTCAGGCACACGGGTGAAGGGAGTACGAAACCAATCACCACAAGGGGTGGAAGAACTTGTGACATATATACATATATGATATATATATATATATATATGTGTGTGTGTGTGATATTATATTATATGTGTGTGTGTGTGCGTGTGTGTGTGTGTTACTGTATATATTTTCACTAACGGATATAGTAATCAGACAATTTCTTCAACAGAAGTGTCAAAATGAAGATCATGAAGCTTAGCCACAGAGATCCGCTCAAAACATGCTATTCACACCAGCATTAGATCAGCCACCAGATTTGCAGCATGGGGACCTGGGGGACGTGGGGAACCTGGGGGACCTGCCAGTCAATTTGCCGGTGAAAGTTCCAGCACTGCGAATTTGTTGCGTGAGAACTGGCTTCTTGGCTTTTTTGAAATGGAGTCGGAGGCATCAACGTGGCAACAAAAAAGTCGCATGATATAACTCTCAAGATTTCTGGCCGGTGATTTTATGATATTTATTGATGTTTTATGTTCCCATAAATGAAATTCTGACATAGGGGTGCTTCGGACTGTGATTGCTACACCTGCATCCGGAGGCATTCAACTCATGTGTTCCTTCACTTCTATTATTCACCTTAAGGTTAGCTACCGAGTGGGTACGAGTCAACATTCTTGGCCAACATTTCAGAACGTTTCGAAAAGACACGACTTTGAGTCCTAATGGCTAAAAGATGCTGTTCACGTCGGGTTGACCTTCAATTTTGGTCCCTTTTTTCACCAGATTTCGGTTCTGTTTCAGGTACCCCTCAGGTTTCACCTTGTGTTTTCCCATGGTTTTCCCAGCGGCAAGGCAGCTTTATGTGCATAGCACCAGTCCAGAGACCTTCTTGAAGCTCAGATCGCTGCCAGAACTCTCTGGACTCTCGAAAGCACATGGATGGTACCCTCTGGTAAACTAACAGTTTGCTATGGAAAATGGCCATTTATAGTGAGTTTTCCCATTAAAAATTGTGATTTTCCATACTTATTGTGATTTTCTATAGAAAATGGCCCATTTATAGTTGATTTACCTATAAAAAATGGTGGATCTTTCCATGGCTATGTAAACGTTTACCAGAGGGTATTATTGTGTTTTTTCGGGTGTCAATAGTTGTACAGGATGGTGCCCCCCAGTGATGTTAGTTGGTTTATAAACCCCATGAACTATAGTTATATCTACCATAAACCATAGTTATGGGAGTTATAAACCAACTTAGCTAACTATGGGGCACCACCTTGTAATATCAGCAGACATCAGCAGTGATTTTTGCGATCCCACCTGACTCCGCGAAGATATGGAGTGGAATGGGTTGAAGCCGAGGACTTGACATGGTCAATACCGCTCCAGATACAGAAGGCACGGTGCGGCAACGGTGTATCTCTCCACGTGCCAAGCATGGTGTCGTGGGCAGAAAAGAATTTGAAGTTGAGAAAATTCAAAGGAGAGATCTGACCGGTGGTTTGCATTCTAAATAGTTTAAATAAGTTAAATAATTGTATTATTCTAAGAGGCTGGAATCTAGGGCCTGACCTATATGTGGTGGCCAATAATATGTATATATATATATATAGTCATAAAGCAAGCCTCAGTTTCAATGCCATTGGCCAGGAATGGTGGCCGGATTTGTGCCGAAGTTGCTCGGATGGAAGTTGTGGCGAATCAAGCCGGGTGTTTCTGACTAAACCTTTGTTATCCATATGGATACACATGGATAAATTACTTATATGGATATAATCTCTGAGTTTGTTATCCATATGGATATGATTTTTGAAGTTGCTGTAACATTGTAGCGATTTTTAAAGTGAAACCCAACGGTCAACTTTAGCCACGAGTTCTGGAGAAGCGCTTCCAAGTACCAGTGCCCACGTCCCAAAATGAATTTTCCCCTGTAGTTCTAGCGAGTTACCAGGGGGAAAGGATATGTTTATTTGTGCATATATTATTTAGACACATGAATGATATATATATATATATTATAATATATAATGATAGAGAGGGGGGGATATATATATATATATATCATATCAATATATATATATATGTATCGGACATGGTTATTGATACATGTGTGTGTGTGTTTGTGTGTGACATTGTATGCCTAAAAGCTATCTTTTATGTATACACACACACACATATATATATACACCTATAATATGCAGCCTTTCTGCTGTCCCAGAAGCAGGGGGGACATCCCATTCTTTTGAACGCAAGGGTGCTCACATACAGGGTGGCACCACAGGACTCAACTTCCCCTGCAATTTGGCGGCATGCCGATGTTTCCCCCCTTGACCTATCTCTAGAGATATCAGCTGCAGGGGCAGTTCGCAAAAGGATGTGGGGGTCCGCTTGCGGCAATGGAATGTCGCTGGGTTGCACGGGGCAGGTTTTCTGTGATGACGGCAATGTGTGGTTGCTACAAGCAATGGTAAATTTTTCATGTTCTTTATTTGCGAAGTTTCCCACCCTTGTACCTGGGTTGCTGGACACAACCTTGTGAAGGTGGAAATTGATGATGCATTCTAGGAACCCCTGGGGCTATTGGGGTATCCTATGTTCAAATGACAACCCTCCCAATCAACCACAACCAACGGGGGCCCCAAAAATCTTTCTGGGCTCGCGCCGCTCGGCCAGGTAGCGGTCATGCCCAACAATCAGATGAGGATGATCCTACAGACTGGCTGCTTCCGCAAAGCAACTTGCTGCCTATGGCTACGACGTGGGTCTGAAATCGTGGTATACCCCCAAAAAAAGCCAGCTGAATGAGGAACATGAATGAACAGGATAGTTGTTTAAAGCAGCGTTTTGATTTGGAGGGTATGCTAGTTTCCGACAAACCCATGTGCTGACTACAGTTCTTCATTGATTGACCAATGATTAATTAACTGGTGGCTGGTGGTTTTCAAATCCTGGGAATGCCGATAATATGCGCATATAAATATATACATATATAAATGTATGTGTGATAATTCCCTTTATCAGGGATACCAAAAGCACCGACTATATCATCATTGGTTGACTTGGGGAGTCTCCAGTGGTATTCCCCACATGGTCGACTGTGATTCATTGCAATTGAGATAAAGTTTGATCACGGCTCACCACCAATGATGGATGGTGTCCTGTGATACTCGTACTGCCCTTTGGAAATCAATTATGGCAATTGAAGCTTCTGTATTTCCTGGGCTATATATATATGTATATGTGTAATATGTATATGTATATGTATATATGTATATGTATATGTATATGTATATTTCCTGGGCTTTGAATGCGAAAATGGTGTACAATTCCACTGGCTTTTCCGACCCGCCAAAAAATTGAGTACCAGAAAAAGTCATATCGATCATCCCGTTCAGACTCGGCAAGAGAGAGCCAGACTCCCCACTGAATGAGCGCCGAGGTGACGAATGAGCGCTTCAACATTGATTATCCCTACAGTTTCTTGGGCGGATCCCTGGATGTTTGGACATCATATCATGGCAAGATATGGCAAGGCTGGCAAGGACATAAAAAGATATAAAAAGTGACAATTTAAGGGGAATGATATGGTTGATGATAGTTTCCACCCATCATCATTAATCATCATTGATCATCATTAAGCCATAATGTGTATATGTGGCCCGTATGATGTGAGCCATGCAGTGACTTTGATTGGTCTTGGGTGAGGTGCTGAGACTACTCCACTCAGCTTCCAGATTCAAGGTGTGTAGGGATGCTTTAGGAAGAATTTTCGCGGAAAGCCAAAATATTAGTGAACATTTAAGGAGAAAAAAACAACTCTGGCCCCATTGATTTAGTAAATCCACTATTCATTTTGCAGTCAGTTTGCGAATTCTCTTACTTTATGATGCGGAAAAAAACACGATGGTCTTGGAAATATCATCATAATATCCAGATAAAAATGCCACCGTTGCAATGTTGTTTCCCATAAAATGTTTGGTATCGACATGTTCGATGGTCAAATCCTAAGGTTTTTTCTTGGATAAATCCGCCCTGGCATTAGTACCGAAAAACCCTGCGGGATACCAAAAAGTGTGCCGGAAAAAAAAAAGAACAACTTGTTTTTTGGCTGGTTCAATCCCTATTTTTGCTGTTGAACTCCTACGAGGCTTAGACCCCTTGGTTTCGGGTTGCGCCTCGTCTGACTGCATGGGTCGCGTCATCAACGCTGGTCGTAGCTGCTACACCTTTGATGGCGATCACTTGGATGAACGACGCTTGGACATGACATGTCCTACCCTCTGGTAAACTAACATAGCAATGGAAAATCACCATTTTTCATGGGAAAATCCACTATTTCTATGGCCATGTTCAATAGCTATTTTGACATAACCAAAGGGTATATTTGTTTAATGTTTGGACTTGGCTTTCATATTGGTTTTGCGCGGCTGTATCGGCCGGTGTGCATGAAAATTCAGCTTGAGGCAGATGCCAGCAACGACCACAAGCATCAAGGTTACTCTTCAAAGTTTGAACATCTCTTCGGCTGTCATCTCCTGTGATAAAATTTGATATGAGCTTGTCCGAAATAGATCTTATATGATCTTATACATGTATATATACATCTACACACACACTATATATATATATATATACATGTATATATATATGATTATATATGTGCATATGCATCAACTCCTCCAAGAAAAAACCAGGGAATTATCCCAAGCCTTCAGGACCCATGCGCCCCCTCACCATTCGTATAGTATTCAGTGTGATGGCAGTCAAGGAGAGCAGACGGGTGCCTACACCGGATTGAAGTATGGCTACACCAAAGACAAAGGCATTCTACTGGGCCTTGGGAGTACGCCAGCCGAAGCCAGGACGGTTCCACGCCTGGATAGGGAGAGCATGGGAGAGGTGGGTTTGACTAGGTCCAGCCACTTTCTAGTTTAGCGGACAGGCGGACTGAAAAATGGTTTTGCTTATTGTTTCTAGGGATAGTTAGGTACTAATCTTACTAATCTATTTTGTGAACAGCGTGCCCAAGATTTGCCACACGCTTGATAGCACCCCCCAAAAAAGATAAAACAAATGCTGCATGCTAAAACCGCCATGTCGGAAAATAATTATATGTATTATTAAATTTAGTGCACTAAATTTAAAACATTATTAAATTATTAATTAACCGATTTACATCATGTTTCACCAATTTTCTATATCCCATGACGGATGCATGGTGCTGCTATATATGGTGTGCCATGGATCCCATCAATATACCCCCTATGAATGTTAGCATATATACCAGCACCATGGATCCTATATGGCTATGGATCAATACCTATACATACCATTTTTAGGGGGATGAACATCCATTTACCAGCTATTTTGATGTGAACTACAGGGGGATAGGGTTTTGACCCATCCCCATATGGGTATGTTTCTATCCTTTTTTCTAATAGAACTTCCAGGTTCAATGTCGGTCCCCCGTCGCTGAGGTGTGGGAGATGGTTTCCCAGGACCAGTTAGGGGCAGCTGCTCGACCCGTGATGGTGGATTCAACCATCAGGAATGGTGGGAAAAAGCCTCAGGCAATCTATAGCGAACTGGGAAAATCACCATGTTGTTTTTGTAATAGCTATATTAAAATCAACTGTAGATGATGGCTAACTTTCCATAGCAGTTTCTGTTAGTTTACTGGAGGCTAATATGAATTGATGAAGGGATTTAACAGTTTTAAACCATTGAACCATGGATTTTGGTGGCCAATGAACAGTGAACGCTACATAAGTTGATCCATAACTCGCTCAACTGTTGGGTTTTTGATGATATGATTGGTCATCTATATATCGTTAGGATTCGTTAGGTTCGTAGGCAAACTTATTACTTCTTGGGGGGCACACGGGCACCTTATGGTTCAGCATGGATAACTTTTACGGTGAACATTGGGAACACCATGAACAACTAAGGAGCGAACTTTGATTTGCAATGCAGCAAGTTAAAATTAGTGGCTACGTATTGGATGATCCTGTCCCCAAGCACGAAGTTTCACACCATAAGGATCCATAAGGAATTCCTGAATTCCTGGGGATGACACAATCGCCTCACCGTGCGACACCTGAGATGGCCATGACCTTGGAGTTTGTCACCTACAATGGCAATATGGACATGTTCACACATGCCCGGGTGAAATTTGAGTTGCAGCCGACCGGGTTCCTTGACACAACTGTGCGCTTGGGGCGGGAAATGGCGGGAAGCAGACATGCGATTCGGCGATTCCATGTCAGCTTCAATGCATTGTCTAGGCAACTTCGGATACCTTACTACCTGATTGGTTGTTTGGAACATTGTTTATTTTCTCCATATATTTGGAATAATCATCCCAACTGACTAATATTTTCCAGAGGGGTTGAAACCACCAACCAGCTACATGTTTGGTTGACCCACAGTTGCACTAGTTCTTTTTCCATCGTTGCTTCCATCCTTCGCTCAGAAAGCCACGAAAGGTTACTGCAGCGCAACATCGAAGTTGTGGTTTTTCCACTGTCCCTGATCTCAGTTCCAGGGCCGGTGGTTTGATGGCAAGATCCAAAAATAGCCATGTGGGTCCGGGTAAAATGGTTTAGCCGGTTTACCCCTTCAACTAGATGGTTTGTCGGCCCACTAGTGCCCCCCAATTTTCGGTTTTTGATCTACAACCTTATGAGTATGGAAAAACATTCCAAGCAGTACCTCATTTTGACTCATACCATGCAAAGATATACAACCCCTAAAAAGATAGAAGCTAGTAGGACAGAAATTCTTGGATACTGCAGCTGCATCCCAAGACATCTTGAGAAATTTTGCTGAAAGGCTCCTCAGATTCATTAGGTGGCTTTGATAAAGCAGGAAATTAACGCGGCAATTCCCAACCCTCCCCAAACTGTAGACCATACCCATGTTTACCAGTCCGATGTTCATGAACCTCAGACGATTGGGGTTTATGATTGGCTTGCCACAGTCCATTAGTTATATATATATACATTTATGCATTGTATATATATATGTATAATTATATATGTATATATATATAGTTATTTGCAGTACCATTGGCAGTCACCCTACCTTTCTTTATGCAGGAAGGAACATCAGAATGTTTCTTTTTGGGTTGTGTTGTTCAGAAATTCAACCCCTCAAAAACGGCATTTCTTCGGAGCATTTCAACTCTGTCAATCATTGTGCTGCGCAGGTAGTAACAACCTCAGCCCCGCATGACTGTCATGTCCAGCCTTGAATTACTACAAGGGCCCAGGGTCAAACATATCCAAAAATGGGGCTACACGGAACCCACTGGTTACTCAATTGTCTATAGTCTATAACCCTAAAAAGATCGAAGTCCGTATATCCAAACCCAAAAATGTGATAAATTAGTGAGAAAAGTCACCTTTCTTATCCTTTTCTTCTATGTTTGTGGTTGCTATGGGTGTCATTTGCACCATTTTCAGACCAAAAACGGCGCTGCCCAGCCAGGAATGTCTTCAACATGGGACTCACCGATTACAGGGATCAGATCCTTGGCATGATTGTGCAGCTCCGAAAAATGATAATTTAGTTACTTAGTTTGTTATGTTTGTTGATTTAGCCATTGACAATGGTGACTTTCCATAGCTGTGTTGGTCTGCCAGAGGGTACATCTGCAACATATCTATATACATTGTAAATAAATATATATATATACATACCCGTAAATGTATACGTATAATAAAATACTAAAGTCAATAATGGGACAAATTGTATTCCCTGCCAGTGTGACAAAGAGACCGGATATTTGCCGTAGATTATGTTACATTTTGCAGTAAAGAAAAACATAATGCAAAGAAAGCTACAATGAACAGTAGAGGTAGAACCGACAAATACATGAAACATGACAAAAGGAAGAACAGTGATACATATAAACTTAATCAAAATTGCATTTTCAAATGGCAAGAACGAACATGCTTTCAAAAAAAAAAACATGACTGCCCCAAAAACAAGTCACCAACTTGGTGTTCTATAATGGTGGTGGAGGGAACCAACAGTATATATACAATTGCCACGTAGCAAATTCTGATCTTGACAACAGATTGGAGATGGAGCGGAACATCTATTTTGGCTCTCATTGGTGGTTCTGCCCGATTGCAAATTTACACTTGCAGCGCATGCGTTCCGCACTCAGGAGAACGCAAACCAATCGTGCCTGGGTGCAGATCACTGGGAGCTAAATGGTCATAGCTATGGTATTGATGGCCATGTATAGATGATTTACCTAATAACAGATGTGATGTTTCCATGACTAACTTAAATTACCACTAACTCAAAAACCGATGGGTGGATGCATCGATGCTGACATAGTGACTCAGAGGCTTAGCTGAAGTTTGGGAGCATTGTTGGAGCAAACCTTGGTGTTTCCCAGTCAGTTGTTTGTTTCCTTCCAGCCCTGCCACTTCAAGGAGAATGAGAATGAGGATGAGGATGTGATGATGATGATGATGATGATGATGATGATGACGATGATGATGATGATGATGATGATGACGACGATGACGATGAGGATGAGGATGATGATGATGATGATGATGATGATGATGAGGATGAGGATGAGGATGACGATGACGATGACGATGATGATGATGATGATGATGCTTCTGCTTCTGCTTCTGCTTCTGCTTCTGCTTCTGCTGCTGATGCTGATGCTGATGCTGATGCTGGTGCTGGTGGTGGTGGCGGTGGTGATGGTGGTGATGGTGATGGTGATGGTGATGATGACCATAATGTTGATGATTCTGACGATGCTGTTGCTGTGGCGATGCTGTTCCTATGCTGATGACGTGGTAGTCCAAATTACCAAAGTCTACGCTTTTCTCCGTGCGATGCCTTGCTTAGTCCAGTTCTTTCACTGGGGGGAACCCACAGGGCAACGACTGCTAAGGGTCTCCACCACCAAGTGATGACCAGCCCAGGTGTACTTTTCATTGTCTACCTGGTGGTGACGCTGTTTTTCTTCTGCTGGGTGCTCCGGGATTTGCTGATTCAGTTGCACTTGACCTTTGGATCCCAAAGGGCACGCATGGTTTTCCCATGGTAAAACTAATCATATTCCCTGGTCAAAGAGTGGCCATTTGGGTGGGATACACCATTTCAGACACAGCCGCATCGCATGAGAAAACATGTGGCCGTTTTGGCAGCTGCGTGCCAATGTTCATCGTTGTCATTGGATTTGTTTGATTGCCTTCACTCCAATGTGGTTTCCTGGAAACTTCCTCCAGACTATAATAGATTATCATAGGTTCCTATTATCATAGAACTGGATGATGGGAAAATTTACAGGAAACCCCATGAAATTTGATGGTAAAAACCCATGGGTTTCCGGTTAAGATTTTCCCTTAAACCAATCCATTGATATTAAGGATTCTCCCTATGTTTCCAGATTTTTCGATCATTCCACTGGGCTCCCTCCACTTACGCAGATAGCCTTGGAAAAAAAAATACCGTGGCACTGTGGCACTGGGAAATCCATTTTTTTCATAGTTTACACGAGAAAATCATCTATGAATGGTGGATTTGGAATTCCCATGCGCAATTGATTACCCGAGAGTAAGCTTCCTATTGACTTTTCTATTCCCAGCATTATTGGATTACCAATGGGCGTGAAATTTATAGTGGTAAAAACAATAAGCTTAAATCGTTAAACATAAACCCAATCATAAAACAGTTATATAATTAGGGGTACACCCTAGAAAAGGGTTTATGATTGGGTTTGCCACCGTATCGTGGCTGACTTATGTTTTCTATTAGATTCTATCATGTTGAGTCATGTAGCGGCTAAAGCGCCTATAGAGAATCATCCTACTCACCGTTTCATCCAACAGCTCATGATGGTGGGATGACCTTCATTGATCTCCCCCAATCGAATACAAAGAAAATCTCATTGGACCGTGGGATGCTGAGGACCAGCATGGAAAAGCCTTGGTACATGTTCATGCCCGACTACTTCATGGATGATCTGTGGAACACTGTAGATGTGGCCTGTTTGGTCATCAATGGCTTTGTGATCAACAGCATTTTCAGGCCCGCAGGGCGTGCTTGGTGGATTTGGTGGCCAACCGCAGGAATCCTTGGGAAACACCCCTGTGAAATAACTGCACTAAGTCCAGTTGCCCTACCCTCTGGTAAACTAACATAGCTATGGAAAATCACCATTTTCAATGGGTAAATCCACTATAAATCACCATTTTCAATAGCTATGTTAGTTTACCAAGAAGGATATTTACAACTGGGGTCATAAACCACTTACTGGGGTGAGCCACCAAGTAGGCGGCACAGAAAGATCGGGCATGGCTGAGAGCTGCAATTGATGGTTGTGCATGGTGTTACACAACCCTCTACCTTCCAGTCATCAAAGATGAAGAATGGGAACTACTTTTTTGGTTGATGCAACACCACCTGTGAACAGATATATACAGGCAATATGTTCCCATTGTTACGTTGGTGCGGAGGATACCCTTAAGCATATTTAACTGCAAGTTCATGGTGCTATGGTGTTATGTTCACCACACAGGTTGGACACATGTGTTCATGTAATATATAAATATAAACTTAACGATGTGGTTGAAACAAACACAACATGCTTTATTCCCAACCCCTATTTCTGATGATCATACCTGACAAACGGTATTTTCCCATAGGATCCATGTATGGTATATATGCTAACATGTGGGGTATATGGATGGGATCCATGTTACCATATATGGCAGCACCATGGATCCGTCATGGGTTTTGTTAAGGTTGAAGCCATTCCCCACCGGACCAGGTACATCCTTATTGATGGCAGCTTCAGTCTCAAGGACTCCTTTAGTGCTATCCCGGATGAGTCTTGACACGCCATGCTTTACCAGGCTTTGACTCACATATCTCAATGGATTGGTTTGTTGGGGAAAATTTACAGGAAACACACCATATTTGATGGGAAATTCCATGGTTTCCGGTTAAGATTTTCCCTTAAACCAATCCATTGAATATCACATGTCATTTGGATGAATCATGATGACCTCACTGTGACGTCACTGGAAAGATGATTAGTAAGGAGAATCATCCACATGGCCCTTTTCAATTATTTTTAGGTTAGTGAATTATTGTCATTCAGCCAGCTGTCATGCTGTGTTGAAAGGGTTGCCAAGGCCAAACCACAAATCCACCCAAAATCAGCGCATGTGGCAGAGGATTCGGTGTTTACCGTTCTTCTCATGGCAAATGTTTTGACAGTGTCCATCCATGGCCTTATCATCCCCTCTGTTTCTGCCTAAATTGCATGAATTTGCCGTGTCTATTTCTGCAAATCCCCATGTTTCTCGGTTAAATCATTCAACAACCCCGATGTGTCTTGCATCAAATCCTTATATTATGTTGGCCAAATGATTGAAACAACCGGCATGGTTGTCACTTGAAACCATAGTTTTCTATGAACTTCTCTGCGAACCACTTCAAGGATCCCATGTTTCTCCAAAACAAACCCACCATTCATATCATTTGCACGTCAAATATCCCAACACATCCCAGCTGGTAAGTGGCTTATACCGTACAATTACCCCATTATAAATCTAACTGATTTATATACACCAGTGATTTTAAATTCCATAAACTAATAAACTACAAGGTGGTGCCAAAATCGTTACAAATTAGTTTTAAAATCCAGTTGACAACTTTGATATAGCACCAATCCCAATCGTTAGTTATGTATACCAAGTAGCCCAACACCACCTTGATTAGCTAGCACCCATTCATCCCCCAAATCCCCCACGCATACTTGGAGGATCAGCCCAGGAATCCGAACTGGTTATCCCATGCGTTGCATAACCAGTTACCCTCTGATCAACCATGACGTTGCCGGAAAATCATGGGGAACATCCATGAATCGCTGGATGTTCCTAGCTAGAAACCTGGCGAATCATGGCTACTTGGTGGATTTTTCCAGCGATTTTCCCATCTGTGATTTTCCAGCCACGCCCCTGGAACCCCTCGGCTTCCAGGAGGGTTTCCGCTCCTGGACGCTCGACTTCAGCGTCAGCGACTGGGTGACGGTGCAAACCACGGACAGCTACGAGGAGTTCGGCCGTGCTGCGGACCTGTGCCTTGGAGCTGGGGTGAGGTCAATGGATTTCAATGGATTGGAGTCAAATTATCATGGGGATTCATGGGATATTCATACATATTAATTATATTATATTATATTATATTATATATTATATTATATTATATATTATATTATATTATATATTATATATTATATATTATATATTATATATTATATTATATTATATTATATATTATATATTATATAGTATATATTATATATTATATAGTATATATTATATATTATATAGTATATATTAAACATTATATATTATATATGTTTTTATACTATATATATATATATTATACATATTGTAAACTATATTATATATATATATATTATATTCATATTTAAATATATATATAAGATATAATTTGGAATGGGATCCAAATTTTAATGGGATCTAGTTAAAGTATATGGTGATTTCATGGGGATTACTGGGGGAGTATAGTGATATAATGGGTATATGATGTGATTTCATGGATAATCTGGCTGAATTATAGTGACTTCACGTGGTGACCTACCTGGAATCATGGTTTATATTCATGGGGAAACATCCGCAAATGGCCGAACTTTTCAACTTGTCAAGTGGGATTTCAATGGCTTTGAGTCTTGCATTGAGTGGGGATTTTCGGTGGATGGAAAGAATTGGAAAGTTGAAAGTTAGGCAGATGTTTGAAACTATTTAAGAATATGTTGCCATCCACAACTACAGTTTCAAATGATTACACGAGAAGCTGATGTACACATCATTAGTGACTTGATTGGGGAAAGCCAGGCGCTTTGGGGTCAAACCACTATAGGGGTATGTCAAACAAAAAAGTAAGCAGATAAACCAATACCAACATATATTCACATTTATACATAATAACATGCAGTAATGTTTCACATGCCAGCACATGTACGGACTATCAACATACAGTAGGTTGATGGGAAAATGGAATTGTATAGATAAACTGATTGATGCTGTAGCTGTGATACGGATAGATCATCGGCATATCATCACCACTTTGGACATTTGTTCTATGTGTCGGTTTAGTTTTAGATGATACATTATCCACTCCTTTGTAAATTATTGAGCATGATTTGATGTATAAACACATTTGTATCCATACTATATAGATATAGATTATATACTAGTTTGATAGTTAAACATATCATACTTAGGATGTTGATGTTGCATTTTTTCTCAAAAACTTGCTCCCCAATACTCATGGCCGGGCGGCAACCGCCACCAGTTTTTCAGAGAATGTGAGATGAATGGAGGAAGTAGAACTCATTGGTCCTGGTTGGTGGTTTGGAACATGAATTTTATTTTCCATTTCATATATGGGATGTCATCCTTCCCATTGACTTTCACTCCATCATTTTTCAAGATGGTCAAAACCACCAACTCATTGGTCAGTTTTTTGCCCCGTCACATTGACTTACCCTCTGGTTATTTAACATAGCCATGGAAAATGGCCCATTTATAGATGATTTACCTCTTAAAAATGGTGATTTTCCATGGCTGTGTTAGTCATAACCAGGGGGTATGTTTGAATTTCAGTGAAATCAAAGGCCTTCTGAACCCCCTGGCACTCCGTCGAGATCGGCAGGTACTCGTCCTTTCAGATCCTCTCTTCTTTGAATGGCCTGTTCTTGGTCCTTCGCTTTGCCGCTGGACGGCCATTGGTTGTATCCTTTTGGGGGCCACAATTTATTAGGGGCCATTGTTTTTTTTTCCAATTTTTGCTTATTGTTTAATTGTCAGGTTTTTGCTCCAGTTTGTTTCCTAGACTGTATAGATCTCATGTTTGTTTACGCACAACATGTGTTCCTCGTGTATGCTTGCAAAGTTCTATTTGTGATGGTCCACGTTTGTTTGATGTTGTGATCCCTGTTGTTTTTTTGTTTTTTCCCTCACGTATGCAAAAAAGGGAATGATTTGCCATGGACAGTCCGACATGAATGACAATTCTGCGAGAGGATTCCTCCGGAAACATCGACAACTTGGTTGGGTTACCCTCTGGTTATTTAACATAGCCATGGAAAATGGCCCATTTATAGATGATTTTCCCATTAAAACCTCCATTTATAAGGGATTTTCCATGGCTATGTTAAATAACCAGATGGTAACATGGCTATCAAACCACCCAAAAAGTCTTGAATTCATGCACCACAAGCAGGTCAAATCGGAATGGACACCCACCGGAGATGGCACAAACAGTGCATGTTAGGCCCGACAACACTGTATGACCCCCAAGAGAAGAGCTTCACACACACATATTATATTTAAATTATATTTAATATGTAATATATATATATATATTGGTAAACATTGTATATATAGTAGAGGACATCTATACACTTCAAACATCCTTTGGACAAAAATAAAGCCTTCACAGCGGTCACAGCAGGTATGTTCTAAGTGTCACTCAGAACATCGGGGGAACCATATAGATGTTCAAAGTGTATGTCCGGTATTAGGACACATCCAAATTATCAGAGACCTTTCCCATTCTAGCAAAGACTGTATGGGATATCGTTCCGCAAGAAAATGCAGTTTGCTTTCAGAAGCAGTGAGTGGAGAGGGTGTTCTAAGTGTACAGCTAAGTGTATGGGTGAGAATGTTCTAAGTGTAAAACGTTTGGATTTTCTATGTGGTCACTTAGAACATCAGCCTATGTTCTAGTTCTATGGTCCGTAGATGTTCTAAGAGAAGGTTTGAACATGTTGGACGAATTTATGTTCTCAGTGTATGTCGCCTAGTGTGCAATGATCATGCATGACAATAGCAGGACTACACAATGTTTCCAGACAGTTCAATGGTAAACGAACAGCAGTCGACTGGTCTATTAGATGTGCAAAGCTATAAGCCAGTCCAAATAGGTTTAAGCAATTTAAATCATCACAAGATCCCTCTATGATCCTCTATATGCATTTCTGCGGCTGGCTGCTCCATTTTTTTGCGGAGCATTGATCACATGAGAAGCCTGGCTGACCATCATCCCATCATTGCATGAACCTCCCACCATGTTTTCTGGCAAAGTCAGGGGTAGGTTTGTCCCAAAAAATTGGCGACTGGCGACTGGGATTTTTTTACAATTGAAAACCCCATACCTCGGGGCCTTTTAAACGAAACCCGATTTCAGAAGGTGCCACTCCATGTTTTGCTTGGGCAACATGCAAGTTGGGCATGGGTTGAAGTTTAAATCCGCAGAGCTAGGCCGCACATATCCAAAGTTTATGTTGTTCCGAAAGTGCGAAGCTCCATTTTTTCCATGGCATATCCATTGCCCACTGGTAAGATCCCAATTCTTTGATGGTTGAATTCCACACAAAAGCTTCATGTTTTAACGAAATGCCCAACTGATTGGTGATAAAGTCATCATGTTTGCTTGTTTGAATATCAATACTTTGACCAGTTCAACCACCTTTTGTGGTTGAATCCTGATTTTATGTCGAGAAAATCATCATTTTTGATTGTTCAATCCCATTCTTGGCTGGATGAACCATCATTTTGATGATTCAGTGCCAAACAACCATGGTACCCTCTGGTAAACTAACATAACTATGGAACATCACCATTTTTAATGGGAAAACTCACTATAAATGGCCATTTTCAATAGCTATGTTAAATTACCAGAGGATAAATCGCAATGAAACCCTTGGCGCGTCGCTATTCCAGGCCAAGTACTTTCGCTGCGTCTCCTCGCTGCGTTTGGTCCTTGCAACGCTGGCGGCGGCGGTGTCGGAGTTGGTGTCCATCGCCGCGGCACTTCTGATCGTTCTCGTGGCCTTAGTGACTTGCTACGTGGGGCCGACGATGACCAGGTTGGTACCTACATAGGTACGTTGATCTACGACATAGAGCCCCAAAGATAGCTGACTTGGTTTATAACTGGAATGACTATGATTCATGTCGATCTACTTATAATTTATTATTACCATATAGTGAATGGGGTCTCTTCAAGCAACATGCAACCCGGGGGCTGTAGTTTTTCGGTATGTTTTTATGACATTTGTAACCATCCCCAAGCTTGGATAGTGGAATTTCCTACCAAAGATTAACCATAACTAATGTAACCAACAAAAGTTTAGTTTATTTTTTTGTGGACTACCAAAGATTGACCATGCAACTACAGTTAATACTATTTATAATGGGGTGTATGAACCAATCCAGTGATATATATATATATATGTATACATTAAGTCATGAGTTGGAGAATACTTCCAATAACTTTGGTCTATGACATGTATAACTACAGTTAATACGAATTCTAAATAACGGGCTTAAACAAAAACAACTTGTAACTAGGAGGCCCACATTGTAGCGGGTGAGGGAACACCAATGTTTTTGTTCTTAACTCTGATGGTGTGGTTTTGTGCATATGTTTTTTTCATAGGGCCTTCCTAGGGATTAAATAAACAAACATGATATGTTTGATATATTTACTTATTTACCCATATTTAGAATAAACTGGGCCTAATTATGAATTACGTTAACAATATTTCATGATAATGATACTTCTACTTATAGTTACTGGGGTTCATCAGCTAGGCATTAAGGTCTTGACATAACAAATTAAAACAGCTCCCAGCCAAAGAGCTGTACTATTTGTTTTTGGGCTCCCTAAACACATGGAACTATTAGATGGATACATTCCCAAATCACAGAGTATTCACATCATTCATAAATGATGGTGAATATAAGGGAGGTCATCACATATAGGTAAATGATGATTTGCCAAATTGAGACCTTCTTACTACTGACTCCTCATCACAAGTGTTTGTAAATGTAAGGCTTGTCATTGTCATTTGTTTTTCCAAGTAAGGAATTGCAGTCCTTTACCCCGATCATTCCCCAACGGAAAACATAGTTGCAGCGGGAGTCAAAACTCGATATGAATCAAATAGTTACAGGATGTTACAGAAATTGACCAAAGCAAAACATGAACTTCACCAGGCACAAGATTTTGACATAAATCACTCGGTCAACCAGTTGATCTTGTCACATTGAGTCGCAACAAAGAGACCAATGAAGTGACGAAAATGAACCTCTGGTAATCAGGTAATCTAACATAGCTGTGAAACATTAAACATAAACATGGTAAAGCAGCTTATAATGTTGATATTATATTATATTAAACAGAAATCTACCATGGTGACCAATGCTATGCAACAATTAAATGGTAAACATGAACTGTTTTCAGGTTATTTACCATGATTTACCGGACTTAAACCTGTGACTTGTCGAGTTCGCCAGGCCACCAACAGCTCTGACCACCAGGTCGCTGTGGTATATCCTGATGATATCCTCCATTTCCACGTGGTTTCACCCACAATGATAACACATATGATGATGAATAATGTGATAGGTAATCATGATAATGATGATGATAATTGATAATGATAATGATGATGATAATGATAATTATAATTGATAATGATAATTGATAATTGATAATGATGATGATACGAATAGTAAACAAAATAAGCACCTAAAACATAGATTTGACACAAGAAAAATACATTTGGGGTGCTTATTAAACACACACGACATGCTGACATTTTCCGTATCGAGGTGCTGCTGCTACACACACGCTTCGGTCTTCTCTTTGAGCGTCGCTTGGAGATTTGCGAACGGCTTTGCTGGGTAAAGCTTAGTTGGTTCAGATATGTTCAGATTGGATACCCTGAATCAAATCTGGTTGGCTAATCCTCGAACGAAATGCAGGTGAGAATCATCGAACTAGAAGATTGTTTTTCTGGGACGCCATGTTTGATTATCAAGAGGTGAAATGTTGGTTCCCTAGTTCATGTATACTGCGCCACGTTTTGTTCCTTTAGAAACCCCCCAAAAAACTTAGGTTTATCGTCCATGACTTGGAATATATAAAATACATAAGTATATATATATATATATATTATATATATATATATACAATAATTATATATATATATATTGTGTATTGATCAACTATTTTTTGGGTGACGGGTCGTTTAGGAGGGGCAGGGTATCTGAGATTTCCCGGCCATGGACCTGAAATTGGGGGGGCGGTACTCGGCGGTGCTGGATGGAGTTGTTGCAATTCAGGCCACATACAAACTGATCACGTATGGAATGTAAAGCAAAATCTTGCTGGTGGTTTCAAACATTTTTTATTTTCCATCATATATGGGATAATCCTTCCCATTGACTAATATTTTTTAAAATGCTTAAAACTCAAACCACTAACCAGAAATTTACGGCACATTTTATGGCACAATTTATCAGGCTGTTCATGCAAAAATTGAGCAACATTGAGTTGTAATATACGATTTCAATGGATCGATTCAGAAATTTATAGGACACCATGATGAAATTGCTATCGATTCTTCACAATTCTGGAACAATGATAACAATGCTGAAAACTGAATCATAAAGCTCAATTTTTGCATATTCTATGCCCAGCCCTGGCAACATCAATGTTTCATGGCTTTAGCACACGGTAAGTTGGTGCTTGAGGCTATGCCACCTTTGAATCGTCCAGTCGCTCCATCTTCCTGTTCCTCACGGGGTACTTTGACACCGATGACCTCTTCGCCACGTCGCCCTTGTTCTTTCTCTTTGTGACGGTGATTTTTCAGATTACCATCTTGCTGATTCTTGGCGAAGATGCCCAGCCATGGTTCACTGCAGTAGTCTGCAATCTAGAAGTGCAGTCAAGAATCTTCTCTGGAAGAAAAGCAAGCACAGGTTATCTATTTGATCTACTGTACCTACACAGATTTCTTCAGTGAATATTGCCGATGTTGCTTATTTCTCTTGGTTCGATCTGGTGAATTTGGCAGAAACAGGTTTGCTTGGACGATGCTCTTGGGGATCCCTGCTTCGTTGCTCACCCACCCTATTCAGTAAGTAGCTTCCGACCCCAATTCAAAGTATGCTCTGCTAAGGCTACTCGCCCAATTCAACGCCAGTTACAGTTCTATCACACAAGCACATATATATATATATATACATACATATTATATGTATGTAAGTGTGTATGTATATATTATATTACATAATATATATTATGTATTTATTTATGATTGCTACAGATTACTGCAGATCTATGATTATATCATCTGTTCTACCGTTATACCCTTTCTGCTGTAGCGAATGAACTCACCGGCATCAGCCAAGTCTCAGCCTTTCCACCAGGATCTTGAACCTCTTTGTGTCAGCCATCATCTACCGATGGAAAGACACCCGTCGCGATGCTGAGGAGTTCTCCATCGCAGGTGCGGTCGGACGGGTGGAGATGGGTGGTTTTGGGGACGGCCAATGATCCAAAAAATCCCACCCTCTGGTAAACATACAAAAAACTATGGAAAATCACCATTTTTAATGGGTAAATCCACTATAAATGGCCATTTTCAATAGCTATGTAACAAATTACCAGAGGGCAACCATTTGGTCAAAAAGACGAGACTACCCAAACGTGTGGGTGTAACCCGGGTAAGTTTCAATGACTTCACCACGACCTCACTGTGAATGACGATGGAGGCTTTTCCGTTTGGGCCAGCTGTTGGTTGGTACGTTGCTGGTTGACCAGCGAGGAATCCAAGACTGACCATGTCCCAAATCAGTTTCATCTCACAAGCATTACTATACGTCCATGTTTGTTTTATATTTGTTGCGCATAAAATTGTCCATGAATTACATGCTGCAGTTCTGGAAAAAAATCATGTTGCAGGGCATATTGACATGAAATTGAAACAAACAAGTTTGTCATTCTGTAGTTGACCAGTCTAGTCACTTGTACTCTACTCCGGTTTCCATCACACTTAAACGATCAGTAGTTTGCGGGAATTCTTACCTGGGATGCTTTTTTAGACCCTAGGGTTACATGATGTGAACTGTTTTCATAAATATTCCACATCACCAGCATGCGCTTCCGCATCATACTGAGGTTTCTTCAGCATCATCAAGGACAATCTGAACTTCCTGAAAGGCAGCAAGTCTGGCGCAGGAACTCAAGAGGAGACGGCATCGTGGAACCGGTGCCATCCCAAACCTCTCGGAACTCGGAAGCTTTCGAGTTCCGAAAACATCACAGAATTGCCATCCCATCCATTGCCAAACACGATCATGTGCAGCGTTTAAGAGTGCAGCTAATTACTTGTTTCTTCCGGATGTGCAGTCAGTGGATTTCTCACCATTTTCCATTTGCCCAACATTTTTCTACTAGATACATCATTACATCCCAATTCTTGGTGCCATGCTTCCCACCTACAACTGCAGCCAGCGCCACCACATAAATTTCCAATTTCTTGTTGGCGAAATCCAGTGTTGTTAGTTTTATGCAGTGTAAATATGTTGTTGGTTTTTAACCACCGTGAATACTAAGCATCGCAAACCATAATTATTGGAACTATTTTCCGACTTGAGTAAATCATATATCCCTGGATTTGTTTCAGGCAAATTCTGCAGGAAATTATGGTTTGTGTTTATATCATCAAGTATAGATTTCCTGCAAACAATGTTTGTAACCCGCACATATTAATTTAGTATACCGGTAATTGCTGGTTGTATATATATATATATAATAATAATTATTATTATTATTATACTCATGGACGCCAATCTGTTGCTGGTTTTGTTGGTTATATCCCATTATTTTGCTGGTTGTATCCCAACATTTCTTTGAACTCCATGGTACTGCCGCGTTGTTGGAATTTCCATTGAGATACGGTTTTCTACATGGATGTTCGTCGCTGAACAGCAATAATTTTCACTTAGGAATTTTAAAAAAAGTACAAGTTCCACTTGTCAGTTCAAGTAACGGCAAGGCAGTTGCAGGTTGAAACATGTATAAACAATATATATATATATATACACATATGATTATGTATATATATGTATATGCAATTACTGGCCTGGTGATATCCCAGCATTTAAACTAGGATTTCTAGCTTCCAATGCAATTTTTCCCAGTCCTTTTCCCATACTATGGCCCAAAATGCCAGTTATAAGTCAGTGAAATCACCTCATAAATATCGATCATGATCACCCCACATCTATAACAATAGACTTGACCAGATATCCACTTAATCTATGCTACATATATATATATATATTTATAAGTTATCAACTTTCTAAATGCAGGGGCTGCAGCCCAACCATTGATATCTGGTATTTTGGGGGCCTTATAACCACAGAAATATCCATAGACATAAGCATCTAAAAGCGTTTAGAACCATTTAACCATAAGAATCATCAAAATCAGCCCAGTCCATTTTCCCATTGATATTTGTTACCACCCATAAGCCCATTAGAAAAACATACCACTGAAGAACTCCCACCAGGACCGCACCTTGCGGCGCTTGGACGCCAACTTCTGGAAGAAGCTGGGCGTGCTGCCACTCCTGGACCGCCTGGACGAGACGGGAAAGATTCAGCCGCTGGAGACGGTGGTGGACGAGGAGGACGGGATCCCGGCGGCCGAAACGAAGCCGATGACTGCCTGGAAGTGGTGGATTTGGTTTGGGAAACAGGGGAAAGAAATATAAAGAAATGAGAGGTCTCCAGAAAACCAGGTGAAAATGTTTGATTTATCATAAAAAAAATGGTGAAGAATGGTGACTACTGATGAATAATTGAATAGTGGTTAGTAATGGTGCATAGTTTAGAAGGTTTATGTAGTCATGGGGGTACCCCAAAAGCTGGATGGTTTACAATGATACCCTCAGATCCTGGATTATTTTTGCTCCGGAGCTGGAGAGAAATCTATGTGAAGGGCTACAGAATTTTAGAGTGATTAAAAGGCACAAAAAAACGTAATATATATATAGATAGATAGCGCGGTTGATATGTGCCTTTCAAAATATTTTTCATATATGCATATAGTTGTTTTAGGGATTGTCATTGTCAAGATGTGCACAGTTTCAACCCGTCCTAATCCTGAGGGGAATGAGTATTTGGGGCTGTTGGGGCTTGGTTGCGGCACTTTTCACCTAGTCATTGGTGGGTAAACATCATCCAGTTCAGGGGCTTAGGAGCCACAAATTCGAAGATGTCGAAGTAAAACAGCACATTCATTGGATTGCAAAATCCCTTCCAATATCAAGCACCTCCCAATTGAAGCCTTTGTTTAGTGCTGGATCCATTTATGTCAAATATTTTGGTTTTACCAACATGGGTGTTTTTTTTTTTAAATAGGGGAATATGACTGTATCTTGTCATACCCAAAAGCAACGAAATGCATGCCTCTGGCAATTTAAGCTTTTGCCAATGAAAGCCATGGCCCATACACTTGATAAAACATGGTCGTTTTTGTTTGCATGCTTTGTGGAAAATTCATGTCAGAGGGTGTCGGAAACATGCATTGCTGAAGATGTTCCCTTCAACCAAATCTAGATACTTTGCAATATTGTGTATCTATCTATCTATCTATCGATCGATCGATCGATCGATCTATCTATCTATCTATCTATCTATCTATCTATCTATCTATCTATCTATCTTATCTATCTTATCTATCTTACCTATCGATCTATCTATCTATCTATTTCTATCTATCTATTTCTATCTATCTATTTCTATCTATCTATTTCTATCTATCTATTTCTATCTATCTATTTCTATCTATCTATTTCTATCTATCTATTTCTATCTATCTATCTATCTATCTATCTATCTATTTCTATCTATCTTTCTATCTATCTATCTATCTATCTTTCTATCTATCTATCTATCTATCTATCTATCTGTGTGTGTGCGTGTATCTATATATATACATATGCGTGTGTGTGTGTGATACGTAGTATATCATAGGTTTTCTGTAATGATATATATATATATAGTATTATTCTAGTTCATTTTTTTTATATATATTATACTCCACAGTTGTTGCTCAACGACCAAACAACACCAGGAGAGAGAAGAAGAAGGACCGGACGGAGAACACGCTGTGACTTGGATGATGTTGCGCCGGCCGAGTGCAGTGATAATAATTATGAAGAGGAAGAAGGGAGAACTAGTAAGTAATACCCAATATTAAATAATATGAAATGATAAGATATGGTTAAGAGTAGTATTCAATGAAATGATTCAATATTATTGTTTTTATGTAAAGGGAACATTTTTTATATAGTGGCAAAGTGATTAATAGCCCAATATTACCATAAATGGATGGTATACATAATCCCCAAATGGTGCGTTTATCATTGGGTTTACCACATAAGGGATATAGTAGCCCATATGTTATTTCCAGCAATGAATGAATAATCCAAAGACAATAGTAAACCATCCTAATTTTTGCTATAAATGGGTAGGATTCCAACCATCAAAATATGGTTGGTTTATTCTTGCTTTACTAACATTCATCCCATCATATTGAGCCCTTTTTTGGGCCCCAAGCCAGAAACAGATCCAGTACGAAACCAGGGTTTCTTGGAGTTGATTTTGTTTCATCTTGTATAAGGGGAGGGATTGTAGCAAATCATGTGGTACATGTATTACATGTATATGAATTGTAAAGACTATTTGGTTCTCTGCGGTTTATAGTATGTTTTCTTAAATCTAAAGATTGGGTACACTAATTAGAGATGCTTTTGATGATGAGTTTGCCACATGACTACGTCGACTATTCCCACTTCACGTGCCAAAATACAGCAGGCAAATATACCCGTTGGTAAATGGCAATCGCACTGATTCTTTTTCTTCATAGAAACCATATTTTTATTGTACATAAAGATGGTAACCAGACATAGTTTGGAGAATAAATTCATGCCTTTCCAATGAATCCCAGAATTGGGTGTTGGGAAATCTGCAAGACCATCCTTAAATCAATGGATCCATTCAACTTCCATGATTTATTGTTTCCACCTTCATTTTCCATGGTGAATTCCCCATTGCTAGGTTCCAATTCCCATGTTCACCTCACCTCCAACTGGGCCCAAGTTGCTCCATGTTGAGCGCATCAAGGTGGCAGATCAGAAGCGCTTTGTCACGGTCTTCAAGAAGGCGCCTGAGGGTTTTAAGGGTGCTTTTGCTTCAGATTATATGATCATCTTCTCACTTGTCCTGGAGATGACCCTTGTTTTTTGCCATGAGTCAACTGCCAAGCATTTTTTCTTTTTTCCATAAGTTTGTTGATGCTTACTATTCCGTATTATAAAATATTATACCATATCCCATAGGATCCATGTATGCTATATATAGTAACATTTACCATCAATATACCCCCAATGTTAGCATATATACCATACATGGATCCTATGGGTATTATACCTATGTCCTTGTTCTTGAGCTTTCGTCCCTCCAACATGCCGACCGGCAAACATCCAGTGGTCGATCACCGGTGGATCATCACTTCTTTGACGAGTTTTCAAAAGGCACCATAACGGAATATTTACCCTCTGGTAAACTAACATAGCCATGGAAAATGGCCATAGAAATAGTGAGTTTTCCCATTAAACATGGTGATTTTCCATGGCTATATGTTAAATAACCAGAGGGTAACAGTTATTAACCCATGGTTAACCTAAGATATCCCATATTTATTCCATGATTATAGCCATTATGAACCATTTGTTCCATGGGTTTGTCACATGAATTCCTAATGATTAATGATGGTTATATAATGGTTATAGAATGGTTAATAAATGTCAACTAATAATGGTAAAAACATGAATTTTATTTTCCATTTCATGTATGGGATGTCATCCTTCCCATTGACGAACTCATATTTTTCAAGATGGTTAAAACCACCAACCAGTACATCTTTTCAACTTCATGTCTTATTCCTCCATAACCCAAATATGTTTTCTTCATTGGTACATCGAAATTGTCTCCAAAGCTACCCCCCAGAAAAAAAAAAAGACATGAAATAGAACCTGTTTATAACTCCAATAACAATAGACTATAGGGTCTATGATCCGTATATCATCCGAATCTATCTCCACTTAACGGGATATAGATATCTATCATCAATCATCTATCATCTATACATTTATCTATAGTATGATCCACATATATCCATATATCATCTATACTTAATGAGATCTATAGTAGTCTGGGGCTTAAAAACCAACACATATTTCAATGTGAATTTGAGGATCCTAAAATGGAGGTACTTAAACGTACCATTTTTCAGGCCATATTTTGTGGGGATATTCCCTGAAATTTAGCCCTGAAAAATAGGCCAAAAATATATGGTACAGTAGGTACCTCCAATGAATCGGTTCCTGAGATGGCCAGTGACATACCCTCTGGTAAACTAACATGGCTATGGAAAATCACCATGTTTATTGGGAAAACTCACTATAAATGGCCATTTTCAATAGCTATGTTAAATTACCAGAGGGTACCAATATTGGTACCAGAGGGTTAAATAGCAACAGTAATCATACTGAAATGTTGGTCATATAGTGCATATGTAATACCATTACCATAGCAATAACTCAGTAATACCATAGCCAGTGCCATATGACATGCTTTTTGAACGGTTCAGCAGTCGGCGCCAGGCCCACATGGAGATCGCTTCCCAGATGACCCGCGACATCGCGGACGACACGGATGGAGCTGAGGCAGGTGCCCAGGACGCCGGAAATGGGAGGAAAACCATAGGAAAACCATAGGAAAATGATTATATACCCTCTGGTAAACTAACAGTTTGCTATTGAAAATGGCCCATTTATAGTGGATTTGCCCATTGAAAATGGTGATGTTCCATAGTTATGTTAGTTTACCAGAGGGTAATTTTGGTTATATCATGGTTATATAATAAGATAATCATTATATTTGAGATCTTATCATTACATACATGGGACATAACTAATGACTGGTTTTATAATTAATGACTGGTTATACTGTATAATGATTGTATAATGGTGAATAATGGTGTTTAACAATGGTGAATAATGGTGTTTGATAATGGTTAATGATGTTTAATGATGGTTGTATAATGGTTAATAATGGTGAATATCTGATTGGTGGTTTGGAACACATCTATTGGGAATTTCATAATCCCAACTGACGAACTCCATCATTTTTCAGAGGGGTAGGGCTCAACCACCAACCAGCTGATGTCCAAAATTTGATGGATGTGTGATGATTTTTGGCCAACTTTCTCGGCTTGGCGGAATCGACAAATTCAGGCAGTATGACTGAGGATGTTCCATTAAGAACTCGTTCATTTATATATGATTGTTCCGTGAAAAAGTGTGCAGTTTTTGTTAGTTGTTCACTTCAAATCCGGCATTGATTTTGTTTTTTATCGATAAAAAACAAATTCATTTAATTATACATGAGTGTTCCGTGAAAAAGTGTGCAGTTTTTTTAGTTGTTCACTTCAAATCCTGTTGGCTAATAGTGAATTCATAATTTCCAAATTTCCCCACAGCTCCAAACACCTTCTGATACGGTATTTGGAGTTGTTTTTTGGGGTCTAAACACCTTCTCAGAGGGTATTTGGAGCACTAGTTTATATAAATACACCATAGAAATTAATTCCATGAAACATCCCCTTGAGTTCTTGATCAAATCCATGAAAACATCGTAAACCCAATGATACCCTCTGGTTATGTCAAAATAATTAGCTATTGAACATGGCCATTTATATTGGATTTACCCATTGAAAATGGTGATTTTCCATAGTCATGTTAGTTTGCCAGAGGGTAAACCAACCTTTTTTTTTGCGGAAATGAGTGGTAGACCATCCCCGAAAAAAAAAATCGTTCCTGCAGGACTTGGATCATCGACTCATTCATCGATGGGAGCAGGAAGACAACCTTCAGGAGCTGTGCCATGACATGGCAGCCCCCCGGCCTGGTAAACATACAAAAAACATCAAAAAACGATGGAAAGATCCACAATTTATAGCTGGGTAAATCAACTATTTCGACTGGGCCATGTTTAATAGCTATGTTAGTCTACTAGAGGGTATCCATGTAGAGTAGCAACATGATCTTTGATTTTCACTCATCTAGACATGCTGGATGTAACATACATCTCCATCTATTGGCAGATAGGCGTGAAGCGGTCAAAAAAAAACAAGTCCGTTGCATTCCTTTGCCCAAGTCTGGTTGGTGCGCAGCATGGTGACAATGGATGGGAGTTCGGGGTGATAATCCTGATTTGACTAAGATCTTTGGTTTGAAGCAAGCACTACTTTAACAAGTTTTTATCGATGTTTCTCCCAAACTTGTTCTTCCTAAGGATTTGTCCTGGTTTACCATAGTAGAATCATGCCAGAATTCATATCCAACATCATTTGGGGATAGTTTATTGGATCATTTATCCCACAATTATCCCATATAATGTTGCGTCCTGATTTGCCTGTGTCCCCCCCAACAAATGCTATACCCTCTTTAAAATTGGGTTCAAAAAAGCGGGTCCCCAGAAAAAAATAAAAACGATCCCGCATTTAAGTAAAGATGTCAATTGGCGACAATTGAACTCTAATTAAGATTTGTTTCCCGATAAACTTGTGATATTTGTAGTACTTGTGAGTAATTGTAGTGAATGGGGTTCAGCATGTTGACTGCGTTACCCTTTCCACCTTAAGTTGTTTAATGTTTTTTACTAAATGTATGAGTACTAAAGGTGTAATAAGGGAAAGAGAAAGACACAGAGAAAAAGAAAGGGAAAGAGAGGAAGAGAAAGAGAGATAGAGAGAGGAAGAGAAAGAGGAAGATGAAGTTTGCTCTGGAAAAGTTTGCTGCAATTGTGAACCCTGAGAACAAACCTACTAAAGTGACTTGGACCCTCTCATGGCCCAGTGCCTTGGAAATTTGTGGAAAAACTGTTCTTTAATATATAAAGGTTTCATAAGCGAACTGATTCTTTTGGGAAAGACAGACAAGCAATATTTTCCAGATTTTTTTTTCACACACACATTTTTTAAACAAAAAAAGGTCTGCCAAGGCCAAGACTTCTTGCCACAATAGTGAGCCTCCCAAACTTTGGGTTCAAAATAATTTGAAAATGTTGGCCACAATAGTAAACCTACTAATCAGGATGCAACATTACTTACTATGTATTACCGTAAATTCCATACAAGGTGGTGCCCCAGTTCGTTAGCTAAGTTGGTGAACATAACTCCCATTTCACTATGGTTTATGGTAGATATAACATGATATAACTATAGTTTTCATGGGGTTTATAAACCAACTAACATCACTGGGGGGCACCATCCTGTAATTATCACTTGAATTTCCCATCGCTTCACCGTTTCTCCTGGCATTCCAGGAGAAGTTGGGCATCATCGAGGATCCACAGTCGTCATCGACCATGGAAGCCTGGCGGCACTTCTTAAATCGCGCGCTCCCCGGGGTGGGACCGGAACAATGGAGGTTTTAGCCTCAAAACAACACAGCGAACTGGGAACTCACCATTTTTTCTAGGTATATCATGGTATATCAACTATAACTGCGTCATTTTCAATAGCAAACTGTTAGTGTACTGGAGGTTTTAATGGGAAAGCCAAGCCGGACATAGGAAAATAGGGGTTTTCACTATAACTATATGGAGGTAAAAAGAGCTCGGAGTTCATCATCGAACTAAATGGAGGATTTTTTTTAACATGCCATGTTTGCCGGAGGGTTGCCAATATCAATATCATGTGTTTTTTTCCTCAATACATGGGATATATAATCTACAGTACTTTGATATGACATGTGGGTTTGGTCTGTCTGCAAATCGTGTTTTAAGGCCATATATAATATATTAATTATGTTCAATCCAAACTATATTATTGAATTTGCTCATTTAGGTGACGCACGAATTGGGGGATTTAATATGTGTGGGTGATAGGCATTAATACAGTATCAGTGTATAGCGATTATAACTCTATAACCTGATGATACCCGATAAATATTTGCAGAGTTCTCTTGGTGTTTCCTGCAGTGGTTTAGTACGGACTATGTTCCCAATTTGTTACCTGTCAACATCAGCCAACATTAGTTGAAATGCAGGGTGGAGCACTGGAACACCAATATATGTTCAGGTTGAATGAAGGCCAGCTTTGCGTAGTCAAAGCTAAACCTATCTACGTTGTACACATGTATTACATGTTCAAAAGCCATCAGATTGACGCGCCAGCATGCACCCCTCAACCGGGCAAGTCCGCCGCAGGTCAGGTTCCCATGTTTGTGCCCCCGCCCTTGAAACACCAAGGAGTACATCAGCAATAAGATGAATCAGGAGCGGATGGCCACAGATGCCATAGGATATCAGACTTGGGACCGATCTTCGCTGATCTTTGTCCATGAGTTGCGGGGAACATTGACGGGAAATAATCTACCATTATATGTTGGGGTCAAAAGACACGGTATTGTTGAGTTTTTCCCTTAAACCAGCCCACTGATCCATTGAATCCTTCAAAAAATGTGAAATCTGTGGTGGCATCCACCATTTTTCATGGTTTGATATGGTGTAATCCCATAAAACCATATAAAACCATATAAAACCATATAAAACCATATAAAACCGCAATTTTCTCAAGGCGAGAAAATCCCTGTCCAAATGTCCAAATGGCTCAACCATCTCCCCAGCCAGGAGTTAGGGCAAGCCAGGCCAGCCGAGGAAATTTGGTTGGACGCCTTGATCACGGTGTTGGAGGAGGCCCTGGATGCGGGTGCTACCCGTGGCCACGAACTGACGATTGGTTGGTGAAGACAACTCCAATAACTATATATACGCAATGTAATGATACTTATATAACATATATAACTTCATTAACTATAGTATTTTATGGGGTGTATAAGCCAACTTATTTCACACCATTATGAAAGCCATTGTTAGAATCGCTATTTTTCTCGCTATGAAAATCACTATTCGCCGAGAGATTCCTCGCAGGCGGAAGCCCTCAGCAAGTTGCAGAAGCTCTTTCTTCCGATGCCAATGATCCAGCCCAAGAAGGCTGCGACGCTGCGACAGCGGCTGTGAATACATTTATAATCAGAAAAATCTTCTATCCCAATCATATTGTTGACACTAATCATATGATACATATGGCAGTATTTGACTGATCGACTAATCATGATCCATATTAATATTATAACATCTGGTTATGACTAACAGTTTGCCATGGTTTAAATCACCATTTTTTTATAGGTAAACCATCTATTTCTATGGACCCATGGCTATGTTAAATAACCAGATGGTATATAATTATATATATATAGAGAGAGAGAAAGTCGTCCTGGAGTAGATAGAATATGGAATTTCAATCATTCATCACTAAGATGAGAAGATATTTGAAAAATCCGGATTCTATCCAATTCAGGATGCATATGGATGGATAGGTAGATTGACTAGATATGATTAGATTAGATTCGATTACAGTAGATTAGATTAGATCAGATAGTCAGATAGATCGATTGTTTATCTCCTGGGGGCCTTTAAAGCTTTTCAGCCACTTTTAGCAAATGCAACCAGTAAACCGGTAGTCCAATCCCTTCTCCCTCAGTCAAGGCCCATGAGTGGAGCCTGTTCTACCACAAGAGATTCCGAATGGAGCGGCGACTGAACAACTTTCTTCGTTGGCTCCAAGAGGAGGTATGGGGCCCCCCTGGGGTCCTGGGGCTGGATCATGCTGGATCATCCAAAGGTCCACACGCCTGGTGATCGGACATGTCTGGACTTTTGGTTATCCCAGATATACTAAGGGAATCTAATGGATTCTATATATATAATTATATATAATTATCGTAATAATATAGATATAATTATATATATATATATTTAACTGGCTAGTAATGATAACCGGATTATATATAATTATCGTTACTAGCCAGGCATTGGGCTTTCTGATGCCTGGTGATTAATGCTTGGGGGATCAGAATGCATTATGACCTTCTTATAGGTGGTAGTTGAATCCGTGGGGGGTCTGTTTTTTTCTGTTGATTCTGCTTGGAAATAGACAAGACTCAGGTAGAAAAAGTTGATTTGACATGTCAGTTTGGCACGTGCCCTTGGCTTGTCAAGAGATGGCATGCCCTTGTTGCCTTCCTGGCACATCAGGCACGGGGTCAACATTACCAGTTCGTTCGAGAAATGGCAGTGTCAAAGGAGAGAGTGCTGAAACAGCAACTTGGCACATGCTTGGCACACCATGAGGCAAAGCTATTGGCATATAAATATGTGTACAGTATGTATAAAATTATGTATATACTCTTAAGTTATCCCAATGTAGCCTACCTGTAGTTTTTATTTGGCACAGCAATAGTATAGTTAATTTGCATTCCTCAAAGTGAATAAATAGCCACTACCATCGATCCAGTGGTAGATTTGGCAGAAAGTTGGCCTCCAACTCTCGGAGGGTTGGGAGCCGCGGCAGCTGCCATGGCCCCACAAGCCAGGTTTTCCAGGTCCCAGTCCGGCTGAGGCAAAGCTTGGTCCTCTCAGACTACCTACAAACCTTGGACGAACAGATTCAGACTTTGCAGCAAGAGATGGAGAGTCTGGAAACCAGAAATTCCTTGATCAGGGCAAAGGTCTCACCACTTTTGTGACCCAAAAATAGGGGTCACAGAGAAAAGACATGGCTGAAGTGCTGGAAATTCCATGAAATTCCCCAAACGCAAAAAACATGGTTGCAGTCCCAACCATATGTATCCATATGTCACATGTCAGCCTGCATCAGACATTGTTTTATGTTTAATTGTCTTTATCATCGCCATGAGGCAGGTGGATGCAAACCGCCAGCCACAGACGAAAAGGTGCTTCAGCTTGGCGTGCGAACGAGCTCGCCCTTCAGGCCAGCCGAATTCAACTAGCGCGGCTGCTAGAAATACTAGTTGGCCTGCAACGCGACAGTCACTTCGCAATCTTTGCACTTAACCCCAAGGAAAAGAGAAGATAATCGTGTATATATATATATTTCAAATAGCGATCCCTAGGCTCTCATCACCAGATTTCCCCAACTCATTGATGATAACAACATGAATATCAAATGATTCACCACATGAGGTGAGATTGGAAGGGGCTGACAGTCCGCTTGTTTTCGGACGCCAGTGGCCGAAGCAGGCGGCGCATGCCCACAGTGGCAGAGGCCTACATTGCCTACATTTCTACCATAATTTGAAGGGAAGCTTATATCATATTATATAGTGGTAACAATGGTTAATATGGTAACAATGAACTGCTATATCTTATGATTGTATCATATTACCAATATATCAACGACATCAACAGCAGTTCAAGGTACATTGGGTCAGCAAAATTCCGTCCATTTCTGTGGGTCTCAGCCATGTGGGTTCAACATGCAGCTGGTCTGCACGCTTTTACAGCGAAGCAGCAAAGCAGCAGCAGAGACGAAAACAAAAATGGTGACAGTACCGCCGTGTTGGCTAAGTTGTTGGAATCTGTCGCCGATTGGTATCCTATTAGTGGAGAATTCTGCCTGCACGACTCCACCCAAAGAGAACCTCAAAAAAACTATGGATGTGAAAGAAGCTGCATTTTCAACCTTGTAGAAAATTGTCTTCCAGTGGTTTCTTTGCCGTCCCATATTTGGGGAGGGCAAGCTGAGTGATCCATGGCCAGGTGCAGGGCCAGGTTTTTTGTACATCTTCCAGGCGAAGGCTGTACCGTTTTCCAGGGGCGTTGGTGACTGGTGGACCCCGAGCCGGTGCATTGTTTACAATCTTTCTGATGGTTATTAGGTAGCTTATGGTAGCTTCCCTACAGCTTCAAACACCTTCTGAGACAGTATTTGGAGTTGTTTTTTGGGGTCTAAACACCTTCTTAGAGGGTATTTGGAGCACTAGGGTTACTATATAATTCTATATATATATACATATATACTACGTGTTTCTTTCTTTGTGTTGATACGGTTCTCAGTACACTGGGATGCACTTGGTAGATTGGTCCAAAAGGCCATAGCAGAAAAATTGACACCCAGTGGGATGAAGATCACCAACTCCCACCTGCACCAGCTTTGTTTCTTGACCACGAGCACTGGCTCGAATTTGGCCTTTGGGCGTTGACCCGTGGGGCCGAATAATAACCGCCAAACCAGATCCTTTGTCAGCAGATTGGCCAGGGGATGTTTGAGGAACATGTTATTGTGACAAGTGTTCCACACTTGAGAATTGAGAGAGTGGTCAGTGGTCAGTATAGTCTACACCACTTCAATGTTCTAGATTCTAGATGCTATAAGCTGTAGACCACTGCATGGACTCAGCCCCGAAGGTCTGGTAATGTTTGGTAAATCAAATTTGGGGACAGCTGGTGGATGCACATGGCCATGTAATGGGTTGCCAATGTTTAGCCAGTTTGATGGAAGAACAATGAAGAATACACTACATATTATATCATATTATATATATAATATTATATAACTGTCATTTTAATCGAATAGCTACGATTGTTGTTTTACATAGGTTCTCCCCCGAAAATAGCTGGTTGTATAATGAAACTAGCTGGACCTGCTGGATGGTGATGGAGAAAGATATGGCTCAATCACCAAGGTTCTTCATCATGGTGCAGCGTGGGTGCACAGATGGTGGATGGCTAGGGGGCGTGAAGGATTGATCCTGATTTCATGGTGTACGTGATATATGTATATTATATATATATATAGATTTATAGTCTTAGTGTATATATATATATGTGTGTGTATGTATCCAAATATTCACATATATATATATATATATATGCATTACACAAATCACATATATATATATATACATACATGTATTTGTGCGTGATGTAGCTTCTTTTTTATGACCATGCCCCCAAACAACATGAACCCTGTATCACCCGTTGTTGAAAGAAAGTAGTCTTACAACCCGCTATATGGTAAGGTCTATGTGAGTTGAAGGGGGTGTAAGTTTACCATGCAAGATGCCTTGCTGGAAAATCCTCCATTTAGTTCGATGATTTTCCCATTCAGACTTCCATTTACTTCTGGGATTTCCCAGACCGCCATGTTATATCTATGCTTCTATTTCATCCCATCATAAAATCCCATCATAACATAAATCTTAACCTCTGGTGAACTAACATAGCAATGGAAAATCACAATTTTTCATGGGAAAATCCACTATAAATAGCCATTTTCCATTGCTATGTTAGTTCACCAGAGGGTAACTACAGATCCCATCATAAAACAGATATTAGATCCCAAATTTGATCCCACTGTTCGATCATGGGATAGCCTACAGACTCCGAGTGGGACCCCACTGATGTCAATGGAAATTCCAGGATCCGATTCAATGGAGGTACGTAAACGTACTGTGCCATATTTTGGGCCATATTTTGTGGGGATATTCCCTGAAATTTAGGCCTGAAACAATAGGCCTTACATAGGCCTTATATATGGAATCGGTACCTCCAATCCCATGACGTTCCCCCGGCTGGGCGGCTGGAGGTTCGTCCTGAAGACGTCGTATCAAGGAGACATTCGCCGCCTGACCTTTGACTCAGTTTGGCCACCCAGTCACCAGGGTGGCTGAAATCTGGAAAAACATAGAGATTTATAGCGAAATCTGGAAAAACTTTTGGGGATTTATAGCCATGATTTAGCCATGAACTTCATGATCAACCAGTGGATGGAATGGGGTAAAAAAAATCGGGAACCGGTTATTTGGACAAATGCGTGGTGTCCCAAACATCCAGATTTTTGCAGATGTTCAGTTCGATGATTCGAACGGGGACGATGTTTAATGTACCACTGGAATCGTTTTTCCTTGCGGGGACACACCCAGATGCCACCTGCAAAACCTTGGTTCGCTACGGTGCTACACAGACTGAAGGCATGTCAAGCCGTCCCTGAGAGGCAACTTAAAGATATAGGAAGGATGTAAAAGGGTATATGTATACTTAGCGTTAAGTTCATATTAATAAGCAGCCCGAATTTTTGTTCAACACCCATATTCCAAAAAATGGTTGGCAATACTCATTTGGGTTGGTCCCTTCCTTTTTAAGAAACATGTGCGACCCCTCCCTATTAAACAGCACCCTGCTTGGAAATCCTAATTTCGTGGTAGTCAGGATATAATTACTGTATTTTTATATAATGGTTTTAATTGTTTTTCAATGGTTGAACAAATAATGTTTTGAAGGGATGTCCCATGTCCAATCTCACCATCTCACCCGATTGGGAAGGAGGTTGCCACTGAAAAGAGAAATCTCGACCCATTAGCAGGCAGGTTGGTTGTTTTTTTTCTGTACGACAAGCCCTAGTTTTTTAATTGGGGGGGACTCTTACCTTCTATGGGGGGGGTTGTGAAATGTTATGAATACGAACTTGGCATCAACAACATTGACTTGTATACCCTCTGGTAATTTAACGTAGCTGCTGAAAATGGCCATTTATAGTGAGTTTTCCCATTAAAAATGGTGATTTTCCATAGTTATGTAAACGTTTACCAGAGGGTAGCCATGTGTTTTGACCATGTTTCCAATCAGATCAAAACCATCGCAGCTCAGGTGGAGCAGGCCATGATTTTCCGAAAGGATGCGCAGCCCATTTTTCTGGGCTTTTTCATGTGGGATATGTGGGCAAGTGCAATAAATAATATATTATCATTGTCCAGGACAATTATGAAATTAAGAGGTATAGAAATGAGGTATAACCGTATAACCTATCTTCAGACTTCATATGAGAGATATTGATATTGATATTGATCAATATGGAACAGTTGATCAACAATTGCATCAAATTGTATCATATCGCATCTTTACGATAGGATTGGTGGGGATGTTTGATGACATACTGTCATACTTTGACGTCAGGAAACATACCTGATCATATAGCCTCCGGTAGTTGACCATTGCGACGTTTGATGGTTTTTCCATTATTTTCCCAAGAAAAACTTCCAGAGTCCAGAGGATCCCAGCAGACCAGCAGGTCTCTTTTGAGTTCATCCGCACTTTCGTGGCCAAGAGCTATGATGTGCAAGACTTTCTTGCCAAGTACCAGGCCCGGCCATGACGCAGATGGGGAGTCGTCCAAGAGATTGGAGAGATTCTCGGAGAATGGCACATGGGCACGGGGGAAGAAAACAATCTAAATGCTTTTGGTAGTTTTGGGCACCCTGATTTTGGATGATTTTGGACAAATCCACAGGTTTCAATAATTACCCTTTGGTAAACGTTTACAGTTTGCGAACTGGAAAATGGCCATAGAAATAGTCGACTTTACCCATTAAAGATGGTGAATCTTTCCGTTCTTTGACCAACGAAAAAAATCCATGGCCAGGATGAGGAGGGCGATTGGCGCCTCGTCGCCGCCATGATGGTAGACTGTTTACAGCCGCGGATTCTGAGATTCCAAAGTCATCTTGACACAGCCATCTTGAGGATGATCTAAATATATCTAAATCTAATCTCTCCAGAGCAACATGAGGAATTACTCTTTTTTTTGGGGTATCGGCTTTGAAACCACGGCCACATCAGCTTTTCTATGTCCCTACTGACTTGATTGTTGCCCCTTGGGCAAACGTCATTTTCCCTTGCGTGGCCAACTCGCTTGCAGAAAGCCAAGATTCAAACTCCACACCTTCGGAGGGAAATCTCACTGATTACTGTGCGTTAAATCCCTAGTGTATAAATTCCATTATGTCCCCACATTAAAGCCAATTATATCTCCACTACGAGTAAACCCCATTAAACCACTATTTAAGCACCATTAAATCACAATTAAGTCTCATTAAATCAACATTAAGCCACCATCAATTAAATGCTATTAAACTGCACGTTAGCCAACCAGCAGCTTCAGCACATCTTAGGTGCACCTTAACTGCAGCGACCCTGAGTGATGCCATGGATCTGGTCAAGGCGCCCCAACACCTGCACACAAAGAACATGTGATATTTTAAAACACTATAAACTTATATGGAGGTTTCCTAATAATGGGGCTACCCCAAAACCATTGGTCTAATTTTGGAGAAATGGGCTGACCGCTATTTTAGAAAGCCACCATGTTAGGTTGATTTCGAGGTGATTTTCATATAGCTACAGCAGACTCGAACCCATCTTTGACATTCATGTTTGCAGGAATCAATTGTTTAAGATGCCGAAAAGCGATTTAAACAAATCATGATTGATCACTATTTGAGATTCGAGTTTGTTAATTTCTACAATCTGGGATCCCCTATAGTTGTAAATTGCTTCATAAATCCCATGATTTTGAAATTTATAAGTATCCTAACCATATAGTTAGTGGAATGATTATCCCAATAATGATGATAGTTACTTTATAAGTACCCATATGCTCCATGGTGCTGGTATATTTACCTACATAACTGGGTGATTTTGTTTGGGCAAATGTTGGTAAATATTCCAGCACCATGGAGCATCTGGGGTATCTTGCGCCAGGACAAACAGCTCTTGCGCCTGGAGATCCAAAGCGCAGGTGCCGAGCCCCGCGGTGTTTCTTTTTAAAAGGAGGTCTGGTAGATGTTTCTATAGTTTTCATGGGATATGAATGGAAATATATGGAAATATCAATGGGATATAATGGATATTAATGGGATATGATGGATTTAATGGGATATAGATGGGATCTGAATGGACATATCTATAATTGTCTTATGATATTAATGGGAATTATATGCTGTATATTCATGGGATATAGGAGCTTACCATATTTTACCCACATTATAGTTAATGGGGTTATGAAACAACTAACATAACCGGGGGTTATGTACCACATTGTAAAATTATTTTGGTCTATACCACATGAGCAATTGAAAATACCCTGGTTAATTGATTGCTATAGGGGATTATACTACCCGGTTTACTGGGGATTATGATAACCCATGGTAGGGAAACCTATCAACCAACTAGTATAATGAGATGGGACAGGGGTATTTTTAATGGCTCACATGATAGGTTAACATCTTGTATTCCCATGAGTCTACTGTGAGGTTACTGGAATCCTGGGGGACTCGGTCCCTTCAATAGCCCAAGGTTTCAGGTCAATGACATACGGTGGATGGTTGCGAAATCCTGCACCAGCTGAGAGGTGGTTTATCCCATTTTTTATAGAGTTTTAACCATCCAAGGTGATGCAGGATTTCTCCCATCCACAGTAACATATTACCTATCATTGATCCAGTTGAACATTGAAATTTATTTAGTAAAAACAAACACGTGCAACAAAATAGGTCCTCATGACAAGCATATTTCTAAACGTGAAACATACGGATTCAAGCAATGAATATGTCACCAAACAAATGCCAAACAAATGAACAGCACGGAGATGTATTGTGGATATAACCGGCAGCAAATGATCAGTGGAACCAAAACCTATCGGAGAAAACTGAAATTCATGGGTGGTGAATGAGGATGCACGGCTCATGATCATGGATTGTGATAATCCATGGTACCTCTAATTATGATCGTCTACCAACTGAAGTTTTGGACACTTCTCAATTGGGAATCAAAATGGGACGGACCCACGTATAACACACACACACATATTATTATTATTATTAATTAATCATTATTGCAGTTTCCATTATTATTAATTATTACTATTACTATTAAATATTACTATTAATTAGTATTATTACTATTAATTATTATTATTGCTGATTATTATTATCACTATTAATTATTGTTACTGTTATTATTACTACTGAATTTATATAATTATATGTAGGGAAATCCAACAAGTTTGGCTCACGATTTGGAGAGAAATCACTGCCTGAGCGCTGGATATTTTTCCACTGGGCTGGACTCCCGATCCCTGATCTCCTTCAAACTTTGCACCCGCATGATTGGGTATACCCTCTGGTAAACTAACAGTTTGCTATTGAAAATGGCTCATTTATAGTTGATTTATCCATTAAAAATGGTGATTTTACATAGTTTTTTGTATGTTTTCCAGATGGTAAAGTCCAAGTGGATTTATGATGAATCCAGGCATAACCACAGGTATTTGTGGACCATTTGGGGGCAAAAACATGTTTCAACCTGGCAGCCATTCGCCCAGCCTTCGGATCCTCACGCTGGGGTGCCCCTCCATTGCAGGCAGCCGCTCCCCATCCGCCTTGCCACCGGTGGAAAAGGCGGCGGAGACGTCGCCACGAAGCCCTTCCGTGTGCTCTTGGGAAATGTTGGACTTTGATGCAGAGGCACCTGGCAGTGCCTGGCAGTTGGGGCGGGCATGGCTTCCCCATCCAGTTGGTTTTACCATCCAGTTATAGTGTGTAAATCTGCATGATCAATTATTATATACATATATTATTATTAACTATGTTATAGTAATCTACATAATTATAGTTATATATAAATACGTGCAACAATATTATATACATAATTCTATAACTATAAAATCTGAACAACTAATATTATGCTGGAGGGATGTTACGTACCTGTTTGAAAGGCATCAGCCATCATTAGTTGTATTCCATGCACATATAGACAGCCTGCAGTAGCCTGCGCAGCCAAACGTTGGTACATGTACCATACATGGAGCAGATGGAATTTTCATGGATCATTTTCTTTTTTGTGCATCCAACTCTTTTTCACAACAATGTGTTTGATGGGGTCCATGCTCCAAGTGCTGCTTCCAGTTCTGCAGGACGAAGATATGGAGATCGAAGAAGAATCTGTGTTGGGCCCAGTTTTGGGCTGGCCTGGTCGTTCTTCTAGCAGGATAGAGATGAATGGAAGAGAGAGCGGGAAAACCCATATGTGTAGCACAAACTAACTGCCGTAGTTCTGGAGGTTTCAAATACATTTATACATTTATAAATTAAATGCATACATATCTATAATATATATATATATATTTAGAGACGTTTATTAGATACACATATTATATATATACATGTTATATGCACACGTATTACATGTTTTTCAAGTTTTCTTCCCTACTGGAGTTACTGGCGCTGACGATCCCACAAAATTTTGGCCGAGGGAATTCCAAGGGGGTTGAATAGGTTGAATATGGTTGAACCACCAGCCAGAAACCAACTTGGATAGTCAAGGGCGAGAGATCTTGATTGATCTTATTGATTGTTGCTGCGTGCTGTCAACCTGGAAGCTTAGTCATTCATGCGGAGTGTTGTACCTGTTGATGCCACCAATGGCATGTTTGATCGCATGCCCAGCAGGTAGATCAAGTGTCTCATATAAGCAGCCGATAGGTTTGTTGTTCAAAACCACTTTTTTAGTAGTTGACTCGTTGACCAACTCAAAATCAACATTTTGGCCCTTGAGACCCCGTTTTCTGATGCTTAAAAAGTTCCAAGCTCCAAACATTCATTGCCAAAAATGAAGATGTCGCTTTGAGCCAGCGCCATGGAGCTCCCTCCCCTCCCCCCATCCGTTGCCCTTCCCCACCCCTCGCTGGCCACCCATTCGACACCCCCACGGCACCACGGATGGACTGTCGCAGCCCTGGCCACTGCTTGGAAGCTGGCGCCCACACGGCAGGCCACGCAGCGCTGGGCGGTGGTGGAAGATGAGCACTGCCAAGCGGTTGGGGCGTGGCTGAGGAACTTTGTGATCGCCAAGGATTTTTGCCCCTGGGCCAAGCCGGCGAAGAAACTTGGCTCTGCTGAAGCTGCTGAAGGCTCTAAAATTTGGTGCTGATGTTGAATGAAACTGATGTTATCTTTGGGGGAATGGAGGAACAAACATGTTTGCAATGTCAGCGGTCATTTCATGTCATTTCTGTATATATATATATATATGTGTGTATTTGTATACATTATATAATCATATATATATATATATACATAAAGGATTCATTGTTTCTTTGAAATGATCTCTTTCACGGTTCGCTCGCCATGCTTGAGATCCCTTTCATGACATATATCACACATTATCACACCATTGTTACCCAAACAAAACACATATATGATATATTGGATATTAGTTCGGATACTAACATCTGACTTTACACGTTACATATGCGTATTTACTGCATGAATTTATGGACTATTTATATTACCCACTTTTACCTCCAAACTAGCTCAAATGTAGGTATAGTTACAAATCTTCCATAAGGGTAATGTTTTCAAAAAATGGAGGTCTACCATTTGGGGATGTTTTATACAACCCCTAAGAGTTGTGATTTTGGGGATGGTGAATGGGTTTACCACCTGATCCATTTGTTTTCACCAAATGGAGGCCTAAATCACCAGCATCCAACTATAGTTCTCTAACATGGTCAACCCAGAGCCACAAACCGTTTGACTGGGGATATATTTTAATCCAACCCATAAAGATCCATAAAGATTCATAGCCACAAACCCCACAAACCTACCATGACTGGGGATGGTTTTAACATGTTTTAACATGTTTTCATCCAACCCATAAAGCCATACCCATGACGGATCCATGGTGTTGGTATATAAATGCTAGCATGACTGGGGTATATGGATGGGATCCATGGCACACCATATTTTCCGCAGCACCGTTAGGATCCGTCATGGGATAGAAACCATGGTCAAAATTCAGTGTAGCCCGGTAGCCTCTGGTAAACATACAAAAAACTATGGAAAGATCCACCATTTTCTAGCTGGGAAAATCCACTATAAATGGTCAAGTTCAATAGCTATTTTGACATAACCAGAGGGTAAATCCCATTAAATCCCATTAAATCCCATTAAACCACCATTTTCCTATAGCTATGTTAGTTTACCAAAGGGTAGCCCGCCAGGAAGAAGGACCACATTCGCATCGTCTCCAGCACTGCCAGGGCCTCCGAGGCGGTGCTGGGGGATCTGCTGGACGAGGCCGAAGCCCTGCCGCTGGTGGCCTCCGGCGAAACGGGGGAGACGACGACCACGTTGCTGGTGTGTCGTTGGGGCGTTCAAAAGGGGGGGAACTCGAGGATTTTTTTTGGGGGATAGTTACGATAGTTTGGGTTGAAGAGTTGGGGAGCAAACCTGACCCGACTTTTTTGAAGATTAATGAACATATCAGGTCAATTGATTGATGTTTTTCATTGTTTTTCATTTTAAAGTTGAAATAATACCATGAAAGCATCAGGAAAAATTGTGAAATCAACTGATTCAAGCAGAAACAAAAATAGCGATTTCAGTGATTTGGGCGTGTCTGAAAATGGAACATACCCCAAAACAATGTTGAAGGAGATTGAAGAGGGGTATATATAGACCTGCTCACTTTGGGGTGAACAGGTGGGCAGCAAACCTTATTGGTCATGATGTTTTGTTTGTTTCCAACAGTAATCAATGATATTGATATATTATTATATGTAATACATTACTTCATTTACTTCTACTGAACAGTTGAAGTATCATCATCAAAGACGGGGATTCAACCAGTAAAAAAAAAACATGTATATTATATTAATATATATATATAGGTGTGTTTGAAAATGTGGCACCCCACAAAAACATGCTCTTTGACAGTGAAAATGGTGATGGACCAATTGACGAATGCATTCAAGGGTACCTTTTTTTCAGTCAAGCCACGCGTGTTGAAGGGGTTAATTAAACCGTGACCACTGGCCATTGTTGTTTGGAGGTTCAAGATCAACATTTGGTGAATGGTTGTTCGTTTAGGGCGGACACGGACGTAGAGACAGAAATGGGAAGTGGTTTCTTGTTTGAAATGCCCATCCAGGGCCCCAATTTGTATCTTGATTAAAACACGTGGACTTAAACATACAAGTCTGCAGCAAGGTCCCTATGTGGAGGAGTGGAAGGCTTTTGGCCCATTCAGAGATTTTTATGAAGAAGACTTGGAAGGTGGAAGCACATTCCTGGAAGATTTTGACATGAAGATTCTTGGCTTGACAACCGTCTTGGAGTCATGAACACATTGAGATGACCAAGTGAACTATCGGATCGAACACATTAAAACAAAAAAACATGAGCATTGTATTGTGTTGTTAATTTGTGAAAGATATGTTCGTGTATGTTCGTGTAATAGTATGTATATAATTGAATATTGGAAAGTGTGAACAACCGCTAGTTGCCCTTCAAAGCTGAGTCCACGTGACAAAACTAGTTGTCTACTGTGTGTACTTGTTTACTGTTGCCATGAATGTTATTTGTTCATATTTGTTCATGATGTTTGTTGAGGGCCTGCTTTCCACATCATCACCTGCGAGCTGTCTGCCCAGCTTGCCTAAGTTTTCCCGTTCGGCCCCTAGAATTAGAAGTTTCCCCCAGTGGTCATATCATGGGTAACACCGGTGACAGTGAAGGATCGTTGCGTTTCACCCGGAGTACCTAAAATATGGATTCTCCGTGGCCGCGGGCGACCGCATTGCTGTGGCCAATTTCGATGGGACCTCCAGCAGTGCGACGGTGTTGGATGAAGAGGGGGGTGTTCACCCTGAGGACGGCGAAGAACTGTTGGACGTGAGGTTCGACAATGGCGAGGAATTTTTGATTCGATATAGTTCCTTTAAGGGATTTGTTCAGTTTTTTCCATCAATCTCTGTTGGTTTCGATTTTGGATGGTAGTTCGTATTTTCTTTACAGTTTTCCTTTGTGCCTCCCATTTGAACCCCCAGAACTTTGGCATGCGATCCTTCATGGGATTGCTTAAAGGGAAAGCCCACAGGAACCAATTGGTGTTCCATCAAAATTTGGGGCGTTGTATAATGTTGCATATATATATATATATCTTAAGCATGCATTAAGCCAATTTACTGAGTGAGTGACTCCATTGAATCCCGGCTGATGTGGGCAAGCCAATGCCATTAACCTTACCATTTGGAGATGGCAAATAAACCACAAAGCACCCATCAGAATGATGATTTTAGGGATGGTGTGTTAAGTATTGGGTTTCCCACATTAAAATAGGAGGCCCCAAAAAGGTAGAAACATCAACATCTCATCAAAATAGCCGTGCACATGATTACACATTAGTTTTCTATGCTTTTTGGGTTTCCCGCAGCAACTAAGGTTCCATCATCACAAAGTTAGCCATGAAGGACGGGCAGGAGCTGCCGGCCAACGATGCCACGGGCGATGCGGCGAATCTGTCTCCTGTGAAGGGTCGGTGGGCTGATGTTGAGCCATACGAGGTGGTAGCACAAAGTGGGGCCCCGAACGGTAGCTAAGGTGGTGAAGAAAATTGCAATGACTATGGCACTTATAATGATGTTTATAAACCAATAAATGTGGCGCCCCACATTGTAGTTGGTTAACGTTTCTGTAGGCTAACTGTTGGGTTTATGGTTGATTTTTTTTTAATTTGGATGGGTTTGTAAACAGAACTGGGTGGCCCACCTTCATGGAGGCATGCCGGAAGATGTTGGTATCTAAGGGTGGCGCTGGCAGGTGGTGCGAAACAGAACATATTCCAGTCTCGGTCACCTAAACTCCAAACTAATGAATGAAACCAATCCTATCTGTCATTTTGTCATATTCCATATATTAACTCACCATTTCCCCATGGTTTCCCCATCACATGGTATCCCCATAATATCAGCATTATCCAGGCCCAGGTGACTCTGCATCCCAGTTCCAACCATTGAACTTTGCACAGCTTTTGCACAAGCAGAATATATCAGAATATGTTTATAAAAAATGGAATATCATATGCTATTCATATATATATATATAATTATATATATATTATGTGTATATATATATTATGTGTGTATATATATATATATATGTGTGTGTGTAATGTTTCTATCATATGATATGGACATGGAGTTTGGAAATATTATACACATACCACTTAAAACTCTGCAAGATCCCAGTCTGAGACGCCGCAACGAGGTTAAGCCGCGCTCCCCGTCCCACGCTGCACCTGCTTCGGATGGAAGATCTGGAGGCGGCATCCCTGGCGGCCAAGGCCAAGACGGGGCCGGACATCCAACAGGTCTTGGAAGCCAATGCGGAAAGGGCTGCGGCCATTGGCTTAGAACCTTGGAGATGACCTTTTTGGTGACCACAACCTCGGATTTTGCTAAGTCGAAATATATATATATATTATTATTATTATTATTATATATAATATATATTTAGTTTTCCCAATGAAAAGTCCAACTACTGAATCGAAAAAGGGAAGATGTTTGATTTTTTGGGGGTTCCAAAACCAGCAAAACCCGGGACCCGGGGTTTTGTTTGAATCGGGCTAACCCGAAAATCACATGGGATTATTCTCACTTTCTCCCTTTCAATGGCCATTTCGGGGTAGCAAAACTCATCTGGATTGTTTGGGGGGAGAAACTCGGCAGCGTTTTACCCATGTTGTACACTCGTGTAACCTTAGAAATGTATGAACATGCGATAATTTGGAAAGCTAAGCGGGAAGTATCCACATGGATTGTAGCCATGCATATGGATTTTTGTTTTTGTGGATTATATAGATGAGTTTACCAATGTCACTGAAAGTTGAGCTTTTAGAAGAGGACCAAATACTATCAAGGTATCAATGTCAAGGAGAATATATCAATTTGATAGCCTTCAATCACGTTTTTTTTATTGATCTATCTAGTCATTTTGCGACCCACACTTACGCCCAGAACTGAAACATATAACTGTGTTTGACTTGGATCTTTTTGGACGGCTGGAGACATCTGGAGACAAGGCGACCTTACCCATTCCTTGGGAATGATCAGGACAAGGTAAAAGCTGTCAGTGCCCCAAAGTCTGTCATCCCTTGTTGACCCAGTTGATATAGAAACGGTGAGGACTCGGGATCTTAAACATCACCAAACCAGTATTATCCCACTACTTAGATTATACAACTATAAGAATCAACTATATTACATCTACCATGTATAATTACAATAATGACCCCCATGGAGTCAGCAAAATCTCATCAATCAACGGGGTCCACGTGGACCTTGCAAGGATGGCATGGCAGAAGTGCTCCGCGACTGCGGCTGAGCTCGCGGAGGGGTTGATACGGTGCGGTTGGCGACTGGAAAAGGTCCGGTTCGGCTGCTGGGTTTTACGGCTGCGGGTGGCCATTTCCACTTGGCAAACGGGTAATTATAGAAAATGTAACAAACATGCCAAGCGGACATATGTCTTTTGATCCATTAGATACCCACAAAACCTCACAAAAACGTAACAAACCCATTAAATGTGAAACCAAATGACAACATGACAAACCATACGCAAGTTGAGCTTAGTGTAGACAATACAATTAAACATGGTGTCCACACCTGGCGTAGCGTATCTTTGATGCTTAGCCGTCGAAGCTCGACTTTGCCAAGCTGGCCCGGGGCTGGGTCCACCAATGATGCTCTTGGATGGTTCGTCAATCATCGTGAGCCCTAGATGCTGGTGCCCCAATCAGCGTCAAACTAGCCACTTTCCATGGTAAAATCACTTTCATAGCCCTGAAATGTTCTCCCGACTTTCGGTGCAGCTGTGACCCAAACCCATCTTGGGATTGCTTGGAAAACCAACAGGAACCCCTTGTATTCCAGGCGAAAAACCGCTGAAAAACCACGCTTTCCTTTCGAAGAAGTTGTAGAACAAATATCCAAAAGTCAGCTCAGACAGAACCCGAACCACGGGAAATCCGCCATGGATCCATAACGTCGCCATGGCGGAGCCGCGGGAGTCCGAGGATGCCACGGCGGAGCCAGTTTTTTGGGGGAAGAAGTGGCATGAAGGCCGCTTTCCCAAGGGCATCTGGACCCTTGGGAGCCGTGGAACTGGGAAACATCTGAGAAATCTTTGGGAAATTCTTGAGAATTACCAGGTCATCAGCGGGAATTCTACAGAAATTCAAGGTAAACAGCTAAAGATATATGTACAATGTAAATCCTGATAAATCCCCGTTTTTTTTTGGGTTCAAATGGAATTCAGGTCACCATCAAATGCCTGGAATGGAATGGATGAAATGCCTCTGACGGCAAGATTGGGCACCTCTGTTTGCAAACATGTGTATCTCAAATCTTATTAAACCAACATGTTAAAGTATCATGTCGCATTCCTCAATAGAAATATGTTTGAAATCTAGTTCGTTGGCCGCCAGCTTCCTCCGAATGCCAGGTGGCTTTGAGAAGAATGTCATCCATTTCGACAAGACTGCAAAGGTCATGAGTGACTGGGACGACAGAAATCGTTGGTCGCATAAAATCACTGCGGTCTCCAACTGTTTGGATCGGAATCATTGGAATCATGTTTTTTTTGATGGGGCATGCGTGGCCGGACATTTCAGGACACTTTCAAAATTTTGGGATGATACATCCCTTGCTCAGGAGATATCTTTGATGCGACTCATGGTTTTCAGAAGGAGCTCGGCTCTCGCTACACCTTTCTGGACATCGCTTGCGCCCCAGGTGCCGGCTTGTCGAGTGGAGCAGATATAGATTGTGGATGCATGAGATGTTTGGTGTCTTGTATATGTGGTGTACATATTTTTTTGGTGTATATATATATACATATATATATACATATATATATATACAAACAAATTTGATGTATTTTATGGGCTTGGGGAGGTGTTTGGACGTGGCCAAGTAGTCAAAACTTGTATAAATATTAAAAAAAATAATTAGGTAGCCGATATTGGTAATGTGGTAAGCCCGATGCCATAAACCAACCCAGTCATAAAGATATACCCAATTTCATAAACCTCTATATTAGGGGTAGTTCATTATTGGGTTTACCTCTGGTAAACTAACATAGCTATGGAAAATCACCATTTTTAATAGGTAAATCAACTATAAATGGGCCATGTTCAATAGCTATGTTAAATTACCAGAGGGTACCCCAATGGATGGCTTATAATTAATGGAACATCTTATTGCAATGGATGATTTGGGGGTATCCCCATTTTAGGAAACCTCCAAATAAGCCCAAACATCTACGGAAACCAGCTGCGCCAGCTGGTCATCTAGCTGGTCTGCGCGCCCCGAATCTAGGTGGTTTCTCGCGATTTCTCTGTAGTGACCCACGATGTCAGCGGGGCTGGGGCATTAGTTTGCCAGTGTCTTGGCAGGAGCACCGGTCCGGAGCCATGGATTGGTTTAAGGGAAAATCTACAGGAAACCATGGTTTTTACCATCAAATATAGGGGTTTCCTGCAAATTTTCCCATCATCCAATTCTATGATAGGAGCCATGGATGAACTTGTGGCTTCTCCCTGATTTCATCAACAACTTTGGCGGATGGAAGTCACGGCTTTCAAAATCGGTGACTTCAAAAGTGACAACAAGTGGCTCTAAACAGGCAAAACAACGGTAGCCAATGTTAAATAAACAATTCCGATGGTTAGTACATGTTAGTACAGATCTAAGGAGCTATAGGCATCTTCATTCCCTTTAACTGATGAGCCAAGGAGCTACTAAGTGACCAAGAGTTTCCCAAACACATGATAGCAATAGAAACGTGATGAAACGTGGCTCCTTGAGGGGTTGTTGGTCATGCATTCAGGGGTTCATCAATACTGTTTTTCATATCTTCAGATCTTGATCACATCTTGCAGCAAGATCCAGATCTTAGCCACTACCATTCATTATCCTCCGTGGGTATACACTTACACATTATGTGTATATATATATACATAATAAATATATGCACATATTTGTATGTAAATGTAAATGTTTGTATGCAAACAATGACATGTCTTTACAACAAAATGCTGTAGCTATGTCCTATATTTTGATACCTGGATTCCAGGTATCGACGCTAAGCATATCCCATCCATCAGCTGGTCGAGGTCACTGAGGGCGGTTTCCGGTTGCTCTTTACCTGGACGCATGCAGATGAACGGAGACCTGGATGTTTTTAGGGTGGAGGCACCATGGATTTACCATTCAAAATACTGTGGTTCACACAATGGGGTAAAGAAAAATTGCAATATTTGAGGGGATAGCCGGGATAGCTATGTTAAGCAACTTGAAATGATACTGGATTTCACCATTACCCTCTGTTGCTTCAAGAATTTCCCATGGAAAATTACTATTCTTTACAAGGTAAATAAGCTTTCATGCTGGCCTTTATACATAAAAAATGGTGAAGACTAGAAAAACATCAGTTGCCAGTTGCTGTTATTTGTTGGCAGAAGTACTTGCGAAGAGAAGTCATTGTCTAGTTTAGGTTTGGATGGCTTTTGACCCGGTCCCAAGCAACAAAGTTGATGTTTCATGGCCTCCCCTTGCGGTTTTTCGTACCACGGTTCGCGACTGGACTCGGCTAAGGAAGTTTCAGGTGAAGTTCAGAGATATGTTAACCTTGGAACCCGAGGATTGTTGCGCATCTGGGCTGGATAAGATTCTGGGAGATTCTGGAAGGGCTCCTGACATGTTGTTTCCCCATGTTTCCCCTACACGTTCAATTTATATAAAAACGCTGTTTCTGCACAAGGAATGCTCAACGATGAAATATGGCTCCTCCGAGAGCGAATCCTTTGCTGTATTTGGGTTTAACTGTACGACACCCCAAGAATCAGCGGGAAAAAGAGGATGCATGAATATATACATATATATATACATATTTATATATACACATAAATATACATATATATAATTATACATATATATATACATAATGATAATAATAATATTACACTGCATATATAATAGATGCATATTGTATATTATATACTCTATATATATTATATTATGATATACTATGTGTATACATTATAATACACTATGGTATATATATATATATATTAATATACTGTGTATATATATATACACTAGATATATATTATATATATACATATTCTATACATATATACTATATAATATGTCCACATGAGATGTTTCTAATGTTTACTGAATTCCCTCCCTCAACCCATCCCAGCTGAGGAGCACCAGGTGGACCTGGTCATCTCGGATGCGCAGTACCTGCCTCTGAGAAAGGCGGATCAACCCGGACCGGACCCCGCCTTGGATCCTTGGTGAGACCTGTGCCATGCTTGGTGAGATCCTGTGGCTTTCCCTAGGAAAATCAATTGCCAGGAAACATTTAATCAAGATGTTGAACATCCATGAACATCCACCATTTCTAGATTATTTTCTTAGTTTGTGTAATGTTATGTAAACCAACTGAACGATTTCGTTTTCCATACCCCACTTTCTATGGGGGAAGGAATGTCTTTGAGGTTGACATCCCAGAATTGTCCCATAATTACCATGTGTTTTCCTGGTTTTTGTTGACAATTGAGAAAAAAACAATGTGGGGAATTGTTGGGTAATTATGGCATAAGGTTGGGATTGTTAAGAACCAAGAGACATAGATATCATAGATATGGTAAAACCAGTCCCACTTGGGATATCTTTGAGGTATGCCCCTACACGGGATGATATTGCCCCGGTAGGGTGTGCCACATTAGTGCTTTCAAAACCCAACATTGAGGGAATACCCCAAATAGACGAAACGCTAAGAACAACATACCACCAGAAACACTGCAGACATGGGGCCTTCTATATTACTCTCTCTCTCTATATAATATACATATATATATACAATATGCTTCTCTCTCCCAAAATAGGGCTCGTTACTGAAGGTTACTGTATATATTCCCATAAATGGTTGTGAAAACCAACGTGGTTCCGTGCTTCGGTCGTGGCACAGCGGAAGCCCCGAGGCAAAGTCTCAAAGCGTGAATCCGGCGCTCGGCCACTCGGCAGGGACGCTGACAGCAGCTGATACCGTGGGGAATTCTACTGAAACCCTGGTTTTAGTATAACTATATATATATATACCATAGACATATTGGAAATATTGGAAATATATATACCAAGACCCTCAAAGTGACGTCCATTGAGTTCTGAAAATTCAACCCCACAAGTGACGTCCATTGGTAGGCACTTAGCACTTCATTTTCTGGAACATCTTCATGGACCCCTTCTGGTGCTAAAAACCATTGAATCAACTATTTGTAATCATATACTTGAGAAGTTGATGAATCCCATTAATTATGTAATGATCGCTCCAAACCTGATTCCTGCCACCGCTGC